TAACTGCTTGTTATTTATTACTACTGAGTTTTTCATTGATTTAATAGATTTTATCAATATTGTTTAAGCCATTATCGAGAAAATCGTAAAAACGTGTAAAATCAATGAAATATAGTACCGTTTCCGGGTAGTCGATTTTAGCGAAAAAGTTTCTGTAGCATTCCAGGCAAATATCTACCTTTAATACCTCATTTCAGTTTCGTACGACTTTTCATTTTTGAGCTAGGTTCAGATGTACGCATATTCAGATCATTTCAAAACTTGTTCATCTGGACTCATAGAACCTAACAACGTATCCGTTGAAAATTCGGATTCGAAATTTGTAACCATCGTGATTTTTCTCTTACTTTATATATAGGTATAAATGATAGCTCTCATACATAATATTTATCTTCTCAATAGTTCTTAATGCACTTTTTTGGGGGGGGGGAGGGGTCCCTTCCTCGCCTTTAAGGCTATACGGGGTTTTCTCGGGCCAGGGAGTGTGGGCGGGGATTTAAAAGACTCCCCCGGCACCGGGATGCGAACTCGGGACTATTTTTCATCGTTGTCTCATATGTCAGGTTGCCGGGCAACGGCGGTGCTGTGCACACTCGTTAGCCCATTCGGCCACCCCGCCCACTTTTCTTAATGGACCTAGGCCTCAGAAGCAAACTTCAGACAGCTATCCTTTTCAGGCTTCTCATACTCTATAGCTAAGGTCTACTCTCATGGGATCTTCCCGAAAAGGGCGCCCCTCCTAAAGAAGAGAAGATAAAGAAGTTGCCTTGACAACCTACCTTCCTTCATCCTCTTTACATGGGCTGTCCATCTGAGGGGATATCTTTTGATGGTTACTACAGCATTTTCATTATTATAGAGCACTAGCGGATACAGAATTTAATTGTGGGGGGGGCTTCAGCCCGAAAGATTTTTTTTTCATATATATATATATATATATATATATATATATATATATATAACGATAATTAATTTGAAAAAAAAGAGAAAGAAATGAAGTACCTATATGAAATGATGTTTCTTCAAGTGATTCTTGAAGTCCTATTAAATGTAATTACACGAACAATAATACTTTAAGATATAATTTTTAATATTTTTTCTATAAAACATGGTTATATTTTACCAGGTTTTTTTTTGGGGGGGGGGGGGGAGGGCTTCAGCCCAAAAGCCCTCTCCCCCGTAAATCCGCCTGTGTTATAGAGCTCACATAACATCGTTTTTCTCTCATAAATTTTTAGCAATCTCTGGCTTTCTTATGTCAAAACCCACGTTTCACGCACTTAGGATAACGATTGGCTTATTGTGGTTTTATAAACTGGTAGAGTAATAAAAAACATTTCGATCTCTTGACTATATTTAAAAAAAAAAAAAAAACTCATTCACTCAACTTCACTGTGCTACTGAAGTACTAAAGTATTGCCAAACTGATTTGAAAATTAAATTTTACTTGAATCATCAGATCAGTGCGTGTAAGATAAATACAAAGATGGATGAGCCCAATTACTTAAGTATTAATTAGAAGTCATTATAAAGGAATATGACTGATTCTAGGGAGGTAGGTAGAGGGGGCTCTTGCCCTGGATGGCACAATTTAGAAGACGGCAAATTTCGAGTGATTTATTTGTTGTGTATTTTAAATTCAATTTATTCAGAATGAAAAATATTGTGATAACTTCAATATTACACCACCTTTCCGCTTCATTTAGGATCTTATAAAGTAAACCGAATGGCATAAATCAGACCTCCGCAATCAGCTTAGAACTGGAGATATGAAATAACAACTTTGGATTTCATTTATTTATTCTACGTAAATGCGTTAACATAAAATTATTGGTGTAGTTTGGAAGAGGAATAAATCAGCTTTTCAACGGTTGCAGTAACGCTGAATTTGGAGAAAATCCTGAGAAGTTATAAAAGCTTTAGTAAACGACAAGGAAATTTTTATTTTTCTATTTCGAAAAAATCGTGTAATTAAAAATCCTATATTTGTCCATAACCAAAATTTACTTGACCTTGACATTTGAATTCATACCATCAATAATACAAGCAGCAATATTTTTCTTTATTTTAAACAAAAACAAAAATCGATTTACACATAACCTAGAAATCCATGCAAAATAATTAAAATAATAAAAAATGTTGATATTTCATCTTATTCTTTTCTCGGCTCCTATAGAGCATTCGTAAGAACTCTCGGATGGGTCCGTTTTTGATGATATTGTAAAATCGTTAATATAAGGTAGAACTTCCGTGTAGCTAATTTTAGTGAAATATTTGCTGCCACGTCACAGCAATACCTACCTTAAATACGTTATTTCAGTTTCGTATGACATTTTGTTTTAGAACTATATACTGTTCACATCCACACGCACAGACACACAGACCGTTTTCAAGACTTGGTTATTTAGACTCAGGGGACCTCAAAACGTGTATTTCCGTTGAAAACTGAGATTCGAAAATTTTTACGATCATAATACCTACTATTAATATATATCTAATATATAGGCAAGTGAAAATTGTTGTTTTTTTATTTATGATAATTACAACTGTATTACAAATAAAAATACATGGTAAGTGAAAGTAAAAATAGAACATATTGTTATTTAACAATATGACAATTTAGGATCACTCACAATAACGAATATGGACCAAGCAATAAAAAAATTATTTTTGTATTTTGGAGGGGGGGCTTTAGCGTGAAAACCCCTCTCTCCCCTCTCTCCCCTCGCCGTAGATCCGCCAGTGCACCAGAGTATCCGTTATCAGGAAAATAACTGAAATAAGTCATTGCAAAGTCTTAATGCCATATTTTATTTTTTGTGACCTGGGTGAAATTACAAAAATTCATATTTTATTCATAAAAAAAAATGGAAAAAAAAAGGAAAATTCATATTCTTAAAATGATAATGGGCCAGTGTTTTTTATATAGATCTTTATTCAGAGAATTTATCTTTATTATTTCCTTATTATTCCATAATTCTATTTTAAGTCACCAACTACAAGTTTTTTTGGCATTGAAATTTTCCACGTAGCCAGTCATAATATTATGAGGTTGAATTCCTATTATTTGCTATTTCCATTCTAAATATATTTATTTATTGAATGAAAATATTGCGTGACACTGACGATTTCCTTAGGCTTCTTCGATGTTAATATTTTTTTACATAGGTTGTCATTATTTTAAGGATTTACGAAAATTATTCTCTTTGTTCTTTATAAGCAAGGCATTCCATAATTATATGATGGAGTTTTTTTTGTTTTTTTTGATACATTTATCATATTTAGAATTGGTCTCCATTTTCCTCTGAAAATTTTCATTCGCCCGATTATGGCAATTTCTAAAATAAAATATCATATTCCTTGTAAATAATACTTCTCCGGAAAAATATTTGCTTCCGCGGAAGGAGGGTTTCTTTCCTCGAATTTTCAAATGCTTCAATATTGCACCCAAATGCAGCTTTTATTGCTGAGAGGACGTCAGTGCAAATTTGAAGTTAAAAAAAATAATAATAAAACGCGCCTATTGCTTAAATTATTTTCATGAAAACATAAGTATTAGTTAATTCATTTTTGAAAAAGTAATATTGTTGTATAAATAAAAGATTTATGTTCGTAATCAATTTATCACATTACACTCCAGATCACAGAAAAAAGTAAATAAAGCTATAATAGATAATTATAGGTATTTTTTTCTTAAAACAGAAATATTCTGGGATGGAAAAATATCAAATCACATAATTTTTTTTAATCAATGTAAAATCAAGTATTATCTATAATCTCACAGGGCTTACATGCCGACTTCTCAAAAGTTGGTCCTTTAATTTTGTTTATTTTAAATAATTAATCATTTTACAAAATTAGTAATAATACAAAATTGCTGAATGTAAACTATTAACGAATTTGATCATTAAATTAAGGAGGAATGAGGGTTAGGACTAGATAGAAAATGTGAAAACGGAAACTGCCGAAAGCATCCGACTTTGCTCGATCGCTCTTCATTTAAACTAGAGGGAAAAAAAGCTTTCTCACATTGCTCACATTCGCTTTCACATAGCTAAAAAAAAAAGTCTCCTTAAATTTTGAGGATCTACTAAAATATGCATAATCCATAATATATATACTTCTATTAACGTTTTTTTTTAAAATCCTTTATCTATTCTTCTCATTAATAATTTGAACCTCGCCATTTTTTTTATATGGTAATTAATTGTTTTAAATGAAAATTTTTTCTTTTCTATAATGTTTACTTTAACTTTGCTGCGCATGAAAACATCTAAGATATGAAAATATTTCTACTCAAGGTAGTGCAGTAAATGAAAGTTTTGCGATGCGTCCTCCCCACCAATTTTTTATTATTTCATAAGAATTTTAAATACTGCGCAATACAAGTATCTAAATTTTGGAAATCGTTATTTAAACTGACTTTTAAGTTATTCAAACTATTTGTGCTGACATATACATTTTTTTAGTACATCCATCACCGAATCGATCAAAAGGCAGATGGATGGATCGAATCATCAAAGGTGCTGCAAATCCGCATTCTGAAAACTGGAAAGCAATAGCTCAAGATATACTGAGGTGGAGAAGGCGAAGCTGATTAAGGCGACAAAAAGATCTTCAAGTTCTGTAAATCCAACAGAAAAAAACCGCCGAAGCGAGTACATTCTGTATTAAATAAGAAGTGGAAAATTCTTATCTTTTGTTGCATGAAGAGGAAAAGCATCTTATAGGAATAACACATGGAAGTAGTATTGTATTTAGTCAGTATTCTGAAATAAATATTTAAATACTAATTTTTCAAAAGTAGTTTTAGTTATTGGCTTATTTAAGTTCTTTAAATATCATCCTTATTATCTATTAAATCAATTTTTACCAGCTAATTTCCGGGAAAAGTGTAACTCTTCAGATATTGGGCCAGCGCTCAATTTTTATCATTGATATCGGTCAAAGTTTTCTTACTAATATAAAAATATGTTTGCTAGATGAATTATTAAGTTTACCTTGACCAAGGGCCTGCGCCAAGAAGAACTGTTTGGCCTGCTTCCTCCTGAAGCCAGGTACAGAGGAGGTGCCATGGATTGCGATCAGACAGCAGACCACTGTTATGAGCAGTCTCATGATCCACAAGCGTATGAGGGTTATTCAAACAATGGCTGTCTTAAATATACATATGTTTGTTTGAGTTCCGACACGCAAACACTTGTCACAACACCTACACCGAAGCAAGTGCATTAGCGTAAGCGTAACTTACCCATTAACATCATTGATTGCAAGCTTGCGTTTACATTAAGTTATACAATAGCTGCAGCATACATCTGGAGGATATCGGTCTCCGAACACCTCATTATGCATTAACCAACCATTTTATTCATCGATTCATTTGAATAAGTAAAACACGTGAACTGTGAGCAAAATTAATTAAAGAATAAACCAGTGGCATAATAAAGGATTACTGCATCCCTATGCAAAAGTTCTTCCTCTTTTCCTCTCCCCTCCTCTCTGCAAAAAATAACAAACTTTGTCATTATTAGGAGGAAAATGTTGAATATAAAAAACTAAGAAGTTTTCCTTGTAACATTTTTCAAGCTCCCTCCCAAATATACTAAATTAGGAGTAATTACTCTTACCATATAAATAAATAAATAGACTATTCTTTTATTTTTGTTTTCATATAGTTGAAATATTTCCCACTATTTTCGTTTATACATTGAGCTCCAATTCGTTCCATCAATTGCGTTGACTTATTTACGCACTGGATCTAACTCTCAACTCTATCGCCGGATTTTCTTTCATTTTTAAGAACTTCTGAGAATGTCATATGAATCTCTATAAACAAACATTGAATCAGAAAATTTTAAATTAATAAATAGTCAATATTATTTTTATTTTTTACTAAATTTATTAATCACTTCAAATCTTAAGATGTTTTTCCACTAATTATCGAAATAATAAAACAATTTTTATTTTATGTAAAGTGTTTACTAGGATGCTTTATTGTAGCAGTTTCAGAATTTAATTTTCTAATACCTGGAATTTGATACTTCAAAGTAACAGAGAGATTTTTTAAGATTTCTGATCAAGACTGCTTGTTTTTAGATTATTTGAAGCAATGAATTGGATCATTAGAATTCATTTTTTTGTCTTTTTATTTTAGAAGTATGGGCCATTACTGCTGTAATTGATTCAAATTGTTAGTAAAAGGATGCGAGTAATGCAAAGCAAAGTTATTAACAGATTATCTTATTGATTTTATCAAAAAAATTGATCTAACATTCTCGGTTTATAACCAACTTAAGTCAATATGTAATTTAACTTAATTAATTAATTTGACATTTTTTATTTTATTTTCCACCCTCCCATGCCACCAGGGCAATACGGGTGTATGCAGTAGTGTGATGTTAAGCATTAATGCATAATAACACACTACTGCCTTAATATCAGTTTACAAAATTCTAAGCTGTGCACACAGCTAGCTCTTCTACTTTTCCTCCTTCTACACCAAATTAGGCCTGGCTTCCCGAATCCGGAGGTCTTCCTGGGACTGGTCCTCTTATCCTTCTGCGGCCACCTAGGTTGAAGTGATTTGGGCCCACCGCCGTCTTCCAGCCATTTATGAACTCTTGGAACCGCGGGAAGTTTTCCTCAGCGAGGACGTAAATTCCCGTGGTTCTCATTAACCTGGCTCTTAATCCGTCGAAAACAGTGCAAGCCGTGACCACATGCTCAACAGTCTCGGGAACACCACAAGCGGGGCAGCGGGGATCTATATCCTGTCCGATGCTATGAAATTTAGCTCTAAAACCCTCATGTCCAGTTAGAAATTGTGAAACCCAATAGTCCGGAAGTATCCATTTCGCTTTAAGCCGAGATTCAACGGTGGGGAATTATTTTCTTAAGGTGCTGCCTTTCGGAGTCGTCACCCACCGTCTGCTCCAATCTTCAATTGTTTCCTCCCGGATAATCGTTTTCCATTTATTTCGGTTTTCAATAATCCTCATCCGTAGGTTCTCCGACAGACCTGTTGAGCCCTCCCTCTTGTAATCGTACCTGGTCACTTCTTCTCACAGGAGGTGGTCGAGAGGCACCACCCCCGACGCTAAGACGTGCATTGCTTCATGTGACGTAGACCTATATGCTCTGGTGACCCAAAGCAGAGCAGTCCTCTGAGTCGATGCTAGCCTATTTCTTTGTCTGAGTGTGAGGTTTCGGAACCAGAAGGGAGACGCTTTTTTTGTTTTTGAGTTAGACTGTTCATACCAGTGGCCGATCCAGGAATTTTCTCTAGGGAGTGCGCACCTTCCCCCACCCCTACCCGTCCTCCCCCACTACCCATCTTTTCCCACTTCTTAGCTGAGTTTCGCCGCTCAAAAATCCACAATAAATGGTTTTAACAAAAGTAGACTCTATTTTTATTTAAAGTAAATTTTATCTAGCTTACAGCGAAGCAATCGTCAAATACTTAAATTAAATAGTTTTTTAGTTATCACTTCATATTCACCAAAAAGACGTAAAATTGTTCATAAACGGATACCTAAAATTAATAATTTGATTAAATAATATGGTCGATAAGTACGATTAATGGACGCTAATTTTTACCACCATTGTCAAAATCTGTGAGATTACTAAAAATGGCTCTATAGCTTGGAAATGAGTTCTCTGAAAAAGAAAACTCAGAATAATTTCCGATTCCGATCATAATCAGATTCCGATCTAATCAGAGACCAAATAATTAGTACCTTCCTTCATGAAAATATTTCCAACATCACCTATTTTAAGAAAAGGACAACACTTTCTAATGGGAGATATACAAATAATTATCGTGACCAGTTTTATGAATCTTATGGATTCAAGGAGGCTATAGTTGCTGGAGGTTGCAATGCGTCCAGATCTATTGGAACTGAATAAAAACTGGTTCCGGGAGAAAAACTGTATTTTCTTGTGCTTGGATAAAAGCTTGTTCGAAAGAATGAATAAAGTTTTTTTTTTTAATTAATTTTCCTCCATCATGTATTACTCCTGCGATACTCAGTACGGAGTCAGTAGGAACTAACTACGACTGGAGCACAAGCCTTCGCATTTAACGATGGCCAAAAAACTAAATCACTTCAGCCTACGAACCAACTTTTGCTCTTACATTCTATTCTTGGTTTCATAAAATCTCGACGTGAGCCACACTCTGATGAGGTGACGCAATATAACAAATCGTAAGATTAATAAAAATGGTTACTATGATAACTTTTTTTTATATTGCATTAGGAAATTGGCCTATGAGGATGAATTTTCTCTATATTTATCTTTTCTTTAAATAGGTATTTTTTAAAAACTTTTTGGAATGTTTTTATACCATCCAAGGGTGGGCGCGCCCCTTGACAGAATTCGATAGTGCTGGTCACGATAATTTTATTTTCTGTTATATTAGGAAATTCGCCTATGAGGATGAATTTTTTCTTATTTATCTTTTCTTTTAATATGTGTTTTTTGGAAATTTTTACAGATTTTTTTTCCGCCATCCAAGGAAGGGCGGGTCCTGGCAGAATTCGCTAATGCTGGTCATGGTAATTTTTTTTTCTATTACATTAGGAATTCGTCTATGTGGATGAATTTTCCCTACCATGTGCCTCCTAGAGTAAAGGACCTTTAGATGAGAACCAAATTTGATTTTATCTGCAGTGTAGAAGGGTTTATAAGGTGCATTAAATAGTGTTCTAGGAGGGACAAGACTAGTTTCGGTAATGACTAAGGGCTGGATGACTGAGAAACAAAGAAACTGTATTCCCTATGGAAAAGTATAAAACTATAAGGGAGATAGGTTAGTGAAGGCAATATTTGTAGACTTCAGAGGAATTTGCCTGATCCATCATTAGAAAGGGAGTGAAGTTCCAAGATAATACCCTACAAAGAACCAAAGCAATATGGCTCAATTATTTGTGCAAACAATGAAGTTGAGAGGGAATTATTATTATTATTTATTATTATTATTATTTGGAAATATTATTTGACTTGGGAGTAGCAATGGGGTGCAAAATGGAGTAGCTGTCTCCCTTCTAACATATAAAACTATAAAATTACAATAACAACAAATATAAACAACCAATTCCTGAAAAATTAATTGATAGTGACAGGTTGGTTGTTAGCATTCCAAAATTTTGAAAAACGTACACCCTCTACGCGAAGAAAATTAAAATTAGAAAAGTGCCCTCTTTTATTTTTTGAGCAACATCCCTGAGTAAATCCTTTTATCACAGAAAGAGAATTTGATTTGATTTTTAAATTGAAAAATTAACAATACACAATTTTAAAAACCTCCTGACCAGCCACATGCAAATACATTAAAATTATTAACATTTCTTAAATGAAAAATATCAATATTTGTTACAGGTACAGATCCCTATAGAGGCATCTTTATCCAGCCAAGATCCATTGTCAAAATGGGAGGATCACCAAGCTTGCTGGCAGATGCAGTATCGAGGTTCACTGGGAGAAACATTGCTGCATGTACTTATAATTTGTGATACAAAGATACATACGAGACTAGCAAGGACACTATTAAAGTGTTTCCCTAATCTTGCCATAGACGTTGTGGAAGGAGAAGAATATTTAGGTAAAACTATAATTTTTGTGTCTGTCACAAAATTTAATAATGATAGACATTGCAAATTAACTATTTTCAATTTATGTAGGTGCTAGTGCCCTCCATTTGGCTATTGCATATTTCAACAATGAATTAGTTCAAGATCTTGTTGAAGCTGGAGCGAATGTAGAACAAAGGGCAATAGGTAAACATCATCACTTAATTATTAAACGAATTAGATATTTAAAAAATAAAACTTTGATGTTTCATGAAGTTTGTTTCATTTAAAAAGTATATAAATAATAGGAGCGAAACTCAAATAGACAATAACGATAGGCTGTTATTGAAACATTCCGAACAAAATCATTTACTATTTTGAGTCATAATTAATTACTAACCAGTCAAGATTTTGCTAATATATCCTCTGAATACACATAGAAGTATATCACATCATCTCTGTAATAGAAGTTTATACATCAATCAGAAGTATATACTCAGAAGTATATACATCAATCAGAAGTATATACATCAATATATTTCTTAAGAAATATTTTCACTGCTGTATTCCATGAAACTGATAACATAAACACCCAATATAGACTATGCAAGTAGATTTTTTTTTTTTCTCCCTTTCATCGGCCCAAGACTCCTACTGAAGTCCTATACTGCGGCAAGTAGATATTGTACATTCCATATTAAGAGGCCAAAGAAGTGAGATTTGGTAGACTGAAGAATTTGGTTTGAAATCTCATGATAGTAATCTAAATATAAATTAATGCGTTCCTGGCCTTTTAAAATTAATTTGAATTAAGAAAAAAGATATTGAAATAATAGGTGTAAGGATGATCTGATGCTTCATTTCAGGCAGTTTCTTCCTTCCAAGGGACCAGCAAGGGCAGAGACCATCAAAGCACACAGATTATGAGGGCTTAGCCTACCTCGGGGAGTACCCATTGGCCTGGGCAGCCTGCTGTGCTAATGAGAGTATATACAATTTACTTCTGGACAATGGAGCTAATCCTGATCACAGGGACACATTCGGAAACATGATTCTTCATATGGTTGTGGTCTGTGACAAACTTGTAAGTCCATCCACACAGTTATTATTCATATTTTATTAATTATAATATCTTTGATTTTTTTCTTGTCTTGACTCCCAAACGACAGTTTCAGCCCTGAGGATGACCCACATATTTGAGTCAAAATGTCAGCTAACCCAATAAAAATATCTTGCCTGAAATTCCTGAAAATTTTGTTTCATTCTTTTGCTTTTTTATTTCTATATCATTCATGAAAAGCTATATATTTCATATTCAATGCTCTAATTAATTAATTTTAGGAAGTCACTAGATTGCCTCACTTACTGAAGCACAAAATAGTAAAATTCCTATTACAATTTCATTGATTAATTATTGATTTTCAAAACTTTATATTATTAATATTTAAATTTCATTTAAGATATATATAAGTTATTTATTTTAGGATATGTTTGGATATGCTCTCAGGCATCCCAAGATGCCTGCTTCAAATGGGATAGCTAATGTCGCAGGCTTAACACCTCTTACTCTAGCCTGCAAACTAGGGCGTGCGAAGGTCTTCCGAGAAATGTTGGAATTGAGCGCTAGAGAATTCTGGAGATACAGCAATATTACATGCTCTGCTTATCCATTGAATGCGCTTGATACACTGCTCCCTGATGGCAGAACAAGTAATGTTATAACATAGTATATTTGACATGATATAGTTTTCGGAAAAGCATTGTCCTTTTTTATTATTACTTCTAAAATCATTTACCATTCACCAACTTTTCGAATTGTCTAAGGTTTCCCATTGGTGTACGATTTCAGCTCCTAGTTTGGACTCTTAAGAATAGACATTGCTATACAGCTCGCGGACCACTGAAACATTTCATTACGAGATATAGGAGTTTATTTTATTCTTCCCTGTAACCATTGTAGGATATGATATTTTCTTTCACACACAAATCCTCACATACCACAATAAAGATGGCAAATACAACCTGCCTCACATTAAATCTGAATTGGTCAATACTGGGTTGTATTACACTCTTTCCTGGGGAGAAATAAAGTTTATAAAATTAAAATTTTGTTTATAATTATAAAGAGATAATTCCTATGCACTAGGGTTAATTTACTGTATGGAGAAAACCATGTTAATTTAAGGCATTTAATAATTTATATTTCAGACTGGAATTCAGCTCTCTTCATAATTCTAAATGGAACAAAAGAAGAGCACTTAGATATGTTAGACGGAGGTATAATTCAAAGGTTGCTAGAAGAAAAATGGAAAACATTTGCAAGGGTATAAACATAAGAAAATTACCATTTCATTTGAAAAAGTAACAGACATAAATCTAAAACCTGTTGATTTAAGAATATTTTATTATTTCATTTTTGCATAAATTTTATACTCAACAAGTAATTGTTAATTTTTCTTCTTGATAGTATACCACTTGTCAGTACATACTGATAAATAGACAAATAAAATTCAACATAATGAAAATTTAATATTAACACTTTTCTTGTGACTTGAAAAATTAATTTGACATTTACCTGAATTTACATTTTCTCTGGCAATGTAGTATCAGATATCTTATATAACATATGTGCTTTGACCAGAAAGATTATTTCAAAGGTGAAAAAAAATTTTTACATTTGAACAAGTAATTCAATATATAATCAGTAATATAATATAATATACAATATGATATATAATATAATCAAGTATTATAATATATAATATAATCAAGTAATATAATATATAATCAATAGTCTTGAAAATACTTCCTCTGGGACTCAATACATTTCTTGATTACCTCTACTCGAAGGCTCCTTGTAAGATCTCTGTTTTAAGGTTCTTCATCAGCCACATGTCACCCAAATGTTGTTCTCAAAACACTATCTTGCAAAGACAAGACACAAAAGTGAAACAAGATAAAATCACATGTTGTCAAATCAGATGAGTAAGGTGGGGTCTTCTGTTACAGTAATCGAATTTGAAGCCAAAAATTCACCCGTCCTTATGGAAGATCCACTGCCCTTTCAAACTTGGTCCAATCTGAGCTAAACAAGCTTTGAGGCAACAAGAATGTCAATTTAAAAGTTTCCATTAACCAAGGCTTGGAGAAACAAATTCTTAGTGAACAATTGCCCAATAACTGAAACTAAATTATTTATTTGAACTTTCTGGTCAAATCATGTGTATAACGTTACTCCATCATTGATAAAACATATTTATTCTTTTATAATAAAAATAAATTGTAATGAACATAGAAATATATAATCATCCTATTAAAACAAATGAGTTCCTTTCTTAGTCTGTTAAGTGATTGTAATACTATTTAAATTTAAAATTAAAAATATTCTAGCCTATATAATAACATTGAATCCATTGCTTAAGATAGGAATATTATATTATTATGCAAGTAATACTATCTGATATATTAAAAAAATGGCTCGTATTATTTTTTTATTTTTTATTTTTATAACTGTGGCATAAATCCACCACAGCCATGAATGCCTATTGTATGTCTCTATTTAAGTCACTCCGATTAGAGTGTGATTCTTGCAGTCTCACTAAACTGAAGTAGGCTTGTTGGATTGATAAGCTCATTTTCCTTGGGATCAATCCCCTTATCAATGCCGAATAATCGGAATCTTAGTCCAGCAAACCTGTTGCACCAACAAGTGATATGATAAGCTGTTTCATCCTCCTGGCCACAGTACCTACAAAGAGAGGACTCCGTTAGCCGGAGATTGAACATATGATAATTCAATTTACACTGTCCAATATATAACGCTGTAATTTTCTTAAGTGAGCTCCTGCTCAAGTTAATTAGTAGTTTGCTTCTTTTCGGACAGATTCCTTCTAGGAACAATCTAGAGAGAGTCTGTTTTTTCAAGCACCAGTATTTTTTAGCTACAGCACGATAGATCTCCCCAATTCTGTTATTTATTAGACACAGGTTAATTCCTGAGATGGGTTCAGGAGCTATGGGAATCACTTGTGAGCCTAGTTTGGCTACTTCATCCGCCATCTCATTACTATGAATTCTAGAGTGACCTGGAACCCATTCAATGTTTACTTTATTGAGTCTAGATAGGCCATTGAAAATTCCTGCACAATCCTCAACAGCTATAGATCTAGTTGTATAATTGTCCAGTGCTCATATTGCTGCTTGACTGTCTGTATATATGGAAATTTTCCTCCCCACCATTCCATCAAGCAACAATTTTGAGGCAGAGTGAGCTATCACCAGTATTTCAGATTGGAACACCATTGCTTATTTGTCGAGTGGTATTGACATGCTCTCATCTGGTTCATCCTTTCTTCAAAAGCCAGCACCAGATTCGCATGTCATCAGTGATCCATCAGTATAACAATTAATCCCATTAATGGATTTATGTTCTCCTGAGCTGTCTATTTTAACATTATAAATCTTTGTTAGACATTCTATAGTCTGAGTGTCAGAGTGTATTGTAAGCACCCTGTCTTCCTCAATTTTTTTAATTTTCCGATGTCCCTCATGGGTGTTTATCTTTGAACATAAGTTTAGTTTTTGTAGCCTATAAAAAGTTTTCAAGGCCTGCTTTTCTTTTTTGAATCAGTACTGATAGGATATCATCCAAACATGCAAATTCATAAGCAGACAATGACTGCCCATTTCAGTCTATTTACCGTAACAATATTTCTTGCCTTATATTCCACACATCTCGATTAGCTGTATAGCTAAGAAGCGTAGTGTCAATACAAGCCTTTTCCATAGCAATACACCCAGAAAAGTGTACTATTGCCAGTTCTCTCAGGGTTTGCAGCTCATACTGGTATGTTTGCCATTGACCCTGAGTGTACTAAGGAATGTCTCTCTGTTTAGAAAGTATTTTCTTTATCCTACATACCATAGAAATGTTGTCAATTTCTTGATAGAAGTTCCTCCAAGACCGTCTAAAGCTTTCAGTTTTGATGCTGTAAAATGGTATTGAGAGCCAATCTGGTGGACAAGAGTATTGATACAACATGCATTGATACCAACTACAATGGAACATCTCAAAGGATTCTGATGATAAAAAAAAATGTTATAATTTAGTATCAATTAATTTAACCACTCCCACTTTCTTTTATTTAATTAATGAAATGAAATTTTATATTGTTTATTTTAAACAGTAATGTTCCATTCCAGAGGCAGTTTTTAAAACGGCTAGTAATCCTAATGCTTCATTTACTCTGCCTGAGTGGAGCAGTTTATCTTCGCCCAACAGACAGAACTAAACCACTCTTAGGAGGAGATGATTGGAAATCAGTAGCGAGGCAAGGTTTTGAAGTAGCAACTGTTTTAGGTGTTCTTTCGTATGTTATAGTACAGCAAGGAGGAGAAATAAGGAACCAGGGATTTATATCTTTCATCAAACAACTGGTAAACTAGTAAACTTTACCAATTAACAAAAGATTGATATTGATTTTGATGTAGTATAAAATTTCCCAGTAAAAGTTAAAATATAAAATGAAAAATAAAAATAAATTTTAAAAAAACTGAAGCAATTATTTTTACAATAAGAAGACCACGCATAAACCATAATATATATATAAAAGAAGTACAGATCTCTTGGTCTAACTCCGTGAAATATTTAGAGTTGCCATGCAACCAGATAACCAAAGTTATGAGATTGAAAAAAAAGTACGAGTTCGCGTCCCGGTGCCGGAGGGAATTTTAAATTCCCCGCCCTCACCTTCGGGCCCAGAAAATCCCGTATAGCCTAAAAGGCGAGGTAGGGAAGAACATCATCATCATCTTATGTGGCACGGCATCCTGTTACCGAGATTGCGCCTCCTCCAAGAGCCTCTGCCAGTTGGCTCTGTCTTCTGTTGCAGCTCTCCAGTTCCATACGCCAAGCAGGGCTCTCGCATCATAGGCCACGCTGTACAGCCATCTCGTCTTCGGCCTTCCTACCCGTCTTGCGAGGTGCAGCTCCTCCATCATTATTTTCTTGGGTATTTCAGCGGTGCTCATTCTGGCCCACCTTAATCTGGCAAGTTTAATATACGTGACTATGTTGATGTCTGTATAAACAGAACTGAGCTCCCTATTTTTTCTTTTCCTCCAGACATCACCTTCCTTTACTGGGCCATAAATCCTTCTGAGGACTCCTCACTCAAACACACTCACCTTCATCTCATCACTTTTCGTCATCGTCCAAGCCTCTGAGTCATATGTCAAAACAAGAAAAGGTAGGGAAGAACAAGAAAAATAAATAAAAATAAATAAACTCTCACTCCTATTAATAAATTATATTTGTAGGATGTGTTTGTATATGTAATATATATTTGTGTTGTGTGAGTGCGTGTGTATGTATATATCTATAGTTTTCTTTTGTACATAAACTATACTTTGTTTTTCTGGTACTTTTAATGATTGTAATCCAGGTTTTCATTGATATCTTATGTATATTTTTCCTGCTGTAAAAATGGATTTCAATTCTCTTAATAGCATTCAAACCACTAGCATGTCATGTGTAAGGTTACTGCAACCACACATATGTAATTAATCATTATGACATGATGTAATGTATAAAAAAAAAGTAAATAAATGATAATTTCTAAAAAAATAAAAATAATTTCTATTCAGCTAATTTGCTATATCTGAATCAACATTACTTTTGTTCAATTCTATTTAGTATATAAATTTTAGTCGTTATATTTATTTTATTTAGTTTTCAGTCAATAGGACTCAAATGATCATTAAGTGAAAATATTAAACAAAGAAAATTAAAACAGAAGATCGAAGACAAACATATTCAATACAAGTTTAAAAATGAGCTATTTTGCTAAATTCATTTAAAAACATTAATACTTTAAGTAAAAATAATATCTTTCAAAAATTCATATCGATGATTTTTTTACACATGAAATGAAAATAGGCTTCTTTTTTTAATTGTAATTTGTACATTCAATAGTCAATTGATTAGTTTTAATGAGACAATTAATATTTATAATTATTTACAGTGTGGCTGTTTTCACCATGAGATACAGAAAAACAGCTTCAACACTAATATTTGAACACTTGAAAATTTCAAACATCATAGTCTATTTTAATTTTTTTTTTAAATTCTTTAAATTTTTACAAATGCATTTTGGAATGTATAATGTTGGAAATTTCAACCCTATTAAAAAATAAAATTTTTATTATTATTAATAAAACTTAAATATCTAAAATTGATCTGGTCTATATAATATATAGGTACCTATAATCCCTACCTTCATTTATTGCTTCAAACCTTCTATGTTCTGCATTATTTGATAATAATCGTTATTATAATTGTTGATTATAATCTGGAATTTCATTTTCCATGAAACATTTCAATTTTTTTTTTCTAAAATACTCTCGGTTAACTGAAGATCTGATAAGATTTCGATTTATTAATGTTATAAATTAAATAATATTGATGATTTTACACGTTTTTAGGTGTTAATTAAACAATTTTAGTATTTTGAATTTTTACTGCACAATTTTGCACATTTCGAGTTTTTTACTGCAAGTTTTCCGAATTTTTACTCCACAAAAATCCGGTCTCTAGTTATAACTGAAAAAAATGTACTGTGCAAATTTATTGTTTATCAATTATAAATATTTATTTTACGATAGTTATTAAAGAATAATCAACATTTTTTTAAATTTTTATTACATTAAAATTTTAAACACTATTGATAATGATATTTATGATACTTCCTCACATTCTCTGATGAAAAAGATACATATTGTTTCCTTTAATTTTAAAGGCTATATTAAGAATAACTAATACAGATCAAATTATAAAGGTTTATAACGGTTTAAAAAGGTTTTAATACTCTCAGATTTAATTTAACTTATGAAATCTTTGAGATAATACAAGTCTTATTCATTAATAAAAAATAAAAACAGTAAAAAGTTGGTAAAGTTTAAAGGAAATATTTTCAACCACTAGCTCTAGCCAAGTAATTGAAGTTTCCAATTGAAGTATTAAATAAAAACATTGAAAAATATATATTTTTTCAACTGAAAATATTCTCGCTTATTCCAAAAGGCATCAATAAAACAGTTTATCTAGTTTTTGGAGTAAAAAAAAAAAAAATTCATTTTAGCTCATGTCATGCTGATTTGAGTTTTCCCTTATTTGTTCCACTTTGTGATGTTCAGTGGATGGCGGACGGATAAAATTGTTTTTATATGATTTTCGAGTGATACGTATCCTGAAGTGTAAAACCTCAAATTTCAAAAGGGAGCTTAATTTTTTGAATATTTTGGACGGGTACAATGGTTCATTATTGAAAATAATTAACCGAAATACATAAATGTTAAAAAAAAAACAGTCCAAATAATTTTGTTTACCTTTCTCTTAAAAATATAATTATCCAATTCATTTTATGCTATTAATAGTCAACTATAATCAATCAACTAAAGGGACTTTTAATATCTTTTGTAAATATTTTTTTTTAAACATAATAATTCTAAAACCAGAAAAATAAATTAATACCAAAATAACATTGTTGTTCATTTGATTCTTTTTTTTTTTAGGACCCAGCTAAAGCCATCTTCCTCGTATCAAATATCTTGATATTAATATGTATCCCATTTCGATTGATGGATGACAAAAGAACTGAGGAGGCAATATTAGTATTTGCAGTGCCTGGATCATGGTTCTTACTCATGTTTTTTGCAGGGTATTGAATTGATTTAATTTTGCCATTTAACATTATTTTCTCATATATTTTTTACAAGACCGATCAAAATATCTTAAATATTAGAGTAATATTAAATATATGCTCCATTCTTTATGCCTTTAAAAGAGCTGCTGAAGTGAGATAAAATCATATGGTTTCATATTGTTACATGGACGAGTTCTCTCCTCTCCTCTACAGTTCTTGCTATGTCATGATGAAGGCCTGTAAAATTGATCAAAAAGTTCTCGTATATTAATATAACTGAATAATAATAATTTATTCATATCATGAACTTCCCTATCCGACCATCCACTTTTAGATCATAACCACAGTTTAAAATCTGCATAATATTTGTTAATTATTGTTTGTTTTTAAATATTTTTTTAAAAAGTTACTTTTACCTTAAATTAATTTTAAATTTCAGTTGAATTATCTATTTAAGATTAAAACTATTTTTTTTTCTGATTTTAGTGCAGTGAGATTAACGGGACCATTTGTAACAATGGTATATAGTATGATAGTTGGAGATATGTTTACTTTTGGAATAATTTATTCTATTGTGCTCTTTGGATTTTCCCAATCATTCTATTTTCTGTACAAAGGATTTCCAGGAGTTAAAAATACTCTTTACAGCTCATACCACAGCACATGGATGGCTTTATTTCAGATCACTCTCGGTGATTATAATGTAATTGTCTAATGTTGTATATTTGTCTTTAACAAAGATATTATAAATTTAAATAAAAGATTTTTATTGATGATTCTAGTATGCTGAATTGTCGCATACTTCATACCCGACATTAAGTAAGACAGTGTTTGCTATCTTCATGATTCTAGTCCCTATACTTCTGCTTAACATGTTAATAGCTATGATGGGAAATACTTATGCCCATGTGATTGAACAAAGCGAGAAAGAATGGATGAAACAGGTAAGTGAGTTTCAGTCAACTGAAACATTTCAATTTCTGTTGTACCTCATAATTTCAATATGATGTATAGTGGGCCAAAATTGTGGTTTCACTGGAAAGAGCGGTAAACCAGGAAGATTGCAAACAATATTTACAAGAATACAGCATAAAGCTAGGACCTGGAGATGACCCATCGACAGAACAGCGTGGAGTAATGGTTATAAAAAGTAAAAGTAAAACCAGAGCTAAACAAAGGAAAGGAGCTGTAGCTAATTGGAAGGTAATTGTATATTTTTTATTATTTAATTTTTCTGAATACTTAATGCATTTATATTGCATTTATGCATAATATTAATCATTATTAATTAAACATCAGAAGTAATAAAAATAATGGTTATATTTTGTACTCAAATTAATATCAGTAATCAATTCAAATAATATAGAAACTTTCAAGTACTTAATGACCTTATTAGTTATTATCTGATTAATTATTATAACTTAATAACAGTAAACAACAATTCTGTGGTATATTATAAAATTTGGTAGTTTGACCAAATCTGCCCATAATATTGAGGTATTATAGCAGAAAAAATGACCACACACTATGAAAAGACTTCTGAAAACATTAAATTGCTGATTTTTAGAGAGTGGGCAAGGTAACAATCAATGAGCTTAGAAAACGAGGGATGAACGGAGAACAATTAAGAAGAATAATGTGGGATAGAGCTTCAATATCAACACCAGTTAAAGTACCTCAAAAGTAAGTAAAAGATTTCTGATTGATTGAGCAATCACTTTGAAACCATTTCTACATAATTATGTTTTAATTATATAACAATTTCTTCATTCTAGGAATGTATATTTTTCATGATTCAAAGTGAAAATATATTTATAGCATAATCTCATTATTTTGTAAACTATTCTCTTCCATGATAATTTAAATTATTCTTATATTAAATTATGTTTTGTTCTTCCCTCACTACAAGTATAATGTAGGAAAATGTTAAAGATTTTATAACTATACGTATCTACATAATAGTATATAAAAAAAATTAATTATGGACATCCAGCCAAAATAATATTAATTATCATGTTCTTATTACAGCCCTGTAGTAGATGTATTAATGGAAAACACGGCAGAACAACAAGCCCAACAAACTCCAGGAAGTTTTGGAGGAGCATTAACTGCAGCACTTGATGTAATGGCTTTCACACATGATTTAGATTTATCAGCATCTGGAATCACTTCTTCCGGCTTAAGTACTTGCTTTAAAATGAATTAATTCATTAGTTTTTGAGTTATAAACACACAAAAAGTAATGAGCACCCATGTTCCATAGCCTAATCCTATGGAATCTATATATCCTAAGTATGGTAATAAAAGATTATTACATTACTTATAATTTTTTTCAAAATTCTATGTAAACAATGGTTTTCTCTCTTAGTTAGAAAAACAACGAATTTTGATGTCTTTTACTATGCTGTAAAATTGATATAAAGGTATCATTAACGCAACAGTAAGTTTTTATGAAGATAATAAGATGCTTTCTATTAGACACGCAAGGTAGTTTTTAATGTAACTCTCATATAAACACCCACATCATGTCATTTGATTGTTACAGTTTCAAAGATTCTTATCTCTATTTTTTTCCATGGACAACTCCATTATATACAAAAGTTTCCAATCTTCATTAATTTAAACTATTTCTAGATGCAAAAGAACTTATTGTTAGCGATCCCTTCCGTGATCTGGTGTTGAGCTCCGAAATAGATGTGGGAGAGGAAGAATTGGCAACACTTGCGGAAGCTGCTGTTCTATCGGTGATGTCAGTAAGTTCTATTACCTTTTTTGTTTATTTTCCATAATTTATGGGTTATATTTGAAGATTAATTCATAAGTTTAACTTTCTAAATCATTACAATTTGGTATTAATTCAGAAGAATCTGGCCCCATGAGGATTATCTCAGCAATTATAATGATGATACTATAATTAACTAATGTTAATAATAAAATAACTATAATTAGTTTACTCTTCAAGATAATTCAGTTATCGACAAAATTCATAATAATATGCAAATTCCTCATTTGATTTATTTAGCCGAGGTGTGAGAATAAGTATATACCACATCTTTTCCAATAATTCATGAACAAAATGAAATTGTTTTTTAGTTGTTTATAAACAGATAATGATTTCGCTACTGTTTTTTTTTTTTTGTTAAAAAAAATTTTTATAATAAAATTTTAACATTTTTTTTATAAATAAAAAATAAATCTTTATTATTATCTATCAAGAAATATCTAGAAATAGTTTTCCATCTTCAGTTACCTTTTATTTTTATAAAAATGTTTTAGGGCCAATCTGATGAATCAGAAAAACTAAAAATAGCTAAATTTAATAAGCAAATCAGTTTTGAACAGAATGCAGTTCTTGAAGTGAGTGACAGCGATGGATTCCTAGGTAAGAAATTTATTTCATCCTGAAGATGCTCGTGTTGATCATTGGCCATTTTCTTTTCAAATAAAAGGTGTTCTATCTATTAGTTCCTTCATGTAATCCTAAATTAACTGATTCACAGTCACAGACAAACCAACTAATTTTTAAGACTTCGTGCATTGTCTAGAAGAAAAAAAAATTTTAAACAGTAAAAATAGACTATCTAAAACTTAAGCATGTTATATCAAAATCTACTTCAAAAAGCGCGATGTGCCGTGAAAGATTTACTTAAGCTGAGGCATTTTATGTCAAAAAGCGATAAATTAAGATTCTGAACTTTACTATGAACTACTCGGATTGAACTTGGAGCATAAACAACAGAAACTCGGCTAGCATTGACTTATTTACTCAATGAAATAATTAAACATCAGAAGTAATAAAAATAATGGTCATATAAATTTGTACTTGCTCAAATTATTAACCAAATATTATTTATTAATATTAACAATATAAATATGATTGTATGGAACATGTAAAATTTAACAAATAAATGTCCCCTGTACAGTTGTTATTAGTAGTATGGGAATAAGTTCATATAACCATGTCAGTAAAAAATTAAATTTCCAAAACTAAAAGATGCAAGAACTATTAAAAATCTTTTCATTTGATCAATATTTGCTAAGAACTCCAAACATTTCCTTTCTAATCCCTTGAACTAAACTATTTAGATGTACGAAGACTATTTAAAAGAATGGGAGAGAAAGGATGAAAGGAAGTGATAGAGAGAGAGAGAGAGAGTGAAATGACATTTTTCCTGAAATTTTAAGCAGTTCAAATATTTTAATTTCTTTTTTTTTACGAAAAAATAAATATAATTTTCATCCTTATTAATGTAAAACGCATTCAAATTTGATGATCAGATGGCCAGCCATTGGGTCAAGGATCACGAGCAAGAAAAGTTAAATCAGCTCAAGAGAGGCAAAGAGCAGAGAGGACGTGGGGTGGAACAAGCATATCGTCAATAGAGGAACCACCACCATACCTCCCTTTACCTCCCCCACCACCACTGCATTCCCATCAACGACCAAGGCCCAAAACTGCGAAACCTAACAGGTTCAATAATGTTTTATGTTCTTAGTTTTAATTAATTTACCTTAGCATTGCCTAAATATCTGTTGTCTCCTCCAGCCTAAACCCTTAATCCACTCACTAAAAACGAGATCCCGTGTTTCTGACCTCTATATTCCATTCCACAGGACAAAAACCTATGAACATTCCTTCTTAGCCCGCTCTGTCTCCTATTGGAATTCTTTGCCACATAACATCCGTCATGCCTCTTCCCTGTCAACTTTCAAATACCTCCTTTTCCAATATCTCCTTACATCCCAAACAGAAGATTTACCACCATAAATTTCATTATATGAACTGAATTTGCGTGAAGTAAATAGTGGTGCCTACTGTTTAAGTTTTAACATAAAACAGCAATGATCTTTGTCACCTAGTTTGACTATTATTTTTACTATTTATTTATTTTTCTCTTCTCCTCAGGTTGTGCTTTTTTTTTTCGGGTATATATGTTCATATTTTATATCTTTGTTTTTATGTGTGCCAATATGAGAATGTACGTATAAATAGTTCCTTTTAGTTATTTTTTTTTTTCCATTACACCACAAGTATCGTAAGACTTTATTTTAGCTTAGTGTCTGCATATTATTATTGTATTAAGTTAGTTTTCTATTAGATAGCCTATTGTTTATAAATTGTGTACTTATGTATATATAAATATGTAATTTCTCTTCTTTTTTTTTTCTTCATTACAATTAAGTAATTTTGAGATTTTATGTTCATTTGTACATATATTTTATTTTTTATTGTTTACTGGTTACATACTTTTTAAATAATGTATATAATATTAAAATTTTTAGAAGTTAGTTTTTGGCCAGATTTGTACTTTACTTTGTATTAACTCATCATTGTTATTCTAAAGGGACTTAGTCCCAGAATAAAGTTTAATTTTCTATTCTATTCTATTCTATTGCCTGATGTTGTTATACATAAATAGAAGGTGATGAAAAAATAATGACATATAAACTTTATAAAGTATCAAAAATATAAGAAATATCAACAATGGCTTAGTAATTATAATCAACAGTCATCAACAAAAATTAACTGAATTTGTTATTATACAGCAAAGTGGTTTACCTGAGCATTAATGAGAGTTGATTTGACTTTGTAATATTGCAGAGTCGTCCCAGAAGCAGTGGTAGCAAAGCGTCCACAGAGCTCAGCTTTAGGGGACAGGGTTAAGTCCCCACCAGAACTCCTTGAACCATGGAGCACAAGAGGCATTGCAACCATAAATACAATACTTGCTTGGCAACCTTCTGATCAAGACAGCATGTAGTAATGAAGATGGCTTCTCAAATTAGAATGTTATTAATATGAGGTAATCAAATTTATCAGTGAACAAAAGGAATTTGTAAATTTTATAATGTACTAAATACTCCTGATGTACTGATCAATACAAAAAATAAATCTTTAAAAATTGATGATTTCTGATAATAACTCCTATCTCATATGAATATCTATATTAGAATAAGATATTAAATGAGCCAAGTTTCAAAATGATATTGCCATTATTTTAAAGCTAAAAAAATAAACCATTCCATATTGTGTCTGGCAAGTATAGTAAGTAGTAACTGTTTGAGACATATCAAGTCCAATAATCTAGTTAATTTTCTGGATAACATCTCATCTCTCAACAGAAAACAAATTATTAATCTACAAGACCATACTGAAACCTATCTGGACCTACGGACTTGAACTGTGGGGGACAACTAAATCATCGAATATCAAACGCATCCAATCCTTCCAGTCCAAAGTCCTTCGAACAATAGTCAAGGCTCCATATTATGTCACGAACAAGACCCTACACCATGACCTTAACATCCCATATGTCCATGACATCATCCCATCCAGATTCTCCAACTTTCACCAGAACCTCATTTATCATCCCAATCCTCTAGCGTAATCCCTATCCAGCTCCGAACATCCATACCATCCCCCTCAAAGGTTGAAACGGCAGTGACCTCGAGATCTTTTGTAAATATGCCTTTGGAGTCTTGGCAATGGCCAGCTTCTCCACTCATGTCCTGAGCGTCTGTGGCTCTAGTGCCCTCTTTCAGTCTCCATTGGCTTCTAATACTAGTGATGCGGCTGGAAAAGTGGCGCTGGGATCTTCTGGAGTCTTGCTTTGCCTTCCACGTGTGGGGGAAAAAGCCTGGCTCGGAGATTCTTGGGCGAATGTATATATTGTATATAGGTATTGTGTTTAGAAGTTTTTATTTTATTTTATTTGTTTATTTTATTTTTAATTTTTATTTAACTTCTTCACCAGTATTATTTATTTACTTCTTATATTTATTTCTTTATTATTTGTATATATTGTATGAATGAGAACTTTTAGCCCTAATGCTTATAGCCCTCCAGCAGTGGCTGATTGTATTATTATTCAATAAACAAAACAAAAAAAAAAAATTTCTGGATAATGTCAAGTACTCAGTTTAGGACTTAGTTCATCCAGTAAGTTACTATCAAATTACTTTCCTATAAAGAGACAGTGGGGTTCAGAAACAACAATTATTTATTTATATTAATTCCAGATGGAAACTGATTAATGAGAATGTACTTTACTTAACCTGGATACTGGTTTCTATTCTAGAATACTTACTGCCTCATGTGGTACACTGGAGTGAAACTACTCATTTATTATTGGATAACCATTCCAAAGGCATTGAATCTAACAATTCACATAAACTAAACTGTAATAAACAGTTTAATCTAGTACTTAAACAAGAAATTTTAATTTTATATATGTGCTTAAAACCTGTGTAACTACAAATGAAGCAATAAAACATAGAGCTATGACACTAATGTTACTTAATGCACTATTCAGTGCTATCAGGAAAATTCACCTAAAAAACTATTTCATAGACATTAGGTGTATTACTAATCAAGTCTCCAATAAATATTTAGCAATATCTATATTAGATATTATTATAGATTAATATTAGATAGGTAGACACAAACTGATCAAATGCCATACACCACAAAATATGTTAACAACTAATGTAGAAATATAGATAGTGTACTTAAATAAGATAGATGGATAATGAATAAATATTCACAGTTTTCAACAAAAAAAATTTAATAATTTATAAACAATTCAAATCACACATGTCTCAAATTTACACATAACAAAAGTTTAGAAAAATGTCATCTAGCCATCAATAAAAATGATGACATCAGTATAATATTTTTAAAATAACATCACACAATTAAAATATTTAAATCTCATTAAAGTTTAAACTTACTTAAAGGAGTAAACAAATGGCTATGTCCATTATTTCTTTAAGGAAAAGATAAGTTGAAGTTTAAAAAAAGAAATATATACATAGAGATCATTAAAAAATTGTACAAAAAGGGTTCAGAAATAGCAGTGAATAAGTAACATGTATTTCTTTGAGCAAATCACATGTTCTTCATCATATACTTATATTTATTTATTTACAATTCAGTCTTACTATTCAAACCCATAGAGAGTTTTGCTAAAGCGAGTTTGCAACCTGAACTGGAAAATGAAGTTCCTGATTGAAAACCTAGCAGCTCATAAACTTTTCTAAAGTCAAAATCAAATTAAAAAAAATATTTTAATATACATAAAACATAAAATAAAGATATTTTAACATAGAAACAGTACATTAAGTTAAAGTATTAAATGAAAATAGGAAACTAGTGTTCTACCACCTAAGGTACCTAACTCATTTAAGGAGTAATAATATTAAACTTGAACTTTGAGTAATATATTAAACTTGGTTTTGACAAATAATACTTGAAAACAGAGATTCAAAAGTTACAACTAATTAATCAGCTGTAATTAAACCTTAATTGTTCAATAAGCTTAAACAAGTTAACCTGCTATCTGGGAAATAAACTTTTGTTCAACTCGTTTCACAATGAGGAATTTTCTCTTTATAATTATAAGTAATATCATCACACCTCAAGAAATAAAAGGAAACAATTTGTAGCTTATTGATTTTATTTATTTCGACAAAATATTTTATAACATGTTATAAAAGAAAGAAAGAAAGAAAGAGATATTTCGTCATACCCAGTTAACAGGTTAAAAAAAAAACCATACAATATTTTTTTAATATTCTACTCACTTATAATCATTTTCTGTAATGTCGTATCCTTCATTCACAAATCCTTTATCAATACATTTTTTAATGTGTTCCTTCTCTAATGGCAAAAATGGTATAATTTTATTAATTGGTTTCATGAAAATGCTATCTCCTGAATAGCCTAAAATAACCCAAATTTGTTATCATGAGAAAACAAGTTATTGATATTATATTTGATAATTGAAATAATTAAAAGTAAATTTTAATAAAATAATTAATCCTTAAAGATAAAACTTAAAAAAAAAAAATGTACCAGAAAACCATGCTAAAAATTGAATTAAATCTACCTTTAAAATGCTTTTAGAAGAAAAATAATACATAAATGATACGAACTCATTAATTGTTAATGAATTTACATAATTGTCTACTAGCCATTAATGATTGAATAGTTTATAATAATGTCTACTAGACATTAGATTGGTGAATAGTCAGTTTCTATGAGAAAATTATTATCAATTTAATGTGCTTCATAAAATTCTAGGTTCAAGTATGAAGGCTCCAAAAGTGAATGATTGAGGCAGGAAAAATATACTTTAAAGCTTCTGGTTCTTTTTTGTATATACTTACTTTTCCTTTGCGTATATAATATTATTATATAATCCAACTAGAGTAGGGAATTTGGTTTCAGCCATAAGAGGATGGGCGACAGTGCAAATTATTGAAAGTTTATGAAAAAAAAATATCCCTTCATTAATACACGCCTTGGTCACAACCATATTGGTACATAACACATAACACCCTTCCGATTTGCCAGTTCTGGGCCTTTATTTTAAAATGATTGATTGAATTTTGTTACTTTTGAGCAGTATAGAGTTGAATCAATTGTTTGTCCTGATGATCATAGCTCATAGAAAATAACACCCTTGAAATCACAGCATACGGAAAGCACTATCTTCTTCGGATGCAATCCATGTTTAAAATCCTTCTAGGAGCCTAGCTACTAGATTCCCAAGATTTTTTTTTTTTTTACATTATTATAAAATGTCCATTTTTCTATCTCCTGTTACCAACTTTTTCAAAAATGGGTCGTTTTGTTGCCATTTTCATAGTGAATCAAAAACAGAAATGCGTGTTGCCAAGTTAACTTCGGTTAGAGAGTGAGGGACCCAAACATTAAGCCTGGAAACATAGCCAAGGTTATGCAAATGGTTTTCTACGCTTGTCTGCGACCCATTTAGGGCCATAAATCTCTCGCACTGATTGGGTGGAATTTTGATTAACAGTGACCTTAACATTGCTCATTAAATTTCATGTGGGTGACCAGACTGTTGAGCATCATTGATGTCAACGCACGCACGCACGTTAACGATACAGGTATATTGTGGTTTTAAGGCATTTCTCTGAATGTGCCTTGTGTTAGATTGCAATCAATGAGACAATTGGAAGGCAACTAGATAACCGAATAAAGATAACGCTTCAGATTTATGATCAATGACAAAAAACTTAAGAACTCTGAGTAAAAGTTGAAGAACATCATTACCGCCCTCTAATGGATAAAAGGGACTGCAAAGTAAAATGAAGGCCTTGTTGCCCTTCACACCAAGGTATTTATTTTGTTATTATGATCTGCAAGTTTATTATTTACAAAGGATAAATAAGAAGGTATAAAATTAAGTATTGGTTTCATGATTTTCTTGATTGATAGTAACATTCCCACAAATATTGTTGAGAATCAAAAAATACACAAGATAAATATTGAGACCAGAGATTAAATAATATATACTTTCATAGGGTTTAATTATAACACCTAAAAGTTCCACTCATCAATATTTTATAAATAAAAAATCATCTGAGTATTTTGATTTATAAAGAGTTAATTTTCTTTTCTTGTATATATATATATATATATATATATATATGGGAAATAAACCTAATATATATATATATATATATATATATATATATATATATATATATATTATTTTAAAAATGGATATTCTTATATTTTTATGAAAACAAAAATTTAATGTAACAATTTCCTTAAATAATAGTTTTTTTTTTCATGATTGTTTAATTATATTTGTTACACATGTAAAATAATAATTAGTGCATATGAAACTCTCTTCATCCTCTTTTCTCAGTCTTTTCCAATTTAATTTTTTTCTTATCTAGACCCTGCCAACTGATAACTAACTTTTGTTTTATTTTCGTTCATCCTAATTTTAACCTTATTTTTAGGGGATTTCATATTGTCTGTCTTAATCCTATTAAAAATTATGACAAACATGAATTACACAAAATTTCACATTTATTTGATTTTTTTAAACTTTATTTCTTAACCTACACCTGACAGAAATACTGACAACCAATGATTCTGCTGTCGGGAAGAATAGTAGTAGTGCGTTGGTAGGAGTGCTCAGTGGCATCCTTTCTTATCTTGATTCTAGTACTTATATTTAAGCGAGATCCCTCATCCACTTTCTTTTGAGCCTCCTAAACATGTTATTGGGAATGTTAATTCTGGCCATACCTCATATGTTAAATCTGACTCTCAAAAAATGATTGAAACTTATCTTTCAGGGGAAGAAGATATAACGTGAAATATTAAAAAAATAATAAATAAAAATATTTCAGATTAGTTTTAATTTAATCTTGTCACCATTTGATGGATTAGTCTTTGGGGGCGTGTAAATTTACCATGAGAGATTATTTCTCAGCTATCATTTTGAAATGACTGAGGAGCTTAAAATAACAGGAGGATCTATAGAACAATGGTAATTCATCGGTTCCCGGTTAGCAGCAAAATGGGTGGAACCTGGTTATTGGGTCTCCCAACTACTCACTGGACATGGGGGCTTCCGAGCAAAGCTCTTCCAATTTGGAAAGAATATCGACCCCTTGTGCCCCAGTTGGGGAGTCCCAGAGACTGCCGAGCACATTGTCGTAGCATGTACTGCCTATGAGGCACAGAGAGCAAAACTGCTCAGGGAAACCGGTCTCTACATTTTGACTGAAAGGGATCTCCCTCAACTCATGAGTGAGGAAAACTATCCTCATTTGAAAGACTTTATTTCAAAATGGAAATCCATTATAGGCCCAACTCATTTCTGCTTGGGAAGAAGAGGAGCTGCACCGCCTGGAAGGCCGCCGGACGGAGTAGCAGAAGAAAACCGTGACCAAACTTAGAAGAAATGTAGTCGAAATATGGACCCAGTCTATAAATATTGTTTTTCTAGGAGCAGTGTGTTGTTACGCGGAAACGCTTAACATCTCACTGCTGCTAAAACCCGTATTGCCTGTCAGGCACGACAGGGATGTAAATAAATAAAAAATAGAACAATGGTAATTATATGACAATGATAGAATGTTTTTTTTTTTAGATCATCAAAGTTCAACAATTACCATATTTTCTTTGGTATAGGTAGTTAAGAATAATAAGGTGTTAATAATTTCTGACAGAGCAAATTCACAAACACTGACCATTTAGGCAAACCTTAAGGAATAAGGAATACTTCGTCTTAACACAACTCAAGTAAACAAGTGCTTATATAACAGAGACTTTCCAATATATAATATGTTACAAGAAGTTGAAAGGGTAGTTAGCCAAACTATAGATAGAAAATGGAAAAAAAAAAAAAAAACCTTTATCAAGCATCGCATTCTTTATGATGTTATGGAACTCATCTATATGAAACATTTCTCTTCTTTCACCTTTTCTCAATAAATCTAAAGTTAAGGCAGTCAGCTGTTCAGCACCCACTTGAAATAAAAATATAAAAACGCTTCCACTGAAAATCATGATACTAAATTTATTAAGCAATACTGACGCTAATATTCAATTTTCTTTAGTATTAACACACCTTACCCATATTTTAAACCACCATCAATTTTTCTAAATACATTCAATTCCTGAAATATTTCTGAGGGGAAGTAATCAGCATCGTCAAAAATAAAAAGAGACCTTTCGCAGTCCCTAATTGAAGAATCGATTAATTGATTAATATTAGCCTAAAAAAAAAAAGAAAAAATTAAAGAGAAAGAAAATTAAAAATAAATAAAAAAGATAAAAATTATTATTAGTTTGATATTAATGTTAGAACCCAAAATAAAACCGTCTCTTAAATATCAATTGCTAACCAACTAGTCAACATTTTGTCAATCCATGTAACATACCAATAGCTAAACAAAATTACTGTACTATCAACTATAACTATATAGGGACAAGAAACAACCAGCACCTGTGAACACAGGCAGATCTACGGAAGAAGACTTTCGAGGTGAAGCCTTTCCCAAAATGGTAAAATGTAACCATGCTTTATCAAAAAAATTATCTCTAAAACTATTATTGTTCGTCTTATTACATTTAATAGTACTTAAAGAATCACTTAAACACCATTTCATATAAGTAATTAGTTTCTTTCTTTCTTACGAAGTAATTATCATAATATATAAATATAAAAAAAAAAAATCTTTGGGGCTGAAGGTCTCTCCCCCCCTCCCCAAAAAAAAATCCTGGGTTCGTTAGTGCCTGTGAAATATATAGTCAGATAGTGTATAATCTTGGTAGTTCAGTGAAATTCAGACTAAATCAATTCCTTATAAAGTTAATCCTGTTTTAATCTCAAGAACCTTCATGGGTTGTAGGGGTGGAGATTATTATTTTTTTTAATACATTATTTTATATTATTTTCGAAGTCACTTTGTAGAACTGAGAAACTGTACTTTGTTTATGACACTTTATTTAACTACAAAAACCACGATTGAGAGTCATTACTGTAGGTAGCAGGTGGAGTAAATGGGCAAATATGGTAAACATATTTTTTAACAAGATCTCATAAAAGTTCAATGAATATTTTAGAAATAGAGAAACATGTTTAAACATACTATTTTAACTAACAAAAATTATTAAGATATACATGAATTATTCACATCGAGAGATAAAATTTTTCCTATAACAAAATAAACTTGATTTAATAAATAGAAGTATTAATTTCAAATCAGGTTACTTGTAACACATATCACTCAGTAATTACATACAGAAAGCAATAGAGCCAGTACTATAACTGACAGCTTCTAAAAAAAAAGAACCTTCACCACTCTTTGTGAAACAAAAAGTGTGGAAAATGAGTGATAAGAGATTGCTGTTGATATATTGTTCCTAAATGGATAGATAAACCACTGTTCTCACTCTCTGGTCTGAGGTGATAATTCTGTTTGCAGAAAGGGTATCTTTGGCTTAATCCATTAGAAAAATAAACAGTCCAGAGAACATTTCCTTTCGCAAAGTAGTTTTTAGGAGTTAAGTCAGCTGTAGCTCAAGTAATGAAGGAATGTAAGACAAAAATACATCACCTCTGTATCAACTTCAGATCTGTGTACAAGGTAGGCAATGTTGATATAAATATAATTGAATATCCGCGCAAAAATTATCAATCTGATGAAGCTAATCATGTCTGGAGTATAATGAGAATCTTATCCCTCTTGAAAAGGTTTAATAGAATAATGCTTTGACATGCCAATATAATCATGAAAAATCTACCAAAGATTAAAATTGGCTTTATTTCCAATAGAAAGGTCCAACTCATTACTAAAGTCGATAATGTTGAAATTCTGAGGATAGTGTAGCGAATGACAAGCTGGGTCAGAAGGATTCCAAGCTTAAGAGCGTAGTGCTGAAAAACTGAACTTGATTTGTGATTAATTGTAATTCCAAGTGATGCCTAAATTCACATATCATATTCAAAGGTGACAAATGATATCCATATCTGTAGAAACATGTGAAGAATGTCTGTAGATCATTATTATGACAGAACAATGAAAATGTTAGGTCTTATCTTGTAGAATTGCGTTTTGACAGAGTTGAATGGAGAGAGAGAGAGAGAGACAACGACTAATGTTGAAATCAATAATGATCCTCGAGATTTTCTAAGACTAATAATAATTATAAAATATCTTTCCAATTGCATTGAGCACAAGACCAATAACAATTATCAGCAAGTTTAAATTCAAACTAACAAGAAAAAAGTCATAAAACATGAAATTGTAATAATTCGTTAAAAATTGAATATAAGTAATTCTAGGAGATTTTCATGAGGAACATCACAGTTACAAACAAAGGTCAAACATATATTTATTACATTTTAACTGCTTGTAAAAAAAACAATAAAGTTCAAGAGAGGAATGGGGTTTTGGAATAGATAGGCCACACATGACCATCCATGTAAACATCGACGAAGATGACAGATTGGTACTTCCACTTCTTTTCATAAATAATTCTACTGTTGAATCTTGAACATTTCACTGAAAAAAAAATTATCCACTAAAATACAAACTTCTTAAATTTTTTACCTCATTTAAGTTTCCTATGAACTTTACGACAAACAAGTTAGTAGTAAACAAGATAAAATTATCTATTAATATTTTCCAAATTTTTAATTCAACATATAAAAAATTATTCTGAATGCAACAAAACTTATAATTAATTATAATAAACATATAATTAATTATGAGCAACTTTCTAGGACCTATGTTCTTAGTTAGTTCTGAACCTTAGAAATTAATTAGTATTCATAACAAATTAATTTTTAAAGCTATGGTAAATTAACATTTGCAACTCACTTTATGTTTATCAACAAGATGTTTGTCAAAAAATATGTTGTTTGCAGAAAATAAATGCTTATTTTTAATAAAAGGAGCAACTGATAATATTTCGGAGACAAAACTTTTTCCAACTCCTGGTGGACCATGAAAACTCAACACCAAAGCATTCTTGCTGTCCTTATAATTCGCTTTTAAATAATAATCTTCTAATATTGGAATAAGATTATTTTTAACAAAAGGTTGGCCGAATACATCAGATTTAAGTTTTTCTTTCAAACCTGCAATGTAAATAGAAACAGAAAAATCAAAATATTGCTGTTCTTACTAATTCATTAAAAAATAAATAATTTTTAAAAATAATAAAGATCAATACACCAAGAGTGGATATATTCAATGAGCATAAACCATTTAAGGCATCTCTTTAAGATATTTATTAAATTTCAACCATCCATTACCAAAACTGATAATCCAAAAGTAGGAAGAAGCTTTATGGATTTATATTAAACAAATATTTCACAGCATTTTCAGCAAGTTCGATTAAAAAAATTAGATTTTTAGTTAACTGAAGTTATAACTTAATAATTAACTTAACAGTAGTAATATTCCAATTGTATATAATAAAGCATGTATCATTATAATCTAAGAAAGGTCTTGACTGCTGTGCTTCAGGTTAAGGGTTGATAAGGTATTGGGGACAACGGAAAAGTTATTTCATCAATATTCCATTACACCACTAGTTTCTCCTCCAGTACGTTAAACACTCAGGTGCCAGAATACTGAGTCTGAGTATGTCTCAGAAGAATATCTGAATTTCAGTCATTCCATAGATGACAAAAGTAAATTTTAAATTATCAGCACAAATCAAACCTGGGCTAAGGAGTTGGCAGAACAGGATTTACTTAAGATAAGTGTGGCTTTACTTGCTAAGCCACAACAACAATGAAACAAATAGTATAAAATAGGGATAAATAATTTTAATTTTAAACTAATGTTACTTCCTAAATATCCCATTACACGCTACACAGATATTAATCATAATTATCAATAGAAAAAATGTAAATGTTAAGTGAAATTCAAATTTTACAGTAATACTTATGGGAATAGCGACATAAGTGATTTCACAAAACATCAATTCTGAAATACTAAGTAGATGTAATGTTTTGAAAAACTAAACTGCCATTATACAAGAAAAATAGGCAAACATAAAAATAATAACAAATACTTAATGCAAACCATGAGAATGGTAGATCCAGAATATTTGAAAATCAATTCAACCAGCTCATAGAAAAATTATTCAAGTAATACATTTTTTCATACTGAATTTAACATGTCAGATACTAAAAGCCTTTCTATTTTTTCATTGTTAAAGAAATCAACCCAAAGCCATATAAAACTATATTTATAAAATGTAATATGACAAATTCACAGCAGAAAATACAAAATCTATATAACTTATTAAAAACAGAATTCTATGATTAAAATATTTACGACAGTAACCAAATTAAAATATTAAGACAGTAACCAAGATGTATGGCTTATCATACAATGATAAGTCTGTTAATAAGGACTACTAGATGGAGTGATATATTAATTAAAAATTGAATAGTTGATAAATTGACAGCGCTTGATAAAACCATAAGTTATACACAAACCATTTAATTAATCAAATACAAACCAGGAAACTCTTTAGTTGGTAACCAAAACTCATTACAAAAAACCAAGTTATCAAGATTCAGTCCAAAATTGCGTATAGAATCCAAAATACTTTGGGAATAGGTGAATTCCAAGTAGAGAACAATAATAATAATTTTTATTGTTTTTTTAAAATAACTCATAGTCCTATAATGTTATATTAATAACAGTGAGTAGAACTTTTTGGTTTTAAATACTTTTAGTCCAACAAATACTAGCTCAGATTGATAAATGAAAATATCCAGTTTATGTTAACAAATAGTTTCTCCAAAGAGGTATCGCCTTAGGTCCGTAACTTGATCTTATAAAATAATGCTTTAACGAAGAAACTCATAATCATAGATCTGAATATCATCGGTCTCAATGTAAAACCGCGTAACTGTCAAATCCCAACCACTAAAAAAAGTAAGAAAAAAATTAAATCCTCACCAAATCGTAAACTTTTAATAAATATCTAGGAACAGGGTAGCATTTGGCCCCGCCATCAATTCCGGTAAATATAAAGTATTGGATCTTGCGACTTCAAAAACATATATATCATTAGGAGGAGAGAAAGTGTTTAAATTTTGTTTGCAACCTATCAATAAGAAGCCGTTGAAGTATAACACTTCAAAATAATTTTGCAGTCAGATTCTCGTTGTTGCTGTCAGCATTCCAAGAGGATATAGCCGAAATGGTCGTTTTGCTGAAACCATTAAGTCAATCACAACTTGCTTTTGACTTGATGACATTTTTTTCTCGTAGAATTACAGGAATCTTCTGTATGACATCAGCTGATTAAAAAAAGAATTCCTGAATTTATCTGGTTATAAATAGTACGAAAACGAAAGTAACCAAAGTTGGAAAGAAATTGAAGATAAGTATGGCTGTAACTGAGTAGAAGACAAGTTCCTGAAAGAAATGGAAAAATTAAAATACTGAGCGCACTAAAACAAAAATGGTTGTATCAATATTTAGGTGACCGAGTTAATCGCTGGAGTGAATAGAACTTTTGAACCGTTTCATAGAAATTTCCTAAACAGAAAAACGTTGAAAAGAAGACAAAAGTGGCTGTCTATAAATCAATAGTACTTCACATTCTGACGCACTTTTCTGTATCGTGGAGCCTGACCAAGAACCGTCAATAAAGAATACGTAATCGTCAGAAATGAGTTATCGAAGAAAGATTAATGTCTGGTTTCGATGAATCCGACAATAGATGGACTGGCGTACATTACGCTTCTTGAGGAATTTCTAGCAGCTGGTTTGGTAACCTTGGCTACACCATTTCGTTACATGGCCCTGATAGGATGTTTAGTTGTCCCGACAGCGAACGACCAGCAGGACTTAGATAAATTTAGTTTGATATTCGATATCCAAATCTGGGAAGTGGTCAAGGAAAAATTATCTGTTATATTGTTTCTCATGTTTCGAAGATTGGTTACCATTGCCAGAACTCCATTGACATCTTTACAAAAGATCTCGAGGACGAATTCTCTAACTTCAGCAGTGAGGGTGGAATGGAGTTCGGGGTGGGGAGTGAAGGTTTTGGATGGGTGTTTGGCAAATTCTTCAACTCTAGTCTCATCTGACGAAACTCAGGTTCCATCATCGCATCGGAGGGGTTGGGAAACAGAATGGTATTTAAGGATTTTTTTTGTCAATTTCGAGGAGTTTTCATCGGTAAATAGGGAAGAAAGATAGTTTAATTGTCTTTTTTTACCTAGTTGGAATAATAATTGTATGTTTTTCGATCATCAGGATGCCTGGTTCTTTGCCAAAGGGTCCTAGATTGGTGTTTGGATTTAATTAGGTCAGTAAGGTACGCACAAAGGATTCTGTTTATGGTAATTTTTGGAGGGGAGTGGTAAGAATGCAGTCCAAACTGCTTGTTGGATTAATGTAGTGTAGGAACTCACTGCATTATCTAGGTTTTGAGGGCTTTTAGGGATACTCTGAGGTTAATTGCATCTGCTATTGTTTGGTGGCAAACTTTCCAGTTGACTGGAACTCTGATGAATGAGGGAGGAGATAATTTGGAAATAGAAGATGCGGAAAGGGTTAGGTTTAACGGACTGTGGTCAAGAAAAGGCCATCAAGCTGTAAAACCGAATAATTTAACGGCCCCAGACCTTTGTGAATGAAGAAGTCAAGGACGTTGGGTTTACGGTTAAGATCAGTTGGCCAGTATGGAGGAGTATCAGGGGAAAGTATGTTTCTATAGTGGAAATTGCATAAAGCAATTTTCACCCGCGGGAGTTTGTGGTTCTGGTTCTCCATTGCTGATGATTAGCATTAAGGTCTGCACCTATAAGGAAATGATGTTCTAAGGATATAAGATGGCTATTTTAGGTGGAGAGTATGCTGCGACAACTATGACAGAAAAAAGTGAAGGTTGGATTGTTATTGCTGAGGTTAGTTGAAAATTATGAACTGGTAAAGGATACAAGTGATGGGAGAGGGATTGATGGATGATGGCAGCAGTAGCTCCATGTGTTCCATAAATGCTGAACTGTTGAAGGTAGGCCTCTTATTACTACTCTTAGTGCTCTCTCTTAGAATAACTGATAAGTGTGGAATTCCGCCTTTGTATAAGTTAAATATTTAACTATTTTTTTATTTTTCGGGGGAATCTGCCATCAACTTGGTATCATTGATTCAACTTTGACATATGTATTTTCCATTGTCCAGTAATTTATTGAGATACTGTCAAAATAGCGGGCAATGTTTTATATTTCTAATGAATATTGGACTGGAGGTGGTTTTGGCTCTCTGGGGGTTGGTGGTATTTCCATTGTTTCTTCTAATGACAGTAATTGATATGGGTTTGGAGTAAAAAATGGAGATTCATCTATTTCGGTGTTTATATTTTATGCAGTCATAGTTTTGGTTGAAGAAGTACCGTTTTGTGGGTCATTGATGTTATCACTTGGGTTATCAGATATTGAAGGTGGTGTTTATCTGTCAGAACGTCGAGGCTTTTGTTTTACCGGTGAGCTTCAAGAACTGTTATTGCCTAAACTTCTAGATCCTTTATACTTGCTAGACATTATCACATCTCGTGATGGTAGAATAATAAATGAAAGAGAAAAAAATAGTTTTTAGTACGTAAGTAATTACATACAAGTAAGACTTGTAGAGGCTGCCTAGCTGCATATGTGCTCCCTTAGAAGGCCCTAAGGCAACTAAAGGGAGTGGGGGCAATGACAGATAACTATGGCCTCTATTATTTATTTATTTGGTAGTTCATACATAGTTAATATATTTTTCAAAATAACAAAACTCCAGGAACTTTCTCAATTTCCAATTCAATTTGGTGCTACCTTCACCATCGTAACGTTTTATCTTGGATATTGGAATCCAAGAATCATATAAAAAAAAGAAAACATACTAATATTAAGTTATAATATACTGAGCATTGCATTTACATACAAAAAGCAGCTGCGTCGATAAAAGTATAAAAGAAAAATATACATACATTCATATACATACATAAAATACACACTATATATAAAGTAATTTTAAAAACTACGGAGGTAGCAATCCCTCCGCAATATAAGTCGTAAGAAAGTAATACTATAATACATAATTAAATAAAAAAACAAAAACAATAAACAAACAAATAAACAAAAAAATAAATAAACATAAAATTAAACAAATATAAATGAAATAAATAAATAGATAAATAAAACAAACCGTAAAATTGTAAATTATGACATCGATATAATCATCGAGTATCACGCTATAAACGAGGAAGCAGCCTGAACCAATTATTGTAATTCATGTGGGACCCTTTAAGGATTCTTATTGTAATGGCGTTCATCGTTCTCTTGGGAATTCCCAACATATCCATGTCTTGGAAAGATCGTCGGCACCATATTCCTCTCTAAGTTATTGTGAGCGGCAGTACTTTTATGTCCACGCCTAGCACTTCCAGTGTACGCCCGATCGCCATCCTGCAATCTAGGTCCCTATATTTATTGGCTTTGACATTGTTCCAGTGAGTGGTGCTAGGGTTATCTCCGACGACCTATGCATCTATAATGAAGTGTCCGCTTGATCCCGAGCACACTAGGTCTGGCTTCCACCTTCGTCTATTACCAACAAACATTTGCTCCTTTGTGATCCTGTAAACTTTCTTTTGGAGAGCAATTTCCAACATGCTCACTATTGTATCATGCCGGCGCACTCAACCACCGTGAGACAAAATGCAGTGTTGAATAATATGGCTGGCAGTTTCGCTTGCAGAACAACCAGTTCTACATTGGGTCGGCATAAAAGCCCTACGTCCTCTGGATAATCTCACTCGGGTTGCGAGTACATTTATATGAGTTCTTACCGTCTGTATGAAGGTCCGTCCGGTTACCGGAGCCGCGTAGTCTGTCAACCAATGAGTTGATGGGTGGCAGTTTTTTGACTCCCTTAATGCCTTACCATCAACGCTACGATATAACTTCGTGGACAGCGTTTTCTTCCGTTCTTCACTGGAAGTGTTTTCCGAGTTGAGGCCCATTTTCGTGAGGTTGCTTGTGAGTTTTATCATTTCCTTAGTAATAAAGGAGGAATGATAGGCGGCTCTTGCTACTGGGCAACCAGAGTACTCCATACGTCGTAACCTCGCGAGCTTGAGAGTATAGCACTGCTAAAGCTCATTACTCCCAAACCACCATCAGTACAAGCAGAGTGGAAATATTGAGTAGGGGTATCTTGAGGCAGTCGCAGCCAAGAACGTATTGCCGCTCTCGTTGAGATATCCAACTTTCTCAACTCATTCATTTTGCTTGGACTCAGTGTGAGTAGATGAATGAATTTTGGGGTAAGATAAGTTCTCAAAGTCACTAATTTTTTAAATGAGCTACATATGTGCTCCCTTAAAAGGTCCTAAGGCAACTAAAGGCAGTGGAGGCAATGATAGATAACTATGGCCTCTACCTAAACAATAAGCGGTTACTCACTGTAAACACTAAAGTTCACTAATTAACTGGTAATTAAGTCACTTTGCAGGAGACGATGAAGCAGGTTGGTAGATAGAAACTAGCGCATGCGCAGAGTACCCCAGGATACCAAAGTCTTAACTTATAATTCCCTAGAGGAGGTTTTGGCAAGAGAAGAAAATATTTTAAAATAATTTTACAAATAAAAGGACAAAACGTTAAAGTGTTCGCAGAGTATATCAACAATACTCCATCTGTAGCTGCCCACGAGAAACTTTTTCTCTACACAATAGTCCAGAGGTCTCCAAACTAGGATCCTTGAAAGTTTCTTTGATGACATGATCAAATTCAAAAATATGAAATTTAGTTACTACAACATTTATTATATGTTTGTTTTCTTCTAGAGAGCCCATTTCATAGCTGAAATGTCAGTTATAGAAGAAAAAAAAATTTCACCACAAGCCATGGTCTTGGGTGGAGGTCCCAATTCAGCCCGTGGAATTTAGTTGAGGTCTCAATGTGGCCCACAGACCAAACGTTTCGAGACTCTTGCTCTAGTCTAAAAGGTGGATTAAAAGGATAGGGCGCCGTTCCTTTAAATTATTTATGTGTCCTATTCTCTTGTAACTCTTAAACATTTAACTAGGTTGCTATGAACATCATGCACTATAATCACACTACGTTAAAACTGTATATTAATCCAAATCATAAATCTATTGAAAAAATATTTAAAAAAAGATTGACTTATCCTATCACGTAAACAGTTTTATTCTATACATGATAATGGCATCCCTTCACAGGTGATAGAGCCATCTAATATAATAACTCAATCAGCCTCAGAAAGTATAAACTATCCCTTAACTAATTCCTTTGTTTTTTGTTAAATTTCTACCAAGGTTTTGTTCAAAAGTTAAGCTAGTACTATTCTAGCTATATAATATATAGCTACTAAATAAGTTTTCATGAAAATATTATTCATTGGAGAAAATATATAGCTACATCATTCTCTTTTGGTCCTACAGACCAGTGTTCTTTGGTCAACTTAAAAATTTTCTACTATATGGATGCCATCCCATTGCATATCCATAGTAAATTTTCTTCACCTGCCTTTGCATGCTCATCCGGTTAACATACCCACACCATCTAAGTCTATTCATTTTTATGGCATCAAATAAGCAGGGATCCTTAAATTAAATATATATATAAGTAAATGAAATGATTTTTCATTAGTAAAAATCATATTTTTTTTTAATGAAAAATTTAATATCTGATGAGTGCTTTTAAATATAAGAATATAAGTGGATTTCAGACTAAGGTGGTACTATATAATTTTTATTTGAAAATGGCCAAAATAAAAAGGGTGAAAACATTATAATATTAAACATAATTTCATAAAACTTTTCGTTTTATTTTTGAGATTAATACTATTTCTCTTATTTATTAACTCTTAAACCATTTTACTATCCCATAAAAAAATGAGTGACCTCATAAAAGGTAAAAATCACAAACAATTTTTGTTACTAAAACAAAAAAATAATATTGATTTTGAATATTAAAAAATGGTTACAACCTATCACAAATATTAGAAAAATAGGAAGCATAGGTAAGAACAAATAAAATAAAATAAAATATAAGTTTTATATTTGGTAAAAAACAAAAACAATTATAACATGAGAATCTGTATTTTTTATTTTATCAAATTTACGCATAATCTGAAATTCATATTTTATTTTACAAAACAATATGAAAACCACTTTTCTTTTGGTATATCCAGAAAATAAATTTAAACATTATGCTCAATTAACAAGTTACATAATCACAGTACCAACAAAATTATTTTTCTTAAAAATAATATTATTTAAAATGAGCACAAGCTGGCATAACATTTATATTACAAGCTAGATGTCCAAAGGAATTTAGAACTTCAGTAAATACATTACCAATGGCAGTAACACAATCATAGTTCATCATGCCCTTGATACTTTCGAATTAGGCTTTCCACCAATTTACATCCACTCAACGAAAAAAGTGGTGCATCTTTGGGTTCAAATACTAAATCATCCACAACATTGCTAAAAAAAAAAAAAATAAAATAAAAAAATAATAATGTATATACAGTAATGATAAATACTACAAATATATGATATAAATAAATACTATATGCATATATTGTAATGATAAATTTTTTTGTTAAAATTAAATTAATAGTATTAGTGATTTTATAAGCTTTTGGTAAACAGGCAGAATTTATGAGGTAAAATAGAAAAGGATTTTTAGAATTGTATTTGGTTCGTTGTAGTGCCATTCAGTAAAAAAGTATCATATTTTTTGTTTTATAGAGCCTATATTAGATAGCACCGGCCTCAGGACAGGGCAACCCAAGCATTTGCCCAGGGATAACCACCACTTGTTGAAAAATTAAAAATACAAAGTGTAAGAGAATAATTAATTTTGCCCAATTAATAAAGCAACTGAATTAGAGGCATATTGGATGAACTACAATTTAAACCTACCTACCTATCTTGGTGCTACAACATATAGTGACGAGTCTTGGCCTCCTACACCAACTTCCTCCAGCCGTCATCCAACTTCTGACTCCCAGGATATCCTGTTCATCTCTTGCTACATCATCTGAGTTATGGTCTTTCCCTTCTTCTAATGCTGTGGACAGGTTCCGTCAGAATCTTTTTAGGGATTGCTTCATCATCCATCCTAACCATGTGGCCAGCCCATCTGTCTCCCAAGCTTCATTTTTAGAACAATATCTTCTTTATCAAAAATTGAATTTATTTCTTTGTCCGCCTTTCCAGCCTTCATCAATATGAATTTCTCCAAAAATTCTTCAAAGAATTTTCTTTTCAAAACTAGGAGATCTTGTTCAATTTTCTTACTAGTTAACCATGTTTCTGATAAATACAACAAAACTGGGTAGATTAATGTTTTGTAAAGCTTCAAGCTTGGTCTTGCGGGATAGAATGCGAGAGGTGAATTCCAGTTGGCCATCAGTATTCTTATCCTCACCTCAACCTCAGGTGTATTGTTGTGAGTCACCAGTGAGGCCAAATATGTGCTGGGCCATTTTAGTCCCCTGACTGGGCCATTTCCTCCAAATCATAAAGGCCAACATTGATAGTCTCACCAGGTCAGGGGACTTCTCCAGTGGTCATATACATTTTTGGTCCTCCCCTTCCTTGCCTTTTAGGCTATACGGGGGTTTCCCGAGACCAGGAGATTAATGCCAGAGTTAAAATCCCCCTCTTTCCGCACCGAGATACAAACCCGTATTTATTTTATTAAATCTATATCATTGATCAGATTACCAGGCAACGGCGGTGCTGTGTGCACGCGTTAGCCCACTTGGCCACCCCACCTCCTGTGATCATATACTTAGTTTTCTTTCATTCACATCGAGCTCGAATAGCTCTGGAGGACTCCAACGGAGCAAAAAATCTCTGACTGACTGCAATGACCGCACCACGATGTCCATGCCATCCGTGTAGGCTAACAGCTAGACCATCCGATTGTAAACTGTCCAGTCAGTTTGCAAACCTGAATCTCTCACTGTCTTTTCAAGTACCAAGTTATCCAGGAGGCATGCTAACATAATACCTTGGTGAAGTCCTTTTCCAGAAGAGAACTCTTCCATCCTTTGCCCGTCAACCCGTACAGTACACTTCACTTATCTCAGGGTCAGCTTTAACAGTCATATCAGTTTACCGGGGATATTGAACCCTTCAAGTGTCTTGTACAATACCCGGTTAATGCTATCGTAACCTAACTTGAAGTCAACGAAAAGAAGGTGGGTCTTAATTATATAATCATTTCCTCTCTCAAGGATTGTTCTGAGGCAGAATATTTGGTCTGTTATAGATCTTCCTTGTCCGAATCCACAGTGGTAGGGACCAAGCTTCTGCTCTGCAAAGGGTAGAAGTCGCTGGAGCAGGATTTTAGATCCACAAGTGAGAAGAGAGGTACCCCCATAATTTTGACATTGGAGTTTGTCCTCTTTTTGAAAAGAGGACATATTTTGACTGTTTCCAATCTTCTGGTAAAACCTCTTCCTCCCAGAAGTCTCTTCATCAGCTCCGCACCTTCATTCACAATTCCAATATTACTTTATATAAAGCAGCTTAAGAAATAAATTTAATATATTGAGGGAGATGATGTGATTGCTTGGGATGCCAAATCTCTAAGGTATTGACATTAGATATTAGATCTTTAGCTTTCAGGCTCAGTTAATCTATTAAATTATAGGTACAAGAATATAAGCATACATAAAGTACAAAGATTTTCTTAGAATTTCATGGATATTTTAATAGAGTGCTGCCTGGATTTTAATTATTAGTTTATTGCAAAACATATTTTTTCTTTTGATTCATTTATTTTTTACATTTCTATATAAACTAAAATTCATAGAGATCTGAAACTCCATACAGCATTAAAAACAAAATATTATGAAATGAAGAATGAGAATACACCGACTTACTTAAAATTGTCAAAAGTAATGTCATACTGGGCAGCTTTGATACATTGTACAACATGTTCTTTTTCGAGAGGTAAAAATGGTAAATACATATCAACCAAATAATTCTTAACAATTCCTGTGCCTTTTAGTCCTCCTAAAATAGGAAAATAATTAGTTATAATACATACATATATATATATATATATATATATATATATATATACACTTATACATGATATATACACTTATGATAACTACATATTTATGAAACATGGACCATTCCACACCAATTCATCTACTAAAATAATAATTTTAGACTTATGACTTTTCAAAATGAGGAAAACTTGATAGGGTTAGCCAGAGTAAATGGAAACATGTGATAAATGAAAACGAAGGGCACTTACTACCATTATGAGGTTGAAAGATAAATGTTGGGTGAATGGTGACTTTGCCGGAGAAATAAGAAAATATAAAGCTTTTCACCTTTTTTTATAAAAAAAAAAAAGAAATCTTCTTCACATCAACAGAGTCTCTAGTTGATATTACAAAAGTTTGTTTGGCAGATTTTAGTGTTATATTGTTTTATTCTCCAGGTCTAAAAACAAATATTAAGTGGTGTACCTTTTTTATTAATAATGTAGAATGTTACTAAAAGAAAAAAATTGGTTTCATTTTGTCCAGCCTCTTTTTGCTTTTAAGCTAGTTAGGGGTTTTCAATTATCTCATACATTTTAGATCCTAGTATTATTGGAAACAACTAATGTTGGTTAATTTCTCAATTCTCTGGAACCATTTAAACAAGGATTACAGTTATACATAAAATTGGAATGTAATTCGATTTTTAAAATGTCCTGTAGGATTTTCTCATTTCCTAAGGTTATATATGTTTGATTTTTGGGTTGATAAAATCTCCATAAAATATGGTAAGGATGTCTACTGTGATTTTCCCTTATCAATCATATTAAAAATCAGTTTTGATTTATCCGTAACCACAGGAATAAATAGAAACAGCCATTCCCTCTAATAAAAATAGTCAGAAAGATTACACTCAATTGTAAAAAGGTAAATTTTAGTTCATACATAAACAGGACTAAAGAAAAATTATATCATAAAAATTTATTTCATAAAGAAATACAGGAGTGGTAACAATTATGTGTTTTTAATATTAAGTAGAACTGAAGGGTAGCAAACAGGCTAATATTTATTATCTCAATTCATTAACTCATGGGTATAATATTGAATTTGAGTAAAAATTAAAATGTTTAATAATATATCACTTTGTCCTTTAATTAATAGCAATAATAAACAATATCATTTATATTTTTAGCATTTTCCTAAAAATGCACTTATCCCGTATATCCATTTGGCCCTATAATTACTATTGATTTTGTGAAATCAGTTAAAAACAAAATATTGATTAAAAGTTAAAATCGGTACTACTTCACAACAGTTCTGCACGGATTACGCATGGTTCACAATCACTTCGGTCACACTTGTTCATGGAATCCCGAATGCGTTCGGGTTTATCCGAAAGAGAACGAAGGCGAACGATCTCTTGGGCCAGTTAACTATTAACTTTCCCGACATTTAAGTACTTCTATAACCTTAACCATGTTCAGTTTTACAGCAGGAGCAAACTTACATTCGAAATTCAGGCTACATCATGAAACCTGAATTGAGCTTGTACATAATTTATAGATCTGTAAAAAATAAATAGTAATAGATAAAATTTTTTCTTATTGATGATTTCCATTATTCATTATCTCGGAATTATCAGAAATTCTTCGCCAGTTGTTTCCCCAATACATTTATTCCTTTCTCGAAAATAAACACTTTTTTTTTTTTTTGTAATGTTTAATGTTATTACTAAAAGTTTTTTTTTTTTAAAGGCCTTGAAGAAAGGACTGAAACATTATTTTATGTATTTTTTCTTTTTCTTTCACAGTAATAACCGTTATAATAAAAATTAATAATTAAGTAATTAGCAAATACACAATTTGTTAATAAATTTTTTAATAAGGAAGTTCCATGAAGAGAATACGTTTTTTTTTTTTAAATGCATGAAAAGAAATTGTATGATAGAGCAATAGCTGACGTCAGAAAAGACGACAACGTTCGGCTGTTTTCGGGATTCCATGAACAAGTGTGATCGAAGTGATTGTGAACCACGCGTAATCCGTGCGGAACTCTTGTGAACTAGTACCTTAAAATCTTACTTAACATTGACAAATCTTAGCAAATTATCTGACATTTAATAACCAACCAAAACAGTAAAACTAATTGAACTAAATACCAACAAAAAAGAAACCATATTATAAACATATAAAAAGAAAATAGCATACAGTACCTTCTTCATTTAATGCACTTTTAAATAAGGATTGGTCAAAGGAAGACAGTTTGATGTCTCCTCTTTTCACACCTTTGTACCATAAATCCTTTGTTATTGAATTTATTTTATTCATCCCATTATTTGAAATAAAAATGAATATGTTTTTTCTGAAATATCATAAGTTAACATCACAAATGATTACTAATCACACATTAAGGAAGAATTAATTCAGGATTGCACGAACCTAAAATCTATACCACTAACTTCATGGTGAAAATCGAGGAAAGGTTTAATAGCATCAAAGGTTCCATTTGGCATTTTCTCAATTTCATCGAACACAAATAAGGATCTTCCACATTTCTTGGCCCTTGTCTTTATATCATTAACTAATTCTCTCTGTGAAGAAAATGGTTAATAAAAACTACACTATAAATTATTGCTAACTTTAAATGAAGTAGTTTTTTACGAGATATTATTGATACTAAATATCCAAAACAAATTACCTGGCTCACAAAATGTGTATCAACCATTGTGTAGTGCCTGTAAAACTGACTCTTAGTACCTTTATAATACATATTAGCAGCTATTAATTGTGAAACCATAGTTTTACCAGTACCAGGACTACCATTAAAGCTCACAACAAAGGGTTTTGATGGATTATCATTTTCCAAAAAAATTTTTAGGCTAGATACCAATACTTTTTCTAGAAAGGGCTGCCCAAAAACCTTATTTTTCAAATCTGAACGGAGTCCTAAAGCGAGAAATCATTTATCAGTGCAGGAAAATAAACATAACCACATAATAATACAATTTAAAACCTTCAATGTCATTTATGACCCAGTTGCTGTTACAAATTTCTAGGTCAAATAATTTTTCAAAATAATTTAAATAAGTTAAACCCGAAGATAGCGACACAAAACTCATCAATATCAGTAACCAGAAAATTATAATTGACATTTTGGCTAATAGTTTAACACTTCTATCGTTAATATGTTTTCTTTTTTCGAAATTCTTATGTTTCATTTCCACAACTATACTTCATAAGTTCCATCACGACAAACGGTCTTTTAGGTTCAATTTTCACGGACTGATGTTCTCTATCAATGACAACAATTTCATTATCAATAGTGATGGGGCCATATGGCCGGAGCTGTGATTCTGTCACTGTGACTGGGCCGGAGCTGGTGATCACAGTGACAGGCGCACCGAAATCACAGTGACGGTCACTGTTGGCGCTGTGAAATCACTGTACGCCGGAGCTGTGCTCCAACAGTGACGGTCACTGTAGGCGCTGTGAAATCACAGCTCTGACCACTCCGCTCTATCACTTCTTTTTCGTTCTAGCAATCTGGGCATTGTTGACTTCATTAATTTAATAAATGAATTAAAGAAATAATTATTTCTAAAATAATAGCTATTCGTCAATTTTTATTAAAAATACTTTTTGAACTTCAGATGGATTGAGCATTCATTGCCATATATTGTGTGGCAACTTAACTTAACACTTTTTTTTTTCTGTTTGTATTACAGACCATATAGATCTTTTGCCACCTTAACAAGTATATTCAATCTCTACCTCTCTTGGGCTATTTCTTTCCATTATCTGATATTTGTATCGGATATTTTTATCTGATACTCGCATTGGATACTTTTATCTGATATTTTTATCTGATACCTGGACTAGATACCCAGCGGTATGTTCTTCTTAATTCTTAAGAACGTTGTATTAGGAACATTTTTTCTCTGCATGAATTTGTTATATTTTATTTAATATATTCTATTCTTTTGTCTAATATGAATCACATTTTGTTTTAAAAACTGTGTGAATATCTTCATAGTACCTGACATAACTATAAAGTCATTAGAACTATTATATATTAACTAATAAGTCCAAGACTAGACTAGATACCAAGCGCCAGCATGCATACCTCTGGGTATCTAGTCCAGGTATCAGATAAAAATATCAGATAAGAGTATCCGATGCGGGTATCAGATAAAAATATCTGATACAAATATCAGATAAAAATATCCGATACAAATATCTGATACAAATATCAGATAAAAGTATCTGATGCCAGTATCAGATAAAAATATCTGATACTAGTATCAGATAAAAAGTAGTAGGAAGGTCATGACCAACTACTGACCCATTTGTATCAGATACAAAAGTATCAGATAAAAGTATCAGATACAAAAAAGTACCCGTATCAGTTGTATCTAGATACAAAAATTTTAGTACCAACCCATCCCTAATTACAACCATTCTGAGTTACGATCTTATATTTCTCCTTTAGTTAATTATCAAATTCTTTCATATTTTATATTTAACTATCTTTTATAGTCGAGAATAATGTGAAATGGTCGATTGTTTCAAATAAAAAAAAAATGAAGGTATTTTAGATGAAGCTAATATTGAAAATTAGTCATTTAAGTTCAGTTTAAGAATATCAATCAAAATAAAAACTACATTTTATTTAAAACTGCTTAATTTTACTGTGACATAATGAATTTAATCAAAATCATAAAAATGTGTTTATTTCCATGATATAAAGATTAAAGTGTTTAATCTACTGCTCTACATCTTTATGTAAGCAAGTTTTTACGTATTTATATATAAATATTATGTACTATATGCATAAGAAGTAATGCAATTGTAACTTCAGTGCCGGCTTTCCATATATTTCCTATTTATTCGAAATTTAGCCCCCCTCCAAAAAATATTCGATTACTTTTCCTTTTTATGAATTGATTATCCTTCATGGTATATGTACCATGAAGGATAATGTAATACCATGAAAGATGTTATTTTTTCAGATATAATGGTTTTAATTAAGATGGTATTAAATTTTCACGTTAATATTTTTTCGTTACCTTCGTAAATAAAGGGATTTACGTTATTTTGTTTAATTGTTATCTACTTTAAAGTTATTTTGTTGGCAATGAATAAAATCTTGGAAGGTAACTGAAGGTTTTTGTTTATTGTGAACATTGCCAGAGAGTAATCTTCTTTATGTGTTATCTATAACGTGTATGATCTGGACCTGTTTAATTATTTTTAATCCTTCCTCAGTAAGTACAGTATTGTTTTATTTTTTAAATTTGTTCTCATAAAGTTATCCGTTTACTTGTATGCATGGGCATTTAAAGTCACTCACTACCTTCAATCTTTTATTTTATATACTCTTGATTAGATGAATAAAAAATAATCAATAAAGAAACGGTTTGTATTATATGTTTTTTTCTTCATATTTTTGTAATAATTCATATTACAATTTATTTTAACTGAAAAAAAAATTATTGTTTACTATAATTTTTTATTTTTAACCAGCTTAACCTATTGCCGTAAACCTACATACAACACCATAACTGTATGACTGATTATTTGACCCATTTAATTCATGTGCTCGAACCAAGTTTAATACTGAATTTCAATGTTTTATGTCTTAAAGGCTTTGCTTGTTGACAAAGTTCATTGGGAAGTTGTGAAAAACAATATATGACTATTTCTTTAATGTGACAATTACAGTTATCAATAAATAGATATTGTAGAAACATAAGATAGACAAATTTTAGTTTAACCCTTTGTCTATGGACGGGATACAAGCCTTCCCGATAAGAGTTGGATCACTGGTGTGAACAGGATTTATGGCTTCCCGGCAGTGAGTTGGGTCATTGATACAGCCGGAATATATGCCTTCCCGTCTGGATCACCTCTTAATCAGGTAGGGACAAGTCCCGCCTTCACCATTTGACTTGTGGCTTGGTCTGTGCATTTATTAGGCCCCTGTAGCTAACTCAGTGTGGTCGTTCTGGATTCTGACCTTTTGGAAGCTAACAGTTGCAGATTTATTCTGAACCCAAGTTATGTCCTTTCTCTGTTATTTTTTCATATCCATGATCTTATTTATATTCTATTTAAATATTTTATACATAAAATAAATGTTAATAAGCTAATTTTATATTTATTTTTTTTTTAATTTTGGTTTTGACTGAATGCTGATTTTGGTACACATAAATCTCTGTCTACTTAACTACCTACATTATATATATATATATATTTTATGTTTGCGTTACAACTTAAGGAGTCTTATTCTCAACACCCAAAAGCCACTGCTGCCTGTCCATCCAATCTCCTTCACGGAGCCCTCTGGCTGCCATGCTTTCCTCTACGTCCTCTATCCATTTCTTCTTTGGCCTTCCACGCTTCCTTCTTTCAGGTGGCGTATAGTTATAAATTTTCTTTGGCCAGCAGTTCTCATCCATCTGCATTAAGTGGCCATACCACTTTAACTGTTAAAGTAAAAAGATAACAGATGCTCAGGTTATATAAATCTAGATGTGTAAGCTTGTTAATAAAAGCATTTAATCATCTTCTAGTGATTATTATTTAAATAAAGATATATAACATGGTGCTGCGGACAGGATACGAACCTGTGTGAGCAAAGCCCATTGGATTCGAAATCCAAATAGAATAAAAAAATATGCAACAGAGCTGCATTTAGATAAATGGAAAGAAATAGCTTAAGACAGGCAGAGATAGAGCAGACTTGTTAAGGTATATATATATCTTAGTTATTACCTCAATTCATTGCTATTCGTTGCCATGTATATATAAACATTCATTGTTAGGATTTTAGATTATAGTTATTATATATAGCTCTATAGCTACAATGTATAGTATAATATATTTAATTATAAAATATTGTTTATTGTTTAGGCTCAAGAGAGTGTAGATATTGATTATCAAATATCAACTGTACAATATCGGTATCACTACTTTGCAATTATTAATTATTATAAGTATTATACAATAGTTTAAGTAATTAGGTAATAGTCTCAGTCTAATCTTAGCTACTAGGCTCGGTGTCTCTACCGAAGATTATGTGACGATAACTGTTACTTCTATTTCTTTTGACCACTGGTTCAATATTGCGTGTTATTCATTACTGTGTTTTGCGATCATTGACTATTTTAAAATGCCCAACAACGACAATCGCCTCGGAAACGCTTTAAAAACATTAGCTGAAGTTTCTGAATTTTTGATCTTAAGGAAAGATCTTAAAATAAATCTCCTCAAAGCAATAGACGATATACAAAATTACGTACATTACACTTCTTCTATCTTGAATCAACCTACAAGAAATGAGACCATTAATGAGACTACCAACCTTACACCATCTTATTCACAGGTAACAAAACCCAATCGAAAGTTGCCATCATCTAACCTCATTATCAAAAGTAAATCGAAAAAGGACGTAGAAGTACTAAAAAGGGAATTCAAAACGGTCATGGATTTACAAATTGGAATCAATAAAATCTCTGCTAAAAAAGACTCCATTATAGTTGAAACCAATACACCACACCACATGAAAGAGAAATAATTCAACAAAAACTACAAACGCACAAGACCTGGTTGTCTGGCAAGCCAACAGAAGAAAACCAAAATTAATCTTCAAAGACATTGACGAAGAAGTGACCATAGAGAATTTCACGGAACACTTCGTGAGACAGAACGCGGCACTGGAAATTGATCCGAGCTCGATAAGGCCTGTCATCTTTCTGAAGAATCGACGGAACAATAGGATCCACGCGGTAATCGAAACCGATGCTACCACAAGAACCAAATTAATATACAACAAGATAGGGTTGGGACATAAGAAGCACTGGGCAGAAGACTATTAGAGGATTCGCCGGTGCACGAAGTGCTGCAAATTCCACCACTCCGAGGTTCAGTGCCAAGGAACGACCACCTGCCCCAACTGCAGCGGCAACCACCAGCTGAAGGACTGCTGCGAACCAACTTGTAAGTGTCCCAACTGCTCTAACTTTAACCGACATGTCCGACAAGACAAAAACAAAATAGACCATAACCATTCTGCACTAGACCGAAACTGTCCCTTATTCATAAGAGAAATTAACAAACTATCACAATACACAGACTACTAACTTTACTTCAGTATGGACAGACTTTTAAAGATAATACATATCATTCGAAATCAGCGACAGACTACTTGAACCATTTTATACAAAGCGAAAACATAGACATTACTCTTATTCAAGAACCGTACACACGATAACAAATAACAAAGTAACAGGATATTCACAAAGATATCAAATTTACCAAACATATGACACCAAACCCAGAATTGCTATCATACTCAACAACAAACTTGCTGATGCAATATTACTATCCCAACATAGTGACTCCGACTTTTGCGCCATAGAAATTACTATAATAAAATCAAAATTCATTTTTATAAGCTCATATTTTGACGAACAGACAGACATTAACAAAGACTTCGCGAAGATTGATGCAATCATAAAACAATACAAAAATTACCAAATAATTCTATGTATCTATTCGAACTGCCGATCACCTTTTTGGCACGACTCTAAGGTTATCCCAAGAGGCCGAGCTTTAGAATTATACATTATGTCTAATCACCTAATATTAATTAATAGACCTTCTACGATAACTACTTTTGAAGGATCAAGGGGGAGAAGCAATATAGACATAACTATATGCACACCCAACGCAACCAAATGCATACAGCAATGGAAAATACTTGATGACTGTAACTTTTCTGACCATAACTCAATTTATTTCGAAATAACGACAAAACGGAACCACGTTTTCTCACACATACCTAATTTCTCAGATTGAATACAAAATCATGGAAAACATTCTAAATTACAACGTGAAGGATGCTGTCAACCTATTACACTCCGCAATAAAAAAAGCGTGCAACGCGACATTTAAAATATCCAATACGAACAGCTATAATAAAAACAAACAACATCGGACGGTACCTTGGTGGAATCACGAATTAACTAGTCTCAGGAAAACGACTAACAAACTTAGAAAATCCTACCAGAAGACCAAAACAGATATCCTCATAAGAGAACAACGTAAACAAGAATATCTCACCTGCTGTCACAAATACCAAGCACTAATCAAACAATCAAAAATCACATCTTGGGAAAAATATTGCACCGAAGAAACAAATCCATGGAACTGGGTTTACAAGTACGCATCTAACACTATTAAAAGTCAAGAAGTCCTCAGAACTATATTCAATGATGAAAACAACCATACTTTAAACATGAAGCAAACACTAGAACATGTGCTTAACACCCTTGTTAAACAAGATACATCAACAAACGATACACTAGAACAAATAAACTTAAGAAGGAGCTCTTTGGAAAAGGCTGAGGTTCTACACATCATAAATGATTTAAACAAGAATAAAACACCAGGACACGACAAAATCAATACTGAAATCTTACAGCACATGACAGAATCATATCCTAACTTAATCACATATATTTACCAACTTATATGGCAACAGTCAATCATACCGGAAACCTGGAAAAAAGGGTTACTACACATAATACCCAAACGAGATTCTAACAAATTATGACCTATAACGATCCTACCAATCATGAGCAAAGTCCTAGACAAATTAATCAATAATAGACTGACACACTACTTAACAGTTAACCAAATATTGCATACTAATCAGTTTGGATTTAGACCACAAAAAAGTACAACAGATGCTCTGTACAATGCAAAAACTTACATTGAAAGTGCCCTGGAAAAAAAATCTAATTGCATTATGCTCAAATTAGATATTGTTGGAGCTTTCGACAATGCATGGACACCAATTGTATTAGAAAACCTGAGAAAAATATTATATTGCCAATTATATTGCCCAAAAAATATCTTTTTATTGATTTCCAGTTTTTTCGAAGACAGGACGATTGAAATTAGGACAAATAACTACATATTTAAAAAACACCTAACAGGTATACCACAAGGCTCATGTCTTTCTCCTACACTCTGAAACGTCCTTCTCAATACAATTTTTGATTTAAAATTGTCTGACGGAGCACATATCTTAGCTTATGCCGACGATATCCTTCTACTAGCAAAAGACAAGCTATTACCAAAATTACAAGTGCTGATCAACCAATCTCTTATCATCTTAGAAAAATGGGCTACAGCTAACAAACTAGAATTTAATACAGGCAAGACAAAATACATGCTATTTACACGAAAGAAGAAGCTTCCTAAGTCGAACATAAGACTCTACTCCAAGACACTAGAACAGACCGATACAATGAATTATCTAGAATTGATATTCGACCGGAGACTGAATTGGAAAACCCACACAGATATGGTAGTTAATAGATCTCTGAAGACGATAAATTAAGATTAACTTGGGGACTAGGGACCCAGGTATTAAAGCTTATCTACGAAGGTGCTATAGTACCAAAAATCTTGTACGCTATACCAGTGTGGGAATCAGGTGCCAAGAAGAAGAACAACCTCATCAAACTGCAACGGGTACAGCGGCTTATCAGGATAAGCAAAGCATTTAACACCGTATCATATGATGAAGCTTGTGTCTTAGCAGGTATACTTCCAATACGTTACAAAATCACAGAACTGACTACAATATACAAAATTAAAAAACACACAATGGGATAGAAAGACATGGTACGCGACAACATCCAACAAGAGCAACCCCTAGAACAACGGTTACACCCAGCAATACAAGCCAAACTAGTACCGTACTTGGAAGAAACAGTAGAACTACTAACAAACATTGTGGACATTTACACGGACGGAAGTAAATAAGAACACAAAAAAGGCTGTGCATTTATTACAGAAGGAGACGGCGACTATTATGAAGAACTACACAGACTCGGACAGATTTGCTCCAATAATCAGGCAGAAAAACTGGCAGTTCTAAAGGCTACAGACTACATTTTACGATAAAAAGACAAAACTGAATCTATTTACAACATCTATACTGACAATAAAATAGCCATTTACTCAATAAAAAACAATAAAATACAAGACCCATTAACAGCTCAACTAGAAACAATTTTATCGAACTGATGAACTTGGACATAAAAACACAACTGATTTGGGCAAAGGGACACAGCGGCATCCATGGAAACGAAAAAGCTGACGCAATGGCAAAAGTAGCTGCTTGTGATATTCAACTGCCTTATGAATATAATTTAGCCCCCTTCACTTACGTTAAAAAACTCTTATGGCCTGATTTAATCGAAGAGTGGAACAGACATTGGCAACAATCTACCAAAGGACGACCATTTAATATATTTTTAAAGTTAGACTTATGTATTTTATTCCTTATTTTGTAGATACTCAATTGTAAATTTGTAACATTTGTTTATTCTCTGCATAATTTTTGTATTTGATTTTGCCTCTGTTTTAGAGTATTTTGTTTTAGTATATTTTGATACTGTTCATTCATCTGATACTGTTATTTACTTTATTTAATCGTTTATTGTTATTTATTTTATTTAAACATCTATAATATTCTCCTTGTAATACATATTAAGTATCATTCTTCTTTAATATCTTTAGCCAACACATATATTGTAATAAGTTATATTTATAGTTATATATTAATAACAACGTAATGCATATAATATGCTTTTGCATGGTGTATGCACACTTCTAAAAAATATACGCCTCTTCTGTAGGCTTACTACAGCAGAGAAAAAAAAAATGTGTGTGTATATATATATATATATATATATATATATATACCTTAACAAGTCTGCTCCATCTCTGCCTGTCTTGAGCTATTTCTTTCCATTTATCTAAACACAGCTCTGTTGCATACTTTTTTATTCTATTTGTATTTTGAATCCTGTCCGCAGCACCATGTTATATATCTTTATTTAATATATATATATATATATATATATTAAATAAATATATATAAGATATATATATATTGATATATATATATATTAGAAATAGAAATAGAAATAGAAAAATCATCTTTATTCTGGGACTAGGTCCCTTTAGAATAACAGTATTGTTCATATATATTAACTACAAATCTGGTAAAAGACTTATTACAATGAATAATGACAAAATACATTTAATACATTAAGTATTAATTAAGCTCTTAGGATAAATTAACGAGGACAGTTTGGTAATAGGGGTTCAGTACTACAATATTGGAGCTAAAATAATTGCATAATAATCACTGAATGAAATTAGAAAGGAAAGTAAAATCTATTTTATAGGTAAAGCATTGTAATGATGGAATATAAAAATTTAAAAAAATAATAACTGTTAATATGTAGGGAAAGCAATTGTAAAAACTAAAACAAAAAAATTATAAAAAAACAAATAATGATATACATATGTTCCCTAAGATATTTAAGTGATTATGCGTAAAGATTAGGAGAAGAGAAAATAAAATAAAGTATATATATACACATAGCGAGAAGTATGTTGAAGATAATTAGAAATAAAATACATTTCACTGAAACACATTCCATGAATAACAAATTAGAACTTAAGGAAAACAAATTTTATCTACTCACAATGCTTAGTGAGTGGTGATGAAAATTCACGTTCAACACAGAATAAAACAATAAAAAATAAGAGAAAAAAATAATGTCTAAAGAAAATTAAATCCTTATAACATAGTATGTATTTAACCAGCGTCTGATTGGATTGTGAAGAGGAATTGGAATAAGAGGGTTTTAAAGGTGGATAAGGATGATGCATGGCAGAATTTTAGTGGGATGGAATTCCAGAATGCGGTGGAACGGACAACGAAGGAATGTTTAAAAGATGCAGATCTGTGGAAAGGAGTGTAAAGGTCAGAAGGACGAGATCTTGTGGAGAGGGTGTGGATAGATGATTTGAATTGTAGGAGATTGTATGCGTAGGACGGACGATGACTATTGATTATTTGGTAAAGGAATGTGCCTAGGAAATATTGTCTTCGGAAGGAAGGGAAGAGCCATCCTAATTCAGCATAGTGGTGCGAAACACGAGAATACCTCAGGGCCCCTGTGACAAATCTTACGAAGGCATTCATAATTCTTTTCAGTCTCTCCCCGAGTTCTGCCGAGAGGCCACCGTACACCACGCAGCCGTAATCAAGGTGGGGGAAGATGAGGGAAGTTACTAGGAGTCTACGTGTGGAGATGGGTAGGAGATGGCGGAAGCGATGGAATAGTTTCAAGGTACCAATTGACTGTCGTGTTGAATGTGAGCAATATGGTGTTTCCAGGATAGAGTTTGGTCTATGAAAATGCCTAGGTTTTTTACTGAGGAGGTGAAGGTAATGGGATGGTCATTTAGGTACAGTATAGGTATGTTGGTATTGGCTTTGAGAAGGGGTTTGGAACCAATGACAATGGCTTGAGTTTTTGCAGCGTTTAACCTTAACCCATTTAAGTTTGCCCAGGCACTGATCCGATTCAAGTCTTCTTGAATTTTGGCAAACTCTTCATGCAACTCTGAGGGATGGAAGGAAAGGTAGATTTGGGAGTCATCGGCATAAAGGTGATGGGAGCAGTGAAGGATTGAATTATGGATGTCATTGATATAAGAAATAAAAAGGAGGGGAGATATGCTAGAGCCCTGGGCCACTCCTGCAATTATTATATGGGCCAATACTGCATCCACTATTAAATAAAGATATATTCTTATAATATATACTTTAATATATATACTTATATATATATATATATATATATATATATATATATATATATATATATATATATAAATATATATACTTATATATACTTATATATATATATATATATATATATATATATATATATATATATATAAATATATATACTTATATATACTTATATATATATATATATATATATATATATATATATATATATATAAATATATATACTTATATATATATATATATATATATATATATATATATATATATATATATATATATATATATACTTATATATATATATATATATATATATATATATATATATATATATACTTATATATATATATATATATATATATATATATATATATATATATATATATACTTATATATATATATATATATATATATATATATATATATATATAAATATATATATATATATATATATATATATATATATATATATATAAGTGTATATAATTGTATATAATTAAATTAAAGTGTAAAAATAAAGATTAATAAAGGTAAAAAAAAAATACATATACATTAAAATGCTTTAGTTGTTTAATCATTTTTCCATCCACTTAAAAACAATATATATTGTAATATCTCTCTTATATTTTACAAATAATAATTATTTAACCTCGGAAGATCACTTTAATACTATTGGGATACTTCCTTAACAAATAAGAGGTTGTTAAATAATAAACAAAATTATAAGAGTATTAATATATTTATTTATCTCAGGTGTGGGTTACTGACAATCAGATCAAAATACTCAGACAAACTAAAATTAACTTTACTAACCACTGTTTGATTTTAAAATAAAGTCTTTTTTTTTTTTTTTTTTTATTTCTTTATGACATTTACAACTGTATTACATAAATACATCAAGTAAATTTGGACATAATTGATATAATGACATGAATACACTTGCTGAGTAACTACCCAATGGTAGCACTCTAATGATATGACTATATTAGGAGATCACGGGGCCATCTTCTTTTCAGACGCCTCGGAGGGTTATCAGGAATTGAAGAGGAAGTAAGGTTAGAAACGAGAGGGTTGGGATGATTCTGAAGTTTATTATGGAAGGATAGGTATCTGGATTGGGCCAGATCTGAAACATAAGGAAGATTAAGATCTTTATGGATAATTTTATTAGTGACAAAGTAAGGAGCATTGAGGATTTTACGAAGGATTTTGGATTGTAAGGATTGGATGCGAGAGGAATTCGATGGTTTAGTGGAGCCCCATAGCTCAACTCCGTAAGTCCAAATAGGTCTAATTATAGTCAAGTATATAAGTATTTTGTAATTAATGCGAAGTTTAGAGCGTTTGTCTAGTAAGTGTTGAAGTAATCGGAAACGTCGAGCGGTTTCTTGTCGTTTCAGTCTAGTATGAGGATTCCAAGTTAGTCGTTTGTCCAGGTGGAGTCCTAGGTATCGGATTTGCTCAACAGGGATAAGTGGAGTATTGTTAAAGGAAACTGTAGGACAGGAAGTCGTTGGTTTACGACGAAGGGTAAAGGTAATTTGGTGGGATTTATTGGAGTTTATTTTAATTCTCCAGTTTTGACACCATTCTTCTAGATTTATGATGTGTGATTGAAGCATTTGGGATGCAATTGCTGGGTCATTGTTTACTGATAGGATACATGTGTCATCGGCATATGTGGTGATGACAGAAAATAAAGTCAAATATGAGTTGGCAAGCTAACCTTTATACACTGTTTCTTCCTTTGTTGCACTAAATTCATTTGTCTTCTAACATTTTCCTATGTTCTGCTAAGTACTTCTTCCAAAATAGTGACACTTTCTTCTACTCAACTTAAGCTCCCTGGGAGATCCTCTCTCTTGTAATTCCAAACTATTAGTTTCTCTGCCAAACCAAAACTTCCAAGATGGTAATACTCTTACTGGGTTGTACCCACTGGAGCAAGGATCCCTTCTGTCCTCTCTTCAACAACTGCTTGACAAAACAAATATTTTGTTCAAACCGCTCTTTGGGATTTTCCTTTTTGGAGAAACTACAGAGCAGTTATTTTCTTTTCTTTGAAATAGTAGAACTAGATTAGCTTGCCTTTTAAATGTTGAAAATTAATTTATTAAACCCTTGTTTACCCTAACCACTTGTTACCCATTAAGGAACCACGTTGGAAAGGTTGGCTCTGGGAAAAATTACAGGCTGCGTATCTTTCGTTTCTTCTTCTCCACACCCTTTCACGCTCGTCTGGAGATCGAAGAGCGAATTTTGACTCATCTGTAAAAAGTACAGCACTCCATTCGTCTATAGTCCAATGGCTGTGTTCTCAAGCAAAAGCCAGCCGTGTTACTCTGTGAGTTCTGGTCAACTCTGGTCCTCTTACTGGACGAAAAGCCATTAATCCATACTCATTTAATCTTCTCCGAGTGGTACGTTCAGAAATTTGCACACCTCGAACTTCTTCGAGCTGATGAATCGCTTGAACAACGGTAAGGTGCCGGTTTCGTAAAATTCTCAAAGTCAAAAACCGGTCATCCCGTGGTTCTATTACCATAGGCCGTTCAGAACCGGGCCTTCTTTTGTAAAAACCAGTTTCCCGAAAACGCCTGACGGCGTCTCGTAAAGTTTCATATGGAACTCCGATGGCATTAACTGCATATCTAATGGAAGGTCCATCATCAATAAGTGCCACTCCACGCGCAACATCCTCAGTTCAGTTCAGGGTTTCATCATCAGGGTACAGTTCATACAGAGGACAATATTAGCAATCTTGTTAATTAGTTTTTTTAGGGTCTCGGCTAGAAGACTATGGTGTAAGCCAAACCTCAAGGCATTAAATAAAAAAAGTTTCCTGTTAAATTAATTTATTATTAAACTGTAAGTTTTTATAGTAGGTGGTTTTTCCATGGTTTCTACTTTTAGCATCAGGAACTACTACCATTAATTACTTAGATACTTAAATATACTTAGATGTATCTACTACTGAAAATGATTTTAAGAATGAGCTGTCTGATAAGGGAATAACTTATGTTTTCCTCCACTTGACTAATCACTGACCGATTGATAATTGACCGACCTTCCTGTGTTTTCATCATGTCAATAAAGGGGCACACACTAACTGGTATTATTCAGAGTAGGTAAATATTTATTGGTGAGCATAAAAAGATTCATGACTGTCTGCTAAATTTCTACTACAAACTTTTCTTTCTTCTCAACTATGAAAAGACAATAATTTAAATTAAGAAATGGATTTATTAACATTTACTTGCTCTCTAGCTAACAATATAAATTGGTGTAAACGTTTTAACATTGCAGTAACCTCACAGTTTCAAGTTTATACAGTGTATGGTTTCTGGTCTTATTCAATTTTAAAAACTGCTTTTTAAAAAGTTTTTCTCATTGCTTTTACGATTATTATTTTTTTTTACCTATCTATTTTATCTTATTTTTGTAGAAATGTTGGAAGTGACATGCAATGACAGACTTGGTAAGAAAGTTCGGGTGAAATGTAATCCAGATGATACAATTGGTGATTTGAAAAAGTTGATTGCTGCTCAAACTGGTACACGGTGGGACAAAATTGTTTTAAAAAAATGGTATACCGTTTTCAAAGATCATATTACATTAGAAGATTGTATCCTTTCTGTTATATTTAAGTATTCAAGAAACTAATATTTCATTTTTTTTTACTTTAATTACCAATTGTTAAAATGTTTTTCTTTTACAGTAGGTATTTATTTGAATATTATTTCAATTGTTTTTATTTTCTCTATACAATTAATTCAAATTTTATTTTTCTTAATTTATTTTTTATTCGCTGTTATTTTAAGGGGAAGGTTAGCTTTGAATTTTTAATATAGTTATTTAAAAAATCTGGCGTGCTCAACACCCAACTTTCACTTACCGCTCTACTTGAATATAAATTATTTTCTGGCAATGTTGGGCTACTAAAAAATTTTTGAAATGAATTTTTAATTGAGCTAAAACTTAAAGCTTACAGTTAACAAATCATTAATACCATTAAAATAACAAAAATCCTATTTATTATATCGACGATTCATTATGAATTGTACGATCTTTTGATTATGGATTCTACGACTATTAATTATTAAACTGTTTTTTCTATAGCAATGTTAAAAAAATGGAATTACGAGATTTGCATTGTCTGTTATAGATAGTTCAAAAATCGTCACACTAATTGTAAGTGGATACTGTTGGGATATCACAATGAGAAAATTTATCAAATTATTCACTAATTTAATTTTCCATATGTTTATGTGATAACTTTTTGGGATAAACAGACGATAGATACCTAAATATTTAAATATAATATCAGATCTAAGAGTTATTAAACTACAGTAAATGTATTTAAGGTTACATGTCCATTTAATTCCTGTAAAGTGACATTAATGTGGATAAGATCTAGCTGATATTAAAAACAACTTAATAATACATAGTCCATGATACAGACCCATTTTCTCAAATTATTAACATCCAGCTGAAACTTTGTAAATAGGGCATTTTAAATCTAGAGATCATCAAACTTTGTCTATTTAATAAGGTACTAAAAACTCGTAAATACAGGTTTGCTTTCAACCAATCGTAAGATAACTTAAGTACAAAGTCGAGGAAAAATGTGGCCTTCAAAAGTACTAAGCCATTTGGCCTGTATAACCTTGTTATTTTGACAATTTGGAGGAGTCGGTCACGCCAAACAACTCAATATTTTTGAAGGCCAAATTTTTTCTCGACTTTGTACACAGACTATTTTACGATTAAAGTTGAAAGCAAATGAGTAGTTACGAGTTTTTAGTACCTAATTAAATAGACAGAGTTTACCGATCTCTAGATTGAAATGCCTGAATTCCGAGAATTTTCGTAACTAAAATATTTGTAGGTCACGATGAGAAGAAGCTATTTACAACATGTCAGGCTATTATCAGTTAATAAACTGTATTATCAGTTAATTATTTAACAAAAAGGAGTCTGTACCCGAGACTAACACTGATATACTGAGTTTAATCAAAATCGTTAGAGCCATTTTAAAGAAAAAATGTGTAACACCGATTATATTAAGTGCCACTTCCGTACGATTTTTACGAAAAAGTTGCCCTTAATATCTCAAGTATATACAAACTTTAAATATGTAATTTCACTTTCATACAACTTTTTGTTTTTGAGCTAGACCGGTTATACCATTGGACTTGGTTATTTGGACTCAGGAGACCTCAAAACATGTATTTCTGTTGATAACTCAGAATCAAAAATTTTCACGATCGCAATACTATATCTTACTATATATTTCATATATACATAAGTGAAAGTAAAAAACATAACAGTAATATTATGATTTAAAAATCATTTGCCTAAGTTTTTCATGCTTCATTTACTATTTATTGTTTATCTAATGAACTATAAAGACAGGCAAATTAGCCTAAAATAATTAGTGGCCCTTGTGCTTCTCTAGGATGATCTCAGCCAGTTTTTCTTTGAAGTCAGTCTTTATTGTGGCATTCTGTCACATTGGATCTTAAATTCCATTTTGTGAACGTAGCAAATCCCTATTGACTGGATCCGGCTTTTGTGTTTTGAGGTCAGGGAATACGATTTGGAAAAGAACAAGAGGATTGAGAGAAACACTGATTTGTAGGCACACATTTTAGTTGTCTTTGTTATCTCTCTTTTTCTTCTTGAGAAAAAGGATGTAGATATGTTGGAAATATTGTAGCAATTTAATTTATAAGTTCATTTATTTGTTCTGTATTATTCCTTAATTTTTCGGTAGATGAAATTCACGATGGAATGAATTTGGAACTATACTATCAGTAATACTACTCTTCAGCCAAAGGATATATTTTTTTAACTTAATAAATGTCTTCATTATAGTTCTGAAACTCTGTTTCCATTTATAAATCAGTTATAAGAAATAATTACACTCTTGGTAAAGTCTCTGTTTAAGTAATGCTTGAAATTTGATTTTAACAAAAAAAGAAAAAAAAAAAAAAGAGGTATGTAAATATATTTATGTTTAATTTTACATTGGAAAATATAAATATAAAACACAATCTTGTAGTTTTTGCCTTTGTGCTTACATAATACTAGTTTAAAATAGCCTTATTTCATCATTGATGAACACAAAAGTTGAATTATCTATGCAATAATGTCATAAATAAAGGCCATGCCATTATAGTACAAATATTCAACAATTTTGTTACTGTATTGTGTATTTCAATTATCTTTGTTGTATTTGAATTACTTATGTTTATTCACAAGGGAAGTCACAGTTAGTGGGTTGCCGATGTCAATCAAATTTTTCTTTGCGATACATCAAAAAATATTAGATGTATGTCTCAGTGTTTGTTCTAATGAGCCAATGAAAAAAAAATGTTTATATATATATATATTAATTTACTGGCACCCATTGGTGGTTAATTAAGAATATGAAGCTTCTGGAATGGTCTAAAACTATCTAAAGGCACTCTTTCAAAGCATCGATCCCTTCTACGCAAGCATATTATAGCATCTTTCACTGTTTCTATTTAAATAGTAAAAACAAGAGTCTGAAGACAGGTTGCTTAAAGTGGCCAGCAGGCTTGATTCGAAAAGGAAGTGTCTTATAACTTTGATAAATGTGTAAGAAACACACATTTATTTTGATAGAAATTGCAAGATATGGACTGATTTTTATTTGTTTATTTATCTTTTTCTATACTCCCATATTGCCGAAACCTAGATACTTAATATATTGACACTTCCTAGCTCTTGTCTTCATCTCAAAGCAATACCTAGTCAGCTTTCGCCTGAGGTATCTGTTTCCTCCAACTAAGCAAGAAATGAATTAAGTTGCTGTGTTGAAAAGTGAAAAACTGGATAAATATATAACTAAAAAGCTCATGGAAAAACTTTTACAAAGTGTTTTTTATTAGAAACTCTAACCAGAAATTTTATAAAGTTGATTAAATAACATTTCTCCAGTATTTAAGGAATATTTGGTTATCGATTTTCAGAAAATAGTTGGTAATTATTTAGGTGTGAACCGCACGGGTTAAGTGTGGTACACAATCACTTCGGTCACACTTGTTCTTGGAGTGCTTAATGCACCTGGGTTTATCTGAAGGACTGGTTTTGGCATCTTATAAACAAGTGTGATAGATGTGATTGTGAACCACGCTTAACCCGTGCAGTCCTCATCTAAATAATTACTTATTTGGCACATCCCAATCAAAACATTATTTCTGCATAATGTCAATGGAATTCTTTCATTCTGAAGGCTGCCAGAAACTGGTACTTAAAGATTCTAAAAACTTGCAAGAGAGTGATGAAAACTGATACATTTAGATATGTTTATATTTTAATTTAAGAAATTAGAAGAAAGGCCATGTTCACATGTATATTTTGACATTAGAAATCCTTTATGCTTCAAAAAGGGACAAAAACCATTCAAAGTTTGTTTAAAAGTGTCAAAAACTTTTAGTTTTACTCTATGTACTTGATTGAATAAAATATAAATTTAAAAATAAAGGAATCAGTCTGAGTTTTTAATGTAAACTTCACTGATTTAGCCCATGTAATTAGTATCGTTATACATATTCTAGCCAAATCTTTTAGTTTGTATATATGGTGAACTACATCATTTTATTTTGTTTTAAATATTATTTGTTGAAGGGAGAACATATTTTTATGTTTTATCAAGGTTCTACCTAATTCTGTATTTTTGTTTCAAATTATTTCTTTAACAATCATAACTCTTTGATTTTTTTTTCAATACAAGCTTCTGGACAATGCGATGAATCTGAATGAGTGTAATGGGTTATTTTTATTTTTATTATATATGTTTTATATCATCTTTAATCTTAATCCAAACAGCTACTTTATCTTTAATAAAGTAGCAAATCAATTATCTTCATAGTCAGCTTCTTTAAAAATTGTAATAAGAGAGCAGTCAATTGATATTAACACAAAGGTAAATATCAAGCATTTACTAAAAAATCACTATTAGGTGCATCTGTAAATAAATTTTCAATCTGATACTTATAAGATGTCTATTTTTTTAAGAAACTACATACAATGTATCACTAAAAATCTTTAAAAACAAATTTATATCTATTATGTAATAAAATCGAAAATATTTAATATTCTCCCCTTATTTCTTTACACCATTATATTGTTCTCAGTTGTGTACATCAGCTGTCTTACATTGTTTAATATTAATGAATGGATAATGTATTCCTCAGTTCAATAATAAAAAATAAACTAAAAAAATTAAACATCAATTTAACAAATACATACCATCAATATAGGTTATATATTAATATTTCTCAAATTTATTGAAAATACATAAACAAAAATGCTATTTAAAAACTATAAATTATAGCTAAGTTACTAACAAGTTGAAAGTACTGTAGGAATGCTTTCAGCTATCCTAAAAACAAAGCTTATAGTAATTCTATATGTTTACATTTCATGTAACCTTTTGGAACAATAAGTTTCTAATCTACCTTGAATCATAAGCTGATTGATATCAATGGGTTAATACCTCTACATTGATGCCATACCATATTCAACATACATGTCAAAACTTTTGATGTAAGTTGAACCTCTAACCACTTTATTTAAATAAGAAACTGCAATATTAATCAAAGTTAATATCTGTTCAACAACTTCTTTGGCTTTTTTATGTACAATTACATACAAACAGGGATTCCATTCGACAAGGGCAAATACTTAAGTTCTCCTCCCTTCTCCCAATGATAAGCCTTAAAGAATGAACATTTATTTACTTATAAATGCTTCATGCTATTTGGCATATGAAATGATTGAAAAGCACTGCTGTAATTATTTTTCTCACTTTTTCTAAAATTTGGGTCATTATAATTTATCAAAATAATAATAAAGTATAAAGTAAATCATTTATAAATAAACTTCATACCTACTTCTCAACAAGGGATTGATTCAGGTTTCTCTTCTTGACAGACAATTAAAAAAAAAAATTAAAACCCTCTAAAACTTAAAAGAAAACCAAATAATAAGCCGTCAATTGGTTTATTAACATAAGATTCTAAAATACCTTGCATAAGATACAGAAAGTATATTAGCCCTTTTCGAATTAAAGAAACCATAGTTACAAATAGGTTAGTTTCTTAATTCTTTTTTATAAAATAATTTATTTTAGTACGATCACAATTAGAGAAAAAGCTCTTAAGGCTATATTCCCGCCAATTAAAATTTAAAAGTGCTCTAAAATAAATAAAACAGCCAGTTTTTCTTGACTAGATTATTTTAGTATAAAAAAAAAAAATAAGTACAATTTACTTATCATTCGCTTTTATCATTAAATAATAATGATATATTCATAAAAGATGATTATCTAATTACTATTTACAAACAGTTAGAAGATTATGAGGATTCAAAAGAAACTTTAATAGTTATTAAATGTGAGTAACATGTAGTAGGTACAATTTTTACTTAACATTGTTAATAACAACAAAATTAATTTTTGAAGTTCTATATTACCTAGAAATCTATTTTTGCCAAGTGTTTGGTTCAAATATAATAATAATTTAATGGATGAGTTAGTGAAGTCTGTATGTTTGCATTTGTTATAAGATGAATTTTTATTATGTGTTATTCAAGATTAGTTTGCTGTATTTTTTTCATTATGGTGTTGACAATTTTATTATCAACAACCAATTTAAGAGAAAAAAAGCAAATAAACTTCTGTCAAATATAAGTTTGATCATCTCTAGATATACAACATTGATCCAATTAGAGCTAAATAAATGCCATTAATCTATTAAAAACGACATTTTTTTTTTTGCATTACTAGGGAGTGCTGATATTATAGCCTTTACCAGATCACAGTTGGCTTCTCCACTCATTTAAGAAAAATAAAAAATATTAAGAGGGAACTTGGCATAAATGATGGAGGCTTCAATAAGCTCGTGAAAAGTTGCTAATAGATAAAAATCCTAAAAAAATTGCAGATATGAGTCTCTATTTTCCAAAGTGAACCATAATCATTGAATACATTTCAGGAAAGGCAAAAAATATATTTTTTTCCTAATTAAAAAAATATATATTCATTCATAACATGTTTCTAAAAACTAATATTATTTTAATGTTACTATAAAAAAAGAATTTAAATTTTAAATAGAATATCAATTGAAATAAATTATAATTTAATAAATTATAAAGGCCTGCCTTCGAAAAAAAAAAAATAGAATAACTTTTTAGGATAAAACAGTACGAATATTGCTCCCAAACAATTTTCTTTCCTTTATAACAATAGTGCAATAAAATCAATTTATCGTTATTTTGTGTTTGAATAAAATGGTAAAAAAAGCTTTTGATTATTATTTTTTAAAAATACTTTACTTAATTGAAACGTAATTATATTCATAAAAAAACTAATATTTTTAAAAACTCTATAAAAATCAAACATATTAATACCTAAATAATAAAACAATAAAAAATGAATAACAAGCACATTAAAAATATTTTAAAAATTAATAAAATTGCACATTCAGGCTACAATTTTTTTTCAAGTTTAAAAAACAAAACAAATTACATTTTTAAATATATTGAAATTTGTATTTAATAGCAAATAATAGTGACAATTTTTCCATTCCATGCCACGGAGAGCTCACAATACGAGTATAAAATCATTTCTTTCTTGGTCTCTTCAAATAGTAAAATAAAACCTTCAAACAAAAATAAGCATATCATCAATCAGCGACAGGTCTATTTTACTAACTTTGTAAATAGTTTTGAAATGATAAATTAATATCCTTATTAATAACCTACAACAGATAAATTAGAAGATTAGGGTAATTTTTATAAATAAAATGAGAATTTGGATCTCATTTTATAATAGTTTGAAGCCATAATGGTTTGGAATGAAATCAACTTGTTCTTACATATGAATTTGTGCTTATTTTTATTTCCTAACAAAAAATCTATTAAGGTTCACTTTGGAAGTAAATGACTAATATTTAAATCATATTTTTATGAATTGAAAAGGTACCGGAAGAAAAAAAGAAATGTAGGTCCACGTTAAAAACAGTAAATCAATTTTATCACTAGCTCCATCGCCACTTACTAAAATTAAATAAAAGGTGAAATGATTCATTTCACTGGTGAAAAAATTTGCTGATTGAGGTTTGAGACACTGCTTATCAAGTCTACATATTATGAAGTTTTAAGTTTATTAAAAGATTTAGACGATATGTTACTTAGTGAATCAAATCGAGACTAGAAGCTTTGGTAAGTGAGGGGAAAAAGGCCTGAATTAATTTTTTAATTAGAGGGGCAAAGAGAGACATACATAGGAACACCTCAATGGCAAATAATCTAATGGAGCCCATATGGTGCATCACCAGAGGTTGCCCTCTTCGTTGGAGAGTTATGAGCTAAAGATTTTGAAATTTCAGCCCTGTTGTTTAAGAAGTCTCGGATATGCTGTACTATCAAGTCGATTGCAACTGAAAAAAGAAGAATAACATTTAGAAAATAACTTCTGATTATACTCTCTTAAAAAAAAATAAATATTACATTCATCAAAGAAGATTAAACAAATTTCTTAAATTTTTAACTGTTAACTATAAAATTAATCAATTCTATTTTTTCATATCTTCCTAACTACTTAAATATTTCTTCAATTTAAGTAACAGAAAAAAAGGGATGAGTAAACAAGAAACTTATTTACTTAAAAGTTCATAGTTTAATAAATTTAAAACATCAAAACATATTTTCTTTTAACAAATAGAAAGAAGCAAAGTCACAACATAACCAATCAGTAGAAGAAAACAAAAATTTCTATAACCTAACAGCAAATGTATAATCCCTTCTAATGAAAATATTTTTTTTTTTTAATATAAAATATTAATACTAAAAAAATTACATTTTATAAATAAGTTGAAAAAATAATAAAAAGAACAGTTAAAAAAGTGGTGCAAAGCTTTTGAATTAAATAATTTCATTACAAAAAATTGATAAATTACACTAAATTTATTAAAATATTAAATAGAATTTCAATACCTCAAATGAAAAGTAATAACATTTTTGGTAAAGTAATTTCTCTCTTTTAACAACATATCTCTTATAAGAATGTCTCAATAAAAAGTATATAAATTCCCTTACATTGAATTTCTTAGTTTAACATAAGATCAAAAAGGGAGGAAGAATTATTAAACAATTTCTAACAGGAAAATGAAACCATTTCTTATCATTTTAATAGTTTCCTTAAAAACAAAACAGATTTGTATTTTTTAAAAATCTTAAATAGTGAAATACATAACTTCCACTTTATAAATAAAGAAGTATTAAGTGGCACACTCAATAATAATTAATTCTTCTAAAAAAAATAATAGATCCAATAAAATTATGTTAAGAAAACTTAAATAAATAGATATTTCATTTAAGAGTTTGATATTAATGGATTTCTTATGGAAATGGTAACATAATTGTTAAACTAATTAAAGCTAACATATAATACAAACAAATTTAGATTACTTTATAAAAATAGGTGATAAAATGTGTAAATATTTGTATTCATTAATGGTCAGTTAAAAATGACAGCATGTCCTATCACCTCTATAAATGCAATTTTACTCATGTTTCATGAACAAAACATCAGAATTTCAACTCTAACGACTAAGAGTATCTGAACAAGAACTTGAGCTTCTTAGGTAAGAATGGAGGAATCTATCCATGGGATGATCAGGTCCGTAGAGAATATCCCAGATGTGATGTACGATCAAATCTATTGCAACTGGAAACGATAATCAACTCAATTAGTTAATACTAATTACTTTAAACAAGCATTAAAATTAACTAATTCCCCCATTCTTCATGAACACAATAATTGCCTCGGTGATGTTGATTTTAATTACTTTTATTTCATTCATGTTATTTTAAGTGGGAATAGTAATTTTTTTATTATTGAAGATTTTAAATGGAGAAATTAAGGAAACAGGATAGTATAACAATATTGAAGTTCAAGATATTTTATTGAATAAAAATAAAGGGTCTTTGGTTCAGTGGTCAATAAGAATATTCTCTTTTAAGACTAACATTAATAGTAGAAAAAATGAGGTTTGGTAGAATTATCATAAGCCCAATTTCTTCTATGAACCAATGAAGAGTCAGGGACCCACTTTAGCTGGATTAGATCTACCACAGGATTGACGTCCAATATTGTCAGCAAGGTTTTCCTAAATAAGCTAAAGGAAATCAGTACAGGCACTAAATGAAAATGACTGTTTCCTCAAAATCAAACAAATTTAGAGTCAGTTGTCTGCTGAACGATCCCAACTACTTTCGAAAACACCTCCATTGTATATGTAACCGAAACACCCCTTTAGTATTAATGGGGAAATGAACGAATAACAACTGGACTCTAGTTCAGTTAAGGACTTAGAGAACATTCCCACCAAATCTGACAACTTATAGTACAACTTTATTAGGCTTCAAGAACACAAATAGCTTTAAAATCAGGATATGGACATTAAATAAAAAAACTATCAGCAGTCAATAGTTAGGTTCTTAACAACTCTTCAGAAAGCAACATTCAGGTTCATAGGCCTCACATTTTGGAAGGAAAACATAGACAGGAATCCTTTTTCTGTAACTATATGTACTCTTGGACTAAACATATAAAAATAAAACATATTTTCGCTTCAGAAACAATTTCCAAAATAACTTTGATATCCAGAATATGTACATTAGGCCTAAGAAAAACATATGATGGCCTCCTGGAAATTTGTGAATTGGTGAAGAGTTTCTATCCAATTATACATCTTTGAAATTGATGGGATTCAATCATGTGACATTTCAGAATTCAACTTAGAGATTACCGAATGTAAATTCTCCAGTGAAAGCTGTTTTCTTCACCAACTTTTTCCTTTATCAGTTCTATAAATAATAACTGAACTATCACCAATCAATTCATAGGCAGCACTATCTCAGATTCGGATAAAGTATTTAAATATTAAATAAATATTTTAATAGTGATTAAAAAAAAAGTATTGTTAATGTGGGACATATGTGAAAAGTCAACAATTAATTTTGAAAATGTTTTTAAACAGGCTAAAGGCAATATTCTCTGAAGTCCTCAGAAAGTTGTACAATGTCTATAATTATAGACCAGTGCTCGATAAACAGTAAACCTCGAAGGAACATTAGTAGATCGCAAAATTTAGATCTGTAGCTTGTTGATATAATATGACTACATTCAGAACCATATCAATGATTTAAGTTTATGGAGACAGTTTATGTATAATGTTCCTTAGGACCAAAAATGTGACCATTTCTTTATAATTTAAGACTATCAATCCTCATCATAGTTTAAAATAAAAAGTTGAATGATTAAGGTGGAAAAAGCAACATTTTCTCATTAATAATCATTTAATTTTTATTATAATATAAACATTTAAAAAAAATTAATTTATTTAAAAAAAATTAAATGTGTGCATTGAAAGACCTAGGCATGACTTAATTGGATGGCAAATAGAGGAGGTAGCAGATGTGACTGACAGTAATGTGTTGTGTGCTAACCAGGGTGAGTGACCATATACCAAAGACTGGCATCCGTCATTTTTAAAAAGTAAAAAAAAAATCCAATTTTTGTAACATAGCTTAATTTAAAGCAATTCTAATGTGTTTTTTTTTCATGATTAACCTTGAACATTCTTAAATAAAACCATAGAAACAGTCGGAGATGAATCTTTAAAACGAAAATGTATTTTCTCCACTCTCTGAAAATGACTGAAATCTGTCTTTGATATGAAGCCACACTAGTCCGTGGTACAGACCCTTTTTTATCAAATTATTATCATCCGCCTGAAACTTCTTGAATAGCTTCATCTCATCATAACCTAAAACTATTTTATTTACGAAAACTCTTGGAATTCGGGCATTTTAAATCTTGAGATTGTCAAACTTTGTCTGTTTAATAAGGTACTAAAAACTCGTAAATACCCATTCGCTTTCCACTTGGATCGTAAAATAATTTGATCACAAAATTGAGAAAAAAAGTGGCCTTAAATTGCAGGTCACCCCGAATAGTCCAATATTTTTGTAGGCCACCTTTTTTCTCGATTTTGTTATTCAATTATCTTACGATTCAAGTGGAAAGTAAATGAATATTTACGAGTTTTTAGTACCTTATTAAATAGACAAAGTTTACCAATCTCCAGATTGAAATGCCCCAATTCCAAGAATTTTCATAAATAAAATATTTGTAGGTCACGATGAGAAGAAGCTATTTACGAAGTTTCAGGCGGATGTTAATAATTTGATAAAAAGGGGTATGTCCGTCGGACTACACAATTGACTTCTAGGTTTGAAAATGCCTGTCTTTCACTACCTCGATCCAGGTGCCTTCTATATTCTCCCAGACTATAGAATAAATCAATAAAATCAGAGGAAAATGTTAGGTGTCAAAAATTGAATAGTATTACAAAAGAACTTCAATTACTTGATGGCCACAGTGTGAATACTTTTAATCAGATTTTTAAATCTATTTTTTATTCTAGAAAGCATTTAAATTTTCCAAAACATGGACAAAAGTTTTTAGTAAAAATTAGTTATGTTATTTTGGTTTATTTTCAAAAATGAACCTTTTTAATTGATCAGAAGAATCCAAAAATCTAATCAAAAAAATCTCCCCTTCCGCCCTTTTGCAGTTTATCTCTGAAATCAGTAGTATATTAATTTTTTTTTTTTTCAAATTATCTCACAGTGATTCTGGGAACTTGAAATTACTATCAGCTACTCTGTCTGTAAATGACGGTCTATTAGAGATTTCTTATGTTCAGGAAGATTTGACAAAAATATAACATTTAATATTTAACATTTAGTTATAAATTTAATTATTATGGTTCATTTTTGTTATTCTTAGGAAACAAAATTTACTTTTCTTCTTCTCCTATATATCTTTACCAAACCACAGTTTAGATTATTATAAACAAAGATAAAATGATCCATTATTTTTCTTGTATAGTTTGACATTTCTCTTTTTATCTAGAATAATTTTCTTTACTTTCAAATGTTAAAATAAATGCTTTGTTTTAATTAAAACTGTATATTCAATTTTTATTAAAAAACAAAAATACTCGCATTAATTTGTTTTTCATTTGGGATGTACTATTTATTAAAATTTAATGTAAAAGACTTTAGACAAGGTTCATTAAAATCGTTCGTGCCATTTTGCCATATTGACAGTCTATAGAAAATCCTATCATTTTGTAATAATGTAAGAGTGCCAGAATTATCAAGAGATAATCATCGCACAGACATAACTAGCAGGGGTTACAAATAATTTTTTTTTTTCAAGGGCTTTAATAATAATTTAAAAACAATTTTTATTTTTTAACACAACTTCATAATATGAAAACTGTAATTGGCCGCAATTTGAAAAAAAAATTGGCGGATGATAATGTGCTTTGAGGACCATGGTCTGTGACTTCGGTAACAAGTCCCAAAAATAACTGCCTATTAGTCTCAGAGAAAAGTGGCAAACAGCGTCTGATGTTATATGAGAACATTTTTTTTTTAATTTTCAGATTTTAAACATTTTGAAAAGTAAGGTTTCAAATTTTGAAGAATAATTAAAATATATTTCCCTTATTTAATGATTACAAATGTCCATTAATGAAAATAATAACTAAAATGTACAGACAAGATTTACTAACAAAACATAATTTTATGGGAATAATTTCAAACTGTAACAAACAAGGATTAATAAGTTTTTTTTTTTATTAAACAAATTATTTAAAATCATAAATAATTTTTAAACCATGTTACATAAGGACAAAGAAAACAAAATTATAAATGGTTCCCTGTGCATTTTACCTAACATATTTCGGATTGGAGATTTTGTATATTAGAACCAATTGTTTTGTATCCACTGTCATCAGAAATGATTTTGATTGTGTTTATATGTATGTTTATTTATGCTTATATACACACATAAAAATAAAATTATATAATTTATAATTCAATAAAAATGTACAGATTAATTGCATTAAACAAATTAGTAATCAGAAAAAAGTAATATGTATTTTAAAATTAAAATAAGATTTTTTTTTTATATCTAAAAATTTGTCTTTACCTGTATTATCTGCTCCCCTTGGAATGATAACATCAGCATGTTTTTTTGTCTAGAATCATAAGTGAAAATTAATCAAAAGTCTTAGAAGAATAAAAAAGTAAGTTAAAGCTTATCATTACTTACAGGAAGACAAAATTCTTCAAATGCAGGTTTCACAAACCTCATGTACTGATTTAAAACTTGATCCAAATCCCTTCCTCTTTCATTAATGTCACGTGGAACTGGAACAAAAAAATGTATAAAGTTGTCCCTGCCAACAACTTTTCAGCCAATTAAGTTGTGCATTTTTATTTTTTTATGTGTTAATAATAATAGGCCAGTAATATCAATGTGATTGATTTTAAAACATTTTAGATGAGAAATAATTAATTAGAAGAAAAAGGCCTTTTCAGTCTCGATAAATAATTACTTTATTTCAAATTTTCGCCTCTTCAGGCATCTTTCGGGATAATCTGATTTTACTTGTAATTTAAATTTTCATTTGCTCATAGCAGTGCATCCACTTGCACACTTAGTCAAAGAACACAAGCGAATTCGGTTTCTAATAATAATTTTTACATCTTTCAGATTTCATCCATCATTTATATAAAAATAAAAAAAGGTTGAGAAGAGATTTCTACTTTAGTATTAGCAATGGTTATACAAAACTCAAGTCATTAAATCTATCACAACAAGCATTTAATTAAACTACCTTTTAAATTCTTTTATTATTCAGCCAAATTGAAACAATTGTTAACAGTATCTAAAGAATAAAAAATTAGATGATACAAGCTATTTTACTAAAAGCTACTTTACCTCTACGAGCAAGCCTAGTATCAGAATCTGTGTCTACAAACAGCTTCATATGAAACAAATTTCTTATTTCAGGAAAATAAAAAACTAGAATTCCTTCAAAAAGTACAACATCAGCTGGATATATCGTCTGCATAATTTCAGATCTTAAAACCAAATAAAAAAAAAAACAATAATTTTTTAAATTGCACAAAAAAAAATATTAAAATGATAAATCACTTTAAAAAAACAAATTTACAGCTATTTGTTAATAATTTGTTCCATAAACCCATATGAGAATATCTAAGTGGTTATTTATTTTCATTACTTGACAATGTTTTATAAATTTAGAATCAACACAACATTGCATTGCTACTATGTATTCTACATTCACGGAAAGGATGTAATTCTTAGGAGATATTTTTTGCAGTAACAATCTCATAAATAATACATACCTTTTATTACTGAATTAAAAAGATAAGAATATTATTTAGAAAAAATGCTTCTATTCAACAATACAAAAAAACTGGATTCTGATTTCTATCACTACTGAATACACATTTTCTAGTAGTTTGTGAGAGAGTTTGATGTGTGTATAATAAATTAAAATTCTATACCATTGATGGGGAACCTTTTATATATTAGAAGCCGCAGTAAGGTTAGGTAATGCTAATGGAGGCTCCAACAATTCTTTATATTCTACTGCTGCTATTTTTATTTATCAATAAATACACACATCCACATACATATATTCATCTTAATTCTAGCGTTAGAACAATAAATATATTGTGCAAAAACTTTTGGAGGACACAACTGTGTCCTCCGAGGCCACATTTCCTCACCTCTGTTCTAACCTATCAATTTTTTTCTATTTCAACTTGTCTAGGTAAACTATCAGCCCATACATTCATTGCCAATGTTTAGCAAATTAAAAACATTTTATGTTTGGAAGCCATCGTAACATTTCAGCTACTCTCGGCCATCCTTGTGCATGGTTTGTGCCATTTGTCCCATCTGACTAACCTTTATTTCTCCTTTAGTTATGAATTAACCATTTCTTATTACGGGTCACAATATGAAATGATTAATACTATTACCTTTTCTTAATTTTTTATTTGTTATTCTTATTATCTTAAACAAAACAGAAGGTATTTTGGAGGAAGAAATTTCAAAAGTTTGACATTTAAGCCCTGTCTAACTATTTTAATGGAGGTAACACTTTCCTGATATTAAAGACCACTTAATTTTACATTGATAAAAAGAGTTTAATCTAAATCATTAGGGCTGTTTTCAAGCAAATTTAAAAATGTGAAAATTGATGATATAAAGTGCCATTTCCGCTTAGAAAATTTTCATGAAAGATTTACTGTAACATTCACAACATATACTTAGCTTAAAAATGTAATTTATGTTTCATATGACTTTTAGTTTTTGAGTTATGCTTGTCATATAGACACATACATATAAACCATTTTGTGAGACTTGATTATTTGGATTCAGGAGATCTTAAAATATGTATTTTTGTTGAAAAATGGGATTAAAAGTTTTCCATTATCACAATATTTTTATTCCCTCTTATTTATTTTATACATAGGTAAAAATAAGCGAAAGTAAAAGCAGAAATTCTCTTGTCCATAATTCATATTCTAAAAAAGTGGACAGCCCACTTTAGCAAATGTTAAGACTGATTAATCTTAAATGTCTTCCTTGCTCATTCAAGCCACTAATCTCAACCTTGAGGGCATAAGAGCAAGGGAAAGAAGAAGATGATTAATAAATTTAACGTGTACCCACTTGGCCTATGATACATACTCCATGTTTTAGTTGTTCAAGATACTTATGTTGATCTATGTGCATATATGTTTATACCCACAATATTAGAATTCAAATAAGGCTAATGGATGTATTTGTATATTATTTATAAATAAATATCTTATGTTCATGTCTAGTAGGAATCCCAGGTAACCATAATGTATATCAAAATCTAATTAAATTCATCTGCTTATGACTTATCAACTTATTTTTTGGGATAAAAAGTTTCAATATTATAAATTTAATATCACCATACCAAGTATCTAGATACTTTTCTTGGTTTACATATAGTTAATATTAATAAATAATGACTGGATTATTTTGAAAACATAAAGAAAAGTTTTCAACCTAACAGAGAATTTAGAATGTACTTGTCAAGGAGTCAAGTTTTAATTTCCATTTTTCTAGGAACTTTTTAATTGGATTTTATCAAACAGGATTTTTTTTATTATATTTATACACATTATAACAAAATAAATAAATAAGCTCATGGTTTAACTAACGTCAGAATGTAACATTATGTGCCTAGATTATTAAATAATTTATTTTATATTAAGCCAAATAAAATATATATTGTCTTTAAGTTCATCTAAACTCACAAGAAGTATACAACTAAAATAGTTCCTAATTTCATTATTTTACTGTCACTAATTTTATGATTCTTAGCAATTTATAGCAAAACTAAACTAAAAAACCTTAGGAATTAGCCACCAACTCTATATTTGAGTAAAATCGATACAAAAACATTTCTTTTAAATGATATATTTACCTTGAATTAGTGCGGTAATCATATGTATGTAGGGTAACCTTTTTTCCTTCAAGAATATTTTGAAGGGTTTTTAACATCAATTCCTCATTGAAAGCATCTGTAACAAATAATATCATTATGCAAACACAGCACACTATAACTAGAAAACGAGGACCAAAAACAAAGCTATCATGGTAGAATAGGGGAAGGTAATAAATTAATGAATAAAAAAATACAGTAATATGTTAAGAAATAAAATATCATACAAATATGGCAAGAGCATATAAGAAGATAAAAAATAATAAAACAAGAAACTTCAAAGACATGATATTGTGAAAAATCAACAGTTATCCCAAATTTGGAAAAATTAATTCCGCCAAAACTAACCTCTGGAGCAGGATAGTTGTGTATGCTCCTACTTCCTTGAACTAGAGGTATTGATATCGGCAGCTAATTATTACCCGGTATTTAATTATTGGGTACATTTAATTGGAGAAAAAAAACTGGCAGTTGAATGTAATTCTGGGTAAATCACAACCTTGCACAACCACTGGTCTAGATATAGTATTTGTTTACCAAATACTGAACCCAAAGCTTTTCAAGGGTCATAATGGTAGAGGTTTTTTTTTTTTAACTAACCTTATTTTAGGATACTTAACTAGAGAAATATATTCAAATGGGATTGAAAATGAATAACAATACAAAACAATCTTTGCCAAGACAAATCAATGAGACCAAAAACTGAGGTTCATAAACACCAAAATAAAAAATCAACATCCACAATACAATCAAATAATTAATGAGGCACCACAACAATGAAAGAAGTTAAATATATGTAGCTTCTGTAGGGAGTGGGATATCCCAGTGGGTAAGGCACTGACTTCCAAAGCTCAAGGCTCTGGTTGCAAATATGGCTGATGGCATGTAATTACGTCTGTTTCATCAGCAGAGGATCAACCCCAGGCAAAGTGGACTCTCCAGGGGCATGCCCAGTCTCTATAAAGTGGGTATTCGTAATTGATTAAGGGGAAACATGGTGGTTGAGTGTAATCTTGGTCACCTTGCACATCTGTTGACAAAAAAACATTGCTTCTTTACAAAGTACTGAACGCAGTGGAGTACAGAATTTTTTTTTTTTTTTTTTATGTGACTTATGTAACATGAACTCCTTTCGTTAAAATCAACAAGAAAACTGTTTACAATTAAGTCAATATTTTACAGATCTTGAAAAACATAACACAATGTAAAAATTATGAAATAATGTTACTTAACCAGAGAAACTACAGAACTTAATTGTTCTTGTAATATTTATTAAAAAAATCATTAATAGCCAGGGCCACTTACTGATTCAATGTCAGCTTTGGAATTTAACAATGTCTAAATCTATCATTTATAACCATGTTATGTTACTCAGTAACATATTATGTTCTCCAAAAACATTAACAACTTAACTACAATGATATTAACAATTTTCAACAGTGTTACGGATTATCAAGGAAGCTGTGAAGTGTCAACAATTAAATTTTTGTTACCAATGGGTAGTTTCATTACAAATCTTTTGATGTCATTTTATTTCTTTGTTCACATTTATTAGATGTATTTTTATTTTAATAAAAAAGCTGTTTTCCTATAAAAGATTTTCAAGAAATTTCATGGTTTCTGGTTTCTCTTCAAAATACTTATCAACTTAACATGCTAAAATAAATAACCATCCTCGCAGAACAAAGAATGCATGCAAATACACCAATAAAATTTCTTGTAACAAATTTTAATTGTTTCATACAAGAAAAATAGAGCAGTAATTATAAACTTTGAAAACAAATGAAATGTAGCTAGAGAATAATTTCTGTATCAATGAAATATGCAGCTAAAATGAAAACTAAAAATTAATTTCTTATTAGCTTCCTAAAAAATGTAGGAAGGATTCCCATGTCGATGTCATCTGCTATATAAACTAAAAAGATGATATCAGTAAATAAAGCAAAAGGAGCCTTAGCCAAAACAAAAAATTATAAATACATAATAATTGAATAAATATTTTTTTAAATGAATATGAAATATTTTCCCTTACCAGGATGATCAAAATTGTATTGCCCTTTCAGTGCTTTTGCTTTCCCAGCAGGAGTAAGTTCTCGATAAAAATAGTCTTGGCTAATAGTAACAACTTTTCTTTCTGTATGATCAACATCAACTTGACCAAGTTTTTCCATAATACGAGCACATACTGTTGACTATAAATTTAAACAATTTTATTTCAGTTGTTGATTCCATTAATAAAAGTGACATAATTTCAATAAATGTAAAAAATCAAAAAACATAATTTTATATTAGATTTATGAACAAAACTTCATATTTTTTATTTTACAAATAACAGTTTACCTAAACCTATGTAATTTTTTGTTTTAAACTTTGCTGGGAAATATTCTTGCATTTTTCTAAACCTGTATACTTTTTTTTTTTGTTTATTAGATTTCTTTGAAATATTCTTGTTTTTTAAAATAATTATCTCATTTCATGAAAAAACAAATATACAATACTGCAAGTACTTAATAAAATAAAAAATTTATAAAATTATATCTTTTAGTTTATATTAATAAATGTTTTATTAACTTGAGTGTCTCAATGATATTGTTCCTTTCTCATAGTGAAATTTATTGAATACTTGATCTCTAAGATAAATTATGGATGATCAAGTTCCAAATCAAATTGTTGCTGCTGAATTTAATTACATCAATTTATAATTAATTGAATAAATTATACATTTATAATAGATAATATGTGAAGCATTAAAAAAAAAATATAGTTTTAACTTTGAACATTTAACAGGGCTTAGATTTTTTTTTTTTTTTTTTTTTTTATAAAATGTTTCAAGCCACCTATTAGATGTTAATATGGAGTGTAATTTCAAAATAGTAAACAATCTAATTATGTACTGAATTAAAATAGTTTCTTTACAAAGAGCTTAAAATAAGGACTTGGCACGTGATATGGTAATATTGACAAATTGATGTTATTAAATATTTTGCTTGTCCCCTACAAGAAACAGAAAGGAACTAAGATGTAGGATAAATGGAACTTTAGCAATAGTCTCACAAAATTTACTAAAAGAACTTTATGATTTTAACAAAATAAATAAAGTGTAAGAGAACAAGGGTCATCAACAATATTTTTAAAGAAATGTTATAATAAGAAAGATGAAGATGAGGCATCACATTCAATTTAAATGGTAAATTAGGAAATAGAAGAAAACTCTAAGCGAAGACATTGGCTACTTTTACAAGTTATAATTAACTTGATAAAAGATTTTAAAAAATTGATATTAAAAAACCTTGCAATACCTATTTCCAATCCTTAGAACTATTTTAAAGCAGTAAAATCTTGAAATCATAAACTAAAGACCATTTAAGAAATTCATTTAGTTTCGAAGTCTCTTATTTGATAACTGTTATACAAGTTGGATAACATATGTTGGTTAAATAATAGAGTTTGATCATACTGAACAATATAATTCAATGTCTTTTTAGAAGCCAAAACGTATCGAAATAACTACTTTATAGTAGTTAAATAAGGAATGTAAGTGGAAAAACAAGTCTATAATAATAAAAAATAATTCTAAATGAGAATTTTTATTTCATCACATAATAAACTTTCATACTTATAAATAATACAAATAGATATTGGAATAACAACAATTATTGCTGTAGCTCTTCGATAACAAATATTACTGCTTTTCAAGAGCTATGAGTTACATGCTAAAGTAGTTGTAAATAATAATCTTTTAATGGTGAACTTAACCAAAACATTAGAGTTAAGAAAAGGTTATAACCTTTCCACTAGCTGTTCCACCTGCCACTCCTATTAGAAATGGTGTTTTACTTTCCATTGAACTGAACTTGCCATTAAACCGGTTAACAGACATATCAATATTGAAAAAGAACAAGATTAAGAAAAAGGAAGTCACAGGAACTTAACAGGTGAAATTTCTTAAAGAAATAACTAAATTAGATTACTTTCCCTTAGTAAACGAAAACAAATAATTGTAACCTTCTCCTAACCTCCCGTTTACACAATTTGCGCAAATGCTTAATGGATAATTTATGTAGTTATAATTTATTTCTTAATCAGAAGCGAATATTTTTTGTGTATTTATCATTTTAGAAAATAAAATTTAAAATTAAACTAGCGATATAAACAAACATTATATACGAATAAAATATTACGACTGCTAATTATAATTTAAACATTGAAACAAATTATGACAATTTTATATAATATTTTATGTATTTTTTATAATGATTAAAAATTATTATGGTACTACAGTAGGCCTGATGGAATATTCTAGAGTGTACTGGGACTCCAATGGTATTGGGCCAAGTCGAAGTTAGTAGCCAATCAGCTTTGAGAACGTTTTTATCATAGACCAACTTGGACCAATCACATTTCTCCACGATTGAAGTAGGTTCTTTCCACCTCCTCTGGAGATATATTCCAGTCTACAGGCAATTTCTGTTCAGTGTTGTTCGTTTGTGGGACGTTGTCAGTTCTGACGTGTATATCCTACTTGATTGTAAAGTGATCTTATTGATAATTTTGAGGTAAGGATTCATTTCTAGGTATCCATTTTGGATCACTGCTTGATCTTAGCTATTAATGTATTAATCTTATTTCTATCTTCAGTTATCAAAGCTATTTTTAATGTGCCATTATTATTTTCATTAGGCTCCAACTCTAAGGGATGAAGCTGCTTGGGTTTGCAGGTGGCCTTTGCTTGTTTTTTCTGTTGGCAAGGGCCGAGGAAAAGAACAAAGATGTTGGAACAGTTGTGGGAATAGATCTTGGGACCACATATTCTTGGTAAGTAAATTCTCTGCTAAAATCCTTATCAAATTATTTTGTTTTAGACTTTTATCAATTTTGTTACTTTTACAGTGTTGGTGTTTATAAAAACGGACGTGTTGAAATTATTGCCAATGATCAAGGTAATCGTATCACCCCATCATATGTAGCATTTACCGGTGAAGGAGAAAGGTTGATTGGAGATGCTGCTAAAAACCAACTTACTACTAATCCTGAGAATACTGTCTTTGATGCTAAGAGATTAATTGGTAGAGAATGGACAGACTCAACTGTGCAAGATGATATTAAATTTTTCCCCTTTAAAGTATGTATATTTCTGTAAGTTTGATTCCTTATTGATTTAGTGATTTCTATTATTTAATTCAAAATTGATTTTAAACAGGTTATTGAAAAGAATAGCAAACCACATATTCAAGTTTCTACCTCCCAAGGGAATAAACTTTTTGCTCCTGAGGAAATTTCTGCTATGGTCTTAGGAAAAATGAAGGAAACAGCTGAAGCCTATCTTGGTAAAAAAGTAAGTTTTCAATTATTTCATTTCATAACCCGAACTAGTCTGGTAATGTTTCTTATAATAATTTGATCAGTAATTGACTTGACCATTTGCTATGAAATTTTGAGTCAATACATTAGTTAAGTATATTCTGCCTTTGTGTAGACCATGTTTAGTACTGAAAAAAAAAGTATTATTTTGTTTGTGTCGTAATTTGGAACTTGTTAGAACAAGAATAAAATTCTTATTTATTGTTGTTATTAGTGTGTTTGAATAAGCTTTCATTATTATTTTGAAAGCTGAAGACATTGTCCTACTGTATTTCTTATTAAATGCTGTTACAGTTTTTTTTTTTTTGTTTTTAAAGTACTATGAAAAATTCAGTCTAACCCAATTTCAATGTAGTTATTTATATGGTTGAGATATATAGGTCTGTTGAGGGAATTCAGTTTACATCATGCAGAGGTTGATGGACTACTTATGTAAATCTTTTTCCCTTTTGGAAATGTTATTTTTAATAAATTAACTTCAGAAATTTGTTTGTTCTCAATTTGGTTTTTAGGTTATTAGACTTTTTTGTTCATTAATATTGATAAAGAGAAGGATAGTTGGGGTGATCAGTCAAAATAAAAATGGCAAAAATTAATAATATTAAAATATATATTATTATTAATTTTTGTCATTTTTATTTTGACTGATCACTCCAACTATCATTCTCTTCATTATTCACTACATTCAACCATCAATCCACAATCATTAATATTGATGCTTTTAAATTACGTTTTTTATAAATATATTTTGTCTGATTATTTATATAAGTTCTAGATATTTCCTGTTATTCCATCATCATAATTTTTTTTACTTTCACTTGCGTTTATATGTAATATATAGTAAGTGTAAGTATTGTGTTTGAGAAAATTTTTGAATCTGAGTTTTTATACTCAGGTTTTATCATTCTACATGTGTGTATGGAATACATCCCCATGCATTATATTTAATTTTAAAATCCATCTATATATATATATATATATATATATATATATAATGTTGGTACTATAATTTATTGTTAATTATTAGAGTTTTGCCAAAGGTTGATGAACATTTTTATTATTGTTGTTTAGTAAATACTTTCATGGTAAATTTTCTCTGTTCACTTTTTACTAACGCCATTGATATTTTTATATATTAATGTCTTATTGTATAATCTTAGTTTTGAATTACATTGTCCTCATTGTTAATTCTTGTTTAATTTGAATCTTTTGAGAGAGTTAAGAATTAACTAATAGAATTTTTTTTACTAAAATATCTGTTGTTGCATCTCTTCAGTTCCTTGCTGTTCCTCCATTATGATGTTTTATATCGTTTGTTAACTTTTGTGTAATAGAGAAAGTTTTTGGTTGATTGACCGTAATAATTCTAACTTGTTATAGTTATATAAAAGCATTGTATAAATGGTTTATTTGAATTTTTTTCTTGGCGTCTTTGCGTAACTGATGTGGTTTTAGTTCCACTAAAGATTGATTTGTTTTAGTTCAATGATTTTTGTATTATCTTTATTTTTTATTCTTCATCATTCATTCAAGAGAGGTATTGTTTGGTACATAGTTTTCTTGTTATCTAGTGGATAAAAATCTATTTGATTTATCTTCATGGTTTAATTTTCCACAACGTAGAATATTTACTAATGTAATAATTATTATTATGTTTTACTAATAGAGATATTACCAAAATTATTGAAAAACACATTTTGATGTTATTAGAGCATATAATTTGTTGCTGAATGGGGATTATTACTTGAAAGTTTTCTTAGTTTATTTTCAATCATCATACAATTTTAATATAAATCAAATTTTCTTAACAGTAATTAAAATATCATTCCATGACTACTATTTAATATCAGTTTAAATTAAATTAAAACTGAGCTTACTAAATATATTTTTGTACTTGCTAACATTGTTTTAATTTGTGGTGACAGTGGAGAATAAGTTTAAATTTATATAGCAATTTAAGTATCTGGGGCCTATTATGCAGAATTGAAATACAATTATGGTGAAAGATGATTAGAAAAGCTTCTTGTTTTTAAAGTAAGAATTAACAAAATTACTCCGTACTGATGACACATTTTTAGGGGAATTAATACCTTAAAAGTTTTCGAAAATATATTATTATATCATTTTTAATATGATAATTAACATTAAGGAAAATGATTTAGTCATGATTATTTATCAAAGATCTATTTTACTATTGTTAAACTCTTATCCAGTTAAAAATCTGAAAATTTTCTTCTTATTTATTAACAGTTGTTGATAAATTTTCATATTCATGTATTTGATATATTCATTAGTGATGAACAAGTGATTTGACAAATTTTGAGTTATGTTATACAAGATTATTCCATAATACCAAACAATGAAAAAAAAAATAAAAAAAAAATGGTATTCACTACTATGAAAAGAATTTACCTTCCTCAGTATGTATGATTTTGTGGTTCTAGTTTGCTTTATTGTTTAATAGCAATTAAAAGAACATTTAGGTACAGAGTATGTCATGTGGCTGTTCAATTATTAAATACTTAATTTCTGAAATTTATTTACGTTCTGTTTTTCCCTACAACTGTTTTCTTATACCAACAAAACTTACAGGTCACACATGCAGTTGTTACTGTTCCTGCTTACTTCAATGATGCTCAGCGTCAGGCCACTAAAGATGCAGGAACTATTTCTGGTTTGAATGTTATGAGAATTATCAATGAGCCAACTGCTGCTGCTATTGCTTATGGATTAGACAAGAAAGAGGGTGAAAAGAATGTTTTAGTCTTTGATCTGGGTGGTGGTACATTCGATGTGTCCTTACTTACCATTGATAATGGTGTATTCGAGGTGATTATATTTTCTTTTTTATTTATGTGTCTATTGATTAGGATACAAAGAATATAACCAATGCTAATTTTTTGTCAGGTCGTTTCTACCAATGGTGATACCCATCTTGGTGGTGAAGACTTCGATCAGCGGGTTATGGATCACTTTATTAAATTATACAAGAAGAAGAAGGGTAAAGATATTCGTAAAGATAACAGAGCTGTTCAAAAACTGAGACGTGAAGTTGAAAAGGCAAAGAGAGCATTGTCTTCAAGCCATCAGGTCAGAATTGAAATTGAAAGCTTCTTTGATGGTGAAGATTTCTCTGAATCCCTCACCAGGGCCAAATTCGAAGAATTGAACATGGACTTGTTCAGATCTACCATGAAACCTGTACAAAAAGTTTTAGAGGATGCTGATATGAATAAGAAAGATGTTGATGAAATTGTCCTCGTTGGTGGAAGCACAAGAATCCCAAAAGTCCAGCAGCTCGTAAAGGAATTTTTTAACGGAAAAGAACCATCCCGTGGCATCAACCCTGATGAAGCAGTAAGTATCTCTTATTCATTGTCTTAATATGTGATAAAAAAAAGTTCTCCCATTCTTTTAGTTAGTTAACTGAAAACATATTAAGTTAGGTTCATTTATAATCTTATAGAGTATAGTAAAGACTTAGGTTTACTCATAAAAAGTTTATTGTTCAAAGACTGTTGGATACATTTTAAATTCTGGTTATTATTTAGTCTAGGTATATCTATCCATGCAATCTGTTTCATAAATCATGTCCTTGATTGTTTTTTAGGTTGCTTATGGTGCTGCAGTTCAAGCTGGTGTCTTATCAGGTGAACAGGATACAGACTCTATCGTACTTCTCGATGTTAACCCACTGACTCTTGGTATTGAAACAGTTGGTGGTGTCATGACAAAGCTTATTCCAAGAAATACTGTAATTCCTACTAAGAAATCCCAAATTTTCTCAACTGCTTCTGATAACCAGCATACTGTTACTATCCAGGTATTTATTTTTGTTTTATCAATTAATTTATTATTTTTTATTTCATCAATTGTTCACTAATATAATTTGATTTTGTAGGTATATGAAGGAGAAAGGCCAATGACAAAAGATAATCATCTTCTTGGTAAATTTGATCTTACAGGAATTCCTCCAGCCCCTCGTGGAATACCTCAAATTGAAGTGACATTTGAAATTGATGCTAATGGTATACTCCAGGTTGGTTTCTTAGTTAATATTTTAATATGGTTTTGTATATTTCATTTGTTTTTTATCAGTTACCAAAATTGGTTGCGGTTGTTTTTGTATTTTTTTTTAATTTTCCCTACTTAATAAATTTCTTAATATCTTAAAAAAGTACACAATAAATTTTCATATAAAAATAAAGTAAGGAAATAATTGGATCGTGGTTAGAATTAAAACATAAATATTCTTTTTAGTGAGTTTTGTCCATCTGTGCAATTATTTTATAGATTTTTTCAATTTCCAACTATATCTACATTATTAAAGTATAATAAACAATACAAAAAGATATATATACATACAATTTCTTTATTTAGTACATAAAAAAAAATGAAATTCATGAAGTTAATATTCACAGTTCGCATGTATTCTTTAATGTTATTGTAAAGCCAATATTTATCAACTTTAGATATCTTTATTTTTTATCTTAGATATCTCAATAGGTACTAGTTTTTAACATTCTTGTAAGGTGTCGGGTTAAAACAACAATAAAAAAACTTTGTTAAAATTACTTTTTTTTAAATTTGCTTATATTTTATGAATTTAGGTATCTGCAGAAGATAAGGGAACAGGCAACAGGGAAAAGATTGTGATCACAAATGATCAGAACAGGTTGACACCAGAGGATATTGAAAGAATGATCAAAGATGCTGAGAAGTTTGCTGATGATGACAAGAAACTAAAGGAGAGGGTTGAAGCTAGGAATGAACTGGAATCTTATGCATATTCCCTAAAGAATCAGCTCTCTGACAAAGATAAACTTGGATCAAAGGTTAGTTTTGAAAATCTTTGGCACTTTCTAACTTATTAGTTCTTATATTCCCTGCTTCCTATTATATTGTTACTCATATCTTTAATTATTTAATTTTAGGTCACAGACGATGATAAGGTCAAGATGGAAGCAGCTATCGATGAAAAGATTAAGTGGTTAGAAGAAAACCAAGATGCTGACAGTGAATCCTTCCAGCAACAGAAAAAGGAGCTCGAAGAAATCGTGAAGCCCATCATTACTAAGCTTTACCAAGGTGGTGCACCTCCTCCAGGAGGAGCTGAAGAAGATGTTAAAGATGAACTATAAGACTGCTTTAGCTTCATAATTAATTTTGTTTAACAAGACTTAAGTTATTGAGAAAACAGCAGTATTTATATTTCTATATTTTGAAGTAATTACTGCAGTGTTGTTGCTCTGTATAAACCCAGTTAGAGGAGATTCTTATTTATTGAAATAAAAAAAAAAAATCCATTCCACGATATCCTCTTACTTTTAGTGTTTAGAGAAATTTTGTTATCAATATATTTATTTTTTGTTTTTTTAAATTAATAAATTAAGTTGTGTGAGGAATGATATACTGATGTATGGAATTGACATTATTTTAGTACTGTGTATTACATAAATCAATTTTTATGTCATTGTATCATTTCCAAGTGTACAAATATTTTGAGTGATATGTGTGTTGTGATAAAAGAGGAGTAAATAAAAATTTTGTACAAATTATAAACTGATTCCATTGCCCTGATTGTTCTTAATACTATTTATGCGAAAAGTGAAAATGGGGGAGTGAGGGAGTGTTTACATAAAAATGAAAAGTCTAATTCACAGTTTATGTATGTACCATAGTTTTAAGCATCATATCAAAAGTAATTAAATTGGCATTGGACTGCAGATAAACTGGCTAAAGAGGTTTTTCAATTTATTTTTATTGTTCATAATCTATAGATCATTTATTGAAAATAATATGTTGAACTAAATCAAAATTATAATTGTGGGTTGACTAGTGAATAATGAGGAGGATAGTTCTGGTGATCAGTCAAAAATAAATAATATTTATTTTAACATTTGCCGACGTTTTGACCCGAAGTTCAGGGCTGAAAAAAGAACCAGATAACAATTGGTATGAGAAACATATACAATGTAGGTAATGAACAAGGTAGAATAATGACAATAACAGTTACAAAGTGTTGACTAATAAAGTAAACATAATCAAAATAAAATAACATAAGTACTAAAATGGTGATCCTAGAATAAAATGTAGAACAGAGAAAAAGAATATGAAGTTATATAAGAAATAAATATAAATAGAAAAGTTGAGATACTATGAAGATGAAAAGAAAGGAGGAAATAAAGAGAAGAATAAGATAAGATAGCCAACTGACCTGAACGCTATTGATCGAAATCAAAATTAAGTTGAATTTTGACCTGGAAAGTTAAGGATTCAATATCTACTTTTAAATGAGTTCAATATCTATTTTTGACTAAATTTTATCTGTTGTAGAGCATTTTGTTTTAACATAACATGAAAACATTTACCAGGTAAAAATAATCCTAGAGGGGGATATATTTAGTGTTATGAGGCTAACTGAGGTATTAATTCTAATCCACACTAATTACTATTGACTATTCACATTTATTTGGGTTATGTGAAAAATTTGCTAAGTAGAAATGGTGTTCTATCAAATAGTGCTTTTTATTTGTTGGTGATCAAAATAGCTAGATTAATATAATTTAGCAAGTTAAGATGACTAGGAGCTGGTACCCCTTATCTGAACCAGTCGGAACCCCACACAGCAGGGTTTATTGGTTGTTCTGATATTTTTATGTGCAAAACATCCAAGTAAGTCATCAGTGCCCGATCAACAAATAATACTAATATTAAACTATTAGGTAGATAGAATAAAAATGATTACAAGTTAAAAAAAAAAAACGACTATAGAATGGAGCAAACAAATACAAAAAATAATAAATAAAGAAGCTTAAAAATCTATATATAAAATAAACAAAATATAAATATATAAGGAATACTTATTGGTTGACTATATTAGTATATATTGACTAAATTGGTATATTTTAGAGGAAGGATATGGTCCGGGGTGGCGGTCGACTAAAATAGTGGAAAATCTATTTTATTTAAAGCCAACATTTAACAGACTTTGCAGGTGTTCAAGGCTCTTCGCCAATGAAGATGTGGACGGAGTGGCCGAACGGGCTAACGTGTGTACACAGCACTGCCGTTGCCCGACAACCTGATATATGAGACAAATGATAAAAAACAGTCACAAGACCGGGGGTCTTTTAAATCCCCAAGCACCTCCCCTGGACCTGTAAAACCCCGTATAGCTTTAAAGGCCTCCCAAAAAGGGCTATAACGAACAAGATACAAAAGGATATAGAAAATTGTGGAAGTTGGATAATATACTAATTATTAACAAGGTGAATAAACTTACTGAAATTATAAACAGTAAGTACATTGAAATATTAAGAACAATAAACTATATAAACAGAGTAAACTAAGTAACAAGATCCTAAACTGAAGTAAATAAGTGGTAACAATTGTAGATTATCGTAAATAAAGGATAATTGAATGTAATAAGAGGGATGGATAATATATGTAATAATGAATATACTCCTACAGATTTCAAGGAAAGATGAAAAAAAAAATGGAAAAATAATATGAAATAATGGACATAAAGGGATGTAAATAAAAATAAAGAATGAAATAAATAAAAGAATAAAAATAGAGATTTACAGGTGCATGCAGCATGGAGTTTCAGTTGAAACTGAGGAAATATGGGTAGAGCACCCTTGGAGAAATTTTCAGACCTAGTAGGGGGATGGTGAGAGGGTTATATTACAGCATCTAAAATTTAAAGATATTGATGGATAAAAGATAAAAATATGATATCAAAGAACTAATTAATTATAAATATATACATATAAATACAAAATAGAATTAAAAAATTATAGATAGAAGTACAATGTGAATAAAATATAAAAATGAAAGACCGTACATAAAAGTAAATATAAAAATAAGAGACCATATATTTATATGTCCCTTTCCATTAAACCACTTCCTTCAGTAAATCCTTCATCATTCGTGTTATCTCCTTCTGGAACTCTTTACCTATCTCCATACGTCAAACCACTTCCATAAACTCCTTCAAACAACTCCTATTACATTAAAGTCATCTTGGATATGAGCTATTCTGCTGGTGGCATTAATCTTTGATAATTTAAAAGGGATGCTGATTAATATTCTCTTAGAATATCCATCAAGTAATGATATCAATTAAAAAATTTATTTTAAAGATACATTTTTACTCTGAAGTGGGATACAATTCCACATTTCAGTCGCCTTAAGTAATATCATATTATAATTTTCTCTCAAAAACAAAAAAGAAAATGTTTACAAATTAGTTTATATATTAGATGAACTGTATAAGTTATTAATGACATATTTTATATTCAATGTGAATAAAGACAACTATTTAGTACATATTTTATTGCATATAAAAAAAACTTCTTTCACAAAATACCTCAAATAATTATAAAAATCTGATTCACTTTGGAGAAACCTTTAAATAAATTAATTCATGGGTTGTAATTTCCATCAATGATTGATAAGAATCAGTTAATATGGCTTGAAAGGAGTAGTTGTGTGTACTCTCGAGGTAAGCCTCTTTTGCCTGTTATTTGTACAAAACAGGTTAGCGACAGTCCAATGGTCAGTATCTTGAGACTATATAAGTATTAGTAGGAGGTATATCTCTTTGTCTCCTTTTAAAGGAAGATTAGCTTAGGCATCGCATGATAAGATAATCCTAAGTGAATTTATCAGAAAATCTCCAGGTGAAAATCACGCAAATGGAAGATGTTCCTTTGAGAAAACACTCTTGATGACTCCCAATCCAAAGGGGTAATAATGAACTTTTCCTCTTTAACTTCGTGGTTAGAAGCAATATGATGAACCCTACCAGATTACTGGAATTCACAGACCCACAAGGGACATGAGGGCTTCATTAAAAAGCTTGTTAGAAAGTAAAAACGTGTGTTATACTAAACCTCAGGGTAATAAATCCAATTTTTTTAAATTCAGTTTTTGCAGTTTAGTCTACTCTTGAGATGATCTTTGTCTATGACTAAAATCCCATTTTAGCCAAAGATATTTGTTTCAAACCCTCTTATAACGAGATTAAAAAAGCGGAACATATCCTGTAAGATTGTTGAGAATCAATTCATTCATAAATTTGCCAGGAAAACTGGCTAATAAATAAATGTTTTATCAGACTGTTTTTCCATAGATATTTCATAACGAATGCTTCAAACTAATTGAACTACATTAAAAATAAATTTGATATTTAAAAACAATGATGAAGAAAAAAAGTATATTATTAGAGGCATTTTAATTAGCTTGAAGCAATTGCTATGGTAATATGCACACAGGTCAAACAGAAAAATTTTCTGAGAACTCTGAAAGGAAAAGGAAATCACTGAGGTGTCATTAAGGGACTGTTAAGGGTGAATTTATACTTCTTTTGCCAAAGAGTATGTTTCCTCAGTTCATAGCCCTCACTTTAGAGAGTTTATAATGAATGGAAAAACATTGTATTTCAAATCCACTTCTTGAGGGTAAAATGAAATGTGCTCAGGAAGAGCCCTAACACCACTGGACAGATGAGGATCAGAACAGAGTGATAACCAAAGAGCTCTGAAAATAGGAAGTTGTTTGGATGGATAACGATAAAACTATATATGTTTTATTAGCAACAATGGGATGTGGGCGGGGTGGCCGAATGGACTAAAGCGTTTGCAATGCACCGCCGTTGCCAGGCAACCTGACATATGAATCAAAGATATGAAAATAGTCACGAGTTAAGGGAGGAAGGGAAGGACAAAAAAAAAAAAAAAGCAACAATGGGTTGTAATTCAAGCAGGAGTTGAGAAACAGACAGGTTAGGTTAAATTAAAAAATAAAATAATTTTTTTAACATAGGCATGTCTTGCAGAAACTCACTGAAACTTATTATTAATAAACAATTTAAAAAAAAAAAAATCAACGAATTTGACAATCTCGGATTTTTTTTACTATGAATATTAGGGAAAAACACTTTTGTTGAAAATATAAGCAGTTCCTTATGTTATAAACATAAATGCTTGAATAGAATACATTAAACTTATACAGTTTGAAAATGAGTTCAATATTAATACATAAAGCTGAAGTTCGTTTCATAAACATGATTGCTTTCAAGAAATACCAGTCCAATTCGAAAATTTATTTTGCATTAGACTGACCATTGTATCAATGTGGAAACCTGAAAGCACTTACAATAGTATAGCTCATAGGTGGAGAGCCTTTTAACCATTAAAGGCTGCTGTAAGGTTAGGAAGTGCTATTGGAGGCCGCAATAATTTGATATACTTCGGGGTTACTATTTATATATATCATAAAGTAAAAACACCCACATAGATAAATTCAACTTAATTTTATTATTTTCCAATTAATAACGTTTATAATATTTCAATATATTTTCCAAATTAAATATTAATTACTTTTACAACTAGATTAATAAATATCACGAAAAACGTTTGGAGAGGGCGTGTGGTTTCCGAGGGCACAACTAGTCACAAAGCCCACTTGCGGCCTCCAAGACTGCCACGACGGAGACGGCCTCCGGTTCCCAACCTAAGTAGATAAGTAGAACTTTTTATTCTTATTTTATTCTTGATACACATTAAAGGTAAAGGAAAGTTGTAAATATCAAAAGAAATCAATGTTACAAGAATAAAAATATATTTACAAAAAAAAAAAAAATTAACAGCTTAATTCAGATCATTTTTGTTTAACTTTGTTGGTTACCTGAAACATAAAAAAAAAAAAATTCCGATTAAATTTGATTGTAAATAACTTATACAAACATTTTAAATTTGTACAATGAAAGTAATATTAAGTTGAGTCTATGAGTTTAAGCTTATGATTGTTCTGAAGGTGGATCCAAATGCATAATCAACGAAACAAACACAAGCATTAATTAATTATGGAAATTAAAAAAAAAAAACACATGACAGTTGAAAGTATGAATTTTGAGATCTGCCAAAACAAATTGTAATCAACACACTTATGCTTAATAATATATATGCTTAATATATTAAAACCTGCGTCCACAGTTGTATAAGCAACTGCATTTTAAAACCAGGCCAGACATACACGATATCTACTCAGACACTATCGAGTTAACTTGCATGCAGAGTTGTGCAAGAACAAGCATGTTAAATTAGTCTATAATAAATTTATCCTTCAGTTTACTTTTCATATAATTTTTTCCTATTTGTTTCTTATACCCTGGCCATTTCTATTTTACAGGATCTTTATCCTGCAAGTAAAATCACCTTTTCTAGCCAAAATGGGAAGGTCAAGATTCATTTCGTGGGACTATCAAAAAATAAATAAATTATAATGTATATATTTGGTAAAGAAAAAATTTAGTTTTCTTAACTCTTTTGGATTTGAACTTTACATTTACTTGTTCCAAATGTTGACATTTAACAATATGTTTACTATTCAGCCACCACATTGCATCGATAAAATCCTAGTTTCATAACTTACGAGATATCGGAATTGGTAGATATTAAGTAAATCATTGAGTAAAATGTTTGACAACAATTTTCACAGTTTTAAAGTAGGTTCTGAAATTTTTGAATTATCAAGTATAGGGAAGAGACACCCTCCCCCTTCCACAATGATGTACCAGATCAACTCATAAGAGTCAGTTTGCAGTTTAAATCCAAAATTAATTAATGTACATTAAAAACTTTTAAAAAAATATGATTTAACACCACCAGTGTATAAGATGCTTAAAATAGTGAAAATATATAATAATAATAATAAAAATATAATATAATCAAATAAAATCAGTTAATTTTACTATTTTAATTCTCTTTATGATCGCCACCCCGGACCATCTGCTTTCTCAATAATAATTATATTACTTTTGGTTTCCCCTTTTCTCGTCATGTACTGGATGAAATATAGTTTAATTTCCGTTTAACATTCATTGTTCATTTTATTTAATTCATACAGTCCATTAATATTTAAAAAGTGTTAGAGCGGCTTGCCATTGAGTTGGAGGTACTCATTCCAAAACAAGAGTACTACTACTGCACTATTATTTTAATCGATTTTTTTTTCCTCCATTCAAAGAGACCTCGGTATTAACTAAAAAGAGACCAACTCATAAGAGTCAGTTTGCAGTTTACTTAAATCCAAAATTAATTAATGTACATTAAAAAACTTTTTAAAAAATGAATAAAAAATATGATTTAACACCACCAGTGTATAAGATAGAAAATCATTAGACATAAACAATTCTCTAAGTAAGGAGAAAAGGTTGATGAGGGGTACTAGATTGAAAGCACTTTTCACTTTACATCTAGGGTAGATTAGCTCCATCCCTTTCAGTCAATGGATAAATATAATAAATGAGTTTTTCTATTCATAGTGGTGCCACTGTACAAATGTCATTCCATCTTCTCCGATGGACCAAGATTATATATTTGCAGCATAAATAGAATATCGAAAATAGCGGAGTGTTCACTATATAACCTCTCTTTGTTTAAATTGCGGTTTACAATTCCCTGATGGTCCTTTTCAATAAAAATCAGGGTGTTTATAAGCTTTATTTACATCACTAATTTCTACTCCTGCTAACTCTAAAGAGATAAACAAACACCCAATGGATCCTTTTCAGTGGAGGTCATGGACTGACGGGACGGTTCATTCACTTCTGTCAACTTTCAAGTACACTTGTCCATACTCATGATTTTCCATTTATGTATGTCACATTTATAAACATGTAAAATATCTTTTCAATCAAAGCATTGTTATTATTAGTTAAACCACACTTAATAAAACAGAACTTTTGCCACAAATTCACACCTGGGAGAGGACTGCATGAGTTATATTCAATATCCATATATTGAATATGACACCTATGGTAGTTCTCATATGGTAATTTTTACTAATATTTCCATGCATAAGATATCAAGTAATTTTGCATGTGTCTGTCTACATATAAAATAGTTTAGAGCTAAAATCTTACTTTTATAATACTATATATGTAGAAAGATAATCAACTTACTTTTCCATACATATTAAGTATGCCACTACCAATTTTCCGCTTCCTCTTTAGAGCCCCTTTATTTAATTTAGACTTATGTGCAGATATTCTATGTTTCACTGGGATATTAAGAAGCTCTTTTTTCTTTTCAGCTTCTTCAAGTTCCTTTTTGATTTCATCTTTCAGCAATTTATAATTTTTGAACTTATTTTTTGGTGGCTTAGCTCCTAATTTTATGGCTAATTCAATTTTGGACTTTTGCTTCTCTTCTCCATGAAGTGAATTTTGAGCAAATTTGTAAACTTCAAACCGTGCTTTCTTCATATCAATGCATTCAGATGTATCATGTTTTGGTAATTTTGAACTTTTAGAAGATACAGACCGTTTGTGGTTTTGGAAAGTTACAATCTCGTGATTAGAACTTTTACCGAAAGATGATCTGGTGGGCACAAAGAATGGATCCATGTCCAATCAAACAAACTAAGAATAAAAATATAACGAATATATTGTAAATAACTACACCATATAACCAACACAACCTATAACCTTTTTAGCTAGGTTACCTGTTTCTCATTCGCTTACAAGTAACTAACACAAAATAAATAAAAACTAGCAGTTTTTACAATATTTAAATAAGAACCTTATGTAAATATTAATATCTATAGATCTATAGAAAAAATCTGAGTTTTAAACTTTTATGGGAAACTAGTAAATAAGGCTAGTGTTATAAATTAGTTTTTTGTTTCTGTATACATAATACTGAGCCATTCCAGAACGTCTTATTTAAAGGCTGTGCAAATTTGAATTTTCATAAGTTAAAAACTGTCTTTCTCTAGTTTTGATTTTTAATATGTGTATTTTGTAAACCATTAATTTCCTGTATTAATATTTTACGAAGACAATTCAACTAGCACTCACTTTTTATCTATTAATTGCGTTTATATTAAGTACTGGACCACTTTAGCAATGACAAAACCCAATTCTGTGAAGTCTAAACTACATGATGAAATTACTACTTATATGAAAAATAATACCAAATGGTTTGAATATTTAATAAACGAATTGCCCTCATCTTGGGAAAACTACAATGGATTTATTGTATTTTCATTTCCCTCATTTATGAGTCACATTTGGCTTGAAGCTGGTAATGATTAGTTTTATTAATTTAATTTCACAGAAATTGATAAATAGTTGTAGCTTTAGAATTTTCAGTTAAGTTAAATAAATTTGGCAATAAAAGGTGTGCAATTTACTATTTGGTTTATTTCCTTTCTGCAGGACCTGGAATTTGGCAGGTTATTTGTAAAAGTCTTAAAGCACACAGCATTGCAATTAAAGGTAGAATTCAGAATGATTCATTTCGGACTCCTCAAGCATGTTTAGTATATGGTAGTTCTCCTGTTATTACATATATTGATAACAAAATTAGGTAATATATATATATTTTTTAACATTATAGCTGTTTTTTTAAACCTTAATTATAGAGTGATAAGGTTTGATATACCACAGGTATTCTTGGAATGTTGAAAAAACTATGTTTTCTGCTGGCAATGTGACTGAAAGGCATAGAATTGCTTCGTTAAAGTGTGATAATGAAGTTATCGTTGATCTTTTTGCTGGGATTGGATATTTTACATTACCTTTCTTAGTCCATGCTAATGCTAAATTGGTACATGCCTGTGAATGGAATCCTGACGCTATTGACTCATTGAGGTTGGTTTTGCCTTGTTTTTTCATTTTGACATTTCCCTGTTTGACTGATTTTTGTATTTTGACCTTACATTCTGTACTAATTAAGGGATTAAGTTGAGTTGTCATTAGTTCATGGTTTGAAATTTATTCAGATTAAAATTTTGTCCCTTTTTAAAATTTAATCTTTAGTTAGTATTCTAACAATTAAATACTTTATTATCACTGGTTGGCTTGTGTGAATAATTCGCAAAGTATATTGGTCAGTGTCCTAATGGTAATGTAATATGGAAGTAAGGATTGTAATATATAATAAGAGAGATGATATTTTTGTTTCTGTTGATTATACTCTACTCCAGGGTTCTCCAAACTTTTTGGAATAGCCTGCAGGCAGCTTTGAGACCTCCACCGAACATCCACAGGCCATGGCTAGTGGTGAAAAAAAAATGACTTATTTTATAAATGTAATTAGCTGCGATTAATTTAATAATTAATTTAGCTGCGAAATGAGCTTCCTAAGAGAAAAAAAAACAACCATCCAATAAATGTTGTAGTAACCTCATGTGTGAGTAATTTGCTAAATTTCATATTTCAAAGTAGTTTTCAAATTTTATAATCTTATCTACGAAACTTTCGCGGGCCGGATTGAAGATACTTGCGGGCATCAGGCCTGTGGGCTGTAGTTGGAGATCTTTGCTCTACACTATATACAATATGGCGATATAGATCCCTTTTTCAGCTCTGTGGGGTGATGGATTTTGATGAATGAGTTATCAAACAAATAGGAATTTCATGGATAAGAAATATAAATTTTTCAATTCTCAAATTCCTTCTACAGCTTTGATAAGTCAGTAAAAAAAGTAGTTTGTTTCAAAATTCTGACATTGGTAAGTTGGTGGATCGAGACGGCTAAATTGTATTTTAAAGATTTTAATTTGAACAACAAGACCATTTTACCTACTTGGGTAAGCTACCGAGCTCTGCATTTTAACATCAAAAGGTATCATTTTTGAGTTGAATCTTAATTCATACTGAAAACCTTTTAGGTGCCTCCATTACTATGGAATATTTATCACATTTTGTTGAAGTTTTTAACAATTAAAATATTACTGTTTATTATAGCCTACAAACTAAAAATCTATTGAATAAATAAACTATTGAAGGAGAATATTTCTGAAGTTCCTTAGGCACCACGGATAATGTATATTTTTTTTAATTCATCTATTTTTTTTAATCTTAATTTCGTTTTAAATTTTTCAGAAGAGCTCTGTTAGACAATTTAAGTACCTTCATAATTAACAAATGGAATATTTCACGAGATATATAAATTTTGATTATTTGAAAAACTAATCAAGATGAACTAGTTTCTAGGGGAATCAGTTTAGTATTGTGCTACCTCTACATATTATTATTTTTTTTTATTTCTTTATTAATTCTTCAGCAAATCCGATGATTGAGCCATCAATTTGAAGATAATTTTCTCTTTCAGGTGGGCAAAATAAGCACATCTCCCAGAAAAGTCATGAAAAAAAGTTATAAAGAAAAGAAAACATTATTTGTGGATGACTCAAAAAGTATACAGTTTATGATCATACCCATGATAATTAGAAAATGTTTCTGAATTACTTATAACATGAAAAAAAAAAAAAAAAAAAAACTAGTCGAAATGAGACAATTTTCAGCAAAGATGCAGCCAATTGCAGTTTGTACTTCTTTTGATTTATTATTTTGAATGAAAGTTAATTTCTCCCTTCTTATATTTACTTATTTACATATAATATTGTCGGCACCATACCAAAATAACTAATGTGCATTGGTAAACAAGCTCACATTTGTTACTTAAACATGGTGCCATTAACTTACTTCAATATTCGTTGCTTTAACATTATTCTAACTGAATAATGTGCCAACTTCACGATTTATTTGCACAGACCAAGTAGTGGCCTATTATTTGAAATAATAAAATCAAAAAAGAAAAGATCTGTACAAACTCTAATTGTATTCTAAAGTATCCTTCCGATAATTTTATAAATCTTTAAAATTATCCTGGTTATAATTAACCATAAATCCTGTACTTTTTGAACTATGGTCTAATAAAGTTTTATTCCTTTCAACAACTTTTTCTTTTGTCTGTTCTGAGGGACGTGGTTGTTTTTTTATATTGAAGTTGAAAATCTTCAAAGAAATAGCTCATTCATTTGGTTTGATGAAATCTTAATTAAGATATGGCTCACCAACAAATAAAACACGTTTTCAAAATAATGTATAATGATGAATTTTTTATTTATGATCATTGCAGTGCTGTCATGTTTTGTAACAATTTTCTTATTGTTTTAGGAGAAATCTTCGTCTAAACAAAGTTGAAGATAAATGCAAAATATATGAAGGAGATAACAGAAAGGTACTAATAACTTTTTTAATTTGTTTGTGTACGTGTGTTTATTATATTTACTTACTACTTAAAAAAATGTACGTTAATACTGTTGCAGTACTTTTTTAGATTTGATTACAATAATTTTGTATATTTCAGATAAGCCCAAAGTTTGTTGCCAATAGAGTTAATATTGGTTTGATTCCTTCTTCTGAGAAATTCTGGAAAACTGCTTGCGAAGCATTGTTGCCATCTGGTGGTATTCTGTATGTACATCAGAATATCACTTCTCGAATTTCGACCAACCATGGAAATTGTGATTTTTGTAAAATGCTTAAAGAAAGAATCAAATGCGACCTGGGTGGGAAGATTGAAGTTCCAAAGATAAAACTTTCAAAAAATACCGACTTTGAAATAGAGTTCGGAACTGATTCGTGTATAACATGGAAGCATTCAGAGTGGTTTGTTTTTTCGATTCATTTGTCTCATATTTTGATAGGTATTTTGGAAAATATTCACAATTATAAATGGTTAGTCAGTGTTGATGATGTTGTTAAAGTGAAATCTTATGCACCACATATTGACCACTTAGTGTACACTGTTTCATGCAAACCACAAAACTGAACGATTTTATCTGTGATTGTAACTTGTTAAATGTGTAATCATAAATGTAAAATTTTTTTAAACTTATAATGATATTTAATCATTTTTATAATAAATATATTTTAGATATTAAAAATTGCAAATCGACTGATTGTGTTTTAAATATTTCTTTGTTCTATTCATTATTTATTCATTATTTATTTCTTATCTATTTACGAATCTAATGATGAATCCAAGATTAATTAACTATTTATTTATTTATTGACATAATAATAATAAAATATCATTCTTGGGATAAAAAAAAATCTATTAAGTAATGAATTTTCTGGTCTAATGAAATTATTTTATTACATTGACTGTTCAGCTGTGTTACTTTCTGGTGCTTGTTGTGTACAAATTTATTTGTTAATGATTTATTATTGAATAATGTACTTTGTTCGTGTACATATAATGGAGATATTGTTTTCTAGACAATAAATATATTCCAAGATAAGTTGGTTGGAGTTCTGTTAAAAAAGAAATACACAGTACTGCTTTAATGTATATTTCTTGTGTTACTTTGCTATATGTTTCTTTCCTCTTGACTGCACATCCAATTTTCATGTATATATTATATATAATATAAGCTCCCTTTTTTAATACATGCAAGAAAAACTGTAATGTAAAAGTGTATCCAATGTACATCAATGAAGTTTAGGTTGATTATTTCCATTTGATTTCTTTCCTTATTTGTTATTTGTTATAATTTATTATCTAAACTCATTTTAATAAAATGTCAATGTTATGAAAATGATTACATCTTATTTCTCATGAAATTAAAATAAACTTTTTTGAAGTAAGAAAAAACAACACCTAGTCTACTTATTAAACATAAACTTGTTTTTTATTTTTAAATTTATATAATTATGATCAATAATTATTATATCCTTCTTATCTGTAATATATTACCCTTGGTTAAGCTGAAGTATTTGTTTGAAATGAAACACCTATATTGATTTGAGTTCAGTTTGTGTTGGTTGCTATGATAATGAAGAGATAGGTCTGATATATTGAAAGCATGGCCATAAACTTAGGTAGCACAGGAAAAGGAAAGATGAAAAAGGATGTTTCAGATATGTGGGAAGATAAAGAAGTTAGATTTGACATTCCTATTACGTATGTATTTTCAGAATATATTGTTTTATTCTATATTTGAAATAACCTTAAAGTCAAAAAAAGAAATTCAATTGTTATATGATATCCATTTCTATCACTCTACATTAATCATTAAGCTCTTTTGAAGCAATATTTATACTATTAATTTTTTTTTAATTAAAAGGTTAAGTAACATGAGAACTGGGGAAAAAATCATAGACAAATTAGATTTTGTGGAGGATACCAAAGGCAATAATGGCGATAAAGGAAGGTTGATAGTAACAAATTTACGAATTCTATGGCATTCACTATCTGTGTTTAGAATTAGCTTGTGTAAGTACATATATTTGCTGAGATATGCGATACACTCAGGAACTGAATTGCCAAATTAAAGGATGTAATTTGATATTTAGTTTTGGTGTTTTTTAAATGCATTATCCAAATATCTTTCCACAAATTTTCGGATTTTCAATTTAATTTTTGTATAAATATTTTTTTTTTTTGTCTTAAAATATTGCAAATTTAATTTGTGACTTTCCTTTCTGCAAAAATTATTCCTAACATAAAATTTGTAATTATGTATTTGTTAGGCAAGAATCATTAAAATAAGCCAAATTACACAAAAAGAAATCATGATGGCTAGCTATTTTCGAATTCAGTCTTTGGATGTCAATTTTTATTTACTGTTGGAAACAAAGAATAAACAAACAATAGTATATATTATTATTTAGAACTACTAATGTAGATAACCTCCTTTTCTAGTAATAATTTATAAGAAATTTAAACTGAAAATGGCTTATTTACCATTTATTTTTTTTCATTTAGTACTGGTCTGTGCTTTTATGATTGACATATGGATGATTGTTTCTGCACTGTAGCTCTAAACGGTTTTAACTGATTTTTTAAAGAAATATGGTCATTTACACTTTGAATAATTAACATATTTCATTATATTCAACATCTGCTGTATCAATATTCATGATTTAATGTTTATTGTTTATTTTCCTACTAAATAGTATTTATTTATCATGATACAGGCCAACAATGCATTACATTTATATCACTTCGAGATATTTTTCTTTTCTGACCATATTCTTTTCATTTTTCTCCCATCTCCTCCCTTCTTTTCTCTGTCCATTTCTTACTTTATTGCTTTTTCTAATCCTCTACAAGAACCTATATATTTTTCACTATTTTTCCTAATTTATCCCTTAAATAAATTAATCTTGTTATTCCTTCTCTTTGATACCCATTTTTTTCACTTCTTTTATCCGTTCTCAATTACCTTCTATGTTTTATATATTTTTTTGTTAAATTAAAACTACATTTTCAATTTACATTTAATTTTTTTTTCATTTCAGCCATTGGATTCAATTGTATAGTTTCAGCTACTACTAAAGTAGTAAATTCAGTAAGTAAAAATATAACAATAAAATTCATTTTCAGTTATTAACATACTAATAAAAATGGGTGATTTGAAATAAAATTATTTTAGAAACTTAGAGGAACCACAGAAGCTCTCCATTTGCTCACTAAGTTCAACAACTCCCGATTTGAATTCATTTTTACAAATTTAGTCTCTGGAAACACTCGACATTTCACATCTGTTATGGGTGTTCATAAGTTAGCTTTTATCAATTAATAGATTTTACAATTAATTATATTTTTTTTTCCGATATAATAAGTGACTTTGCACTATTTGTAATTTTCAGAGCTTACCTTTCTTCTAAACCCTACCGAGAACTCAAGCTTCGTGGGGCTGTGGTCCGACACAAGCAGCTTGTAATACTTCCTTTAGAACATATATGTGATGTAGTTGATGGTGTTTGGAATTTATCCAGTGATCAAGTACTTACTATATTACTAAATTTATATGAAACACATTTTATACTAAATATTATAAGTTTGTTTTTATGAAGGTTCTGTAATGAACTTTCCATTTTTTCAAAGGGAAATTTAGGTTCTTTCATCATTACTAATATTCGTTTGGTTTGGTTTGCTGAAATGAATGAAAATTTTAATATTTCCCTACCCTATCTCCAAATTTCATCAGTAAGTTTTTTTTATTTATTTATTTTTTTACTTATAACTATGATTATTATTTTGGTGTATACCTTAGACAATTTTATTATCAGGTCAAAATTCGTGATTCTCGGTTTGGTCCAGCTTTGGTTGTTGAGAGCAAACCAGGTAGTGGTGCCTATGTTTTAGGATTCAAAATCGATCCGGTTTCTAAATTGCAACAAGTTGCCAAGGAACTAAGTTCAATGCTTGAGATTCATTCTGCTAACCCTGAATTCGGAGTTGAATATTCTCTCAGTGATCAGGTGATTTTTCTTCATTAGCAAACTCTTTTCTTTTTTGTTTTCAATGAAACAATCATTTATTAATTATAACAAGCTTCTAATATGCAAAAATTAAAAATCTGTATTTTAAGTAAAACAAAATCATAATTGTATAAAAATAATTTTATTATAATAGTAAATTATAGAATATTGGTCAAAATAGTAGTTTTTGTGATATAAGTATTGAGTGAAAGACATCACAATCTTATGGAATGAGCAATTTTATCAATTAGAGGATGTGGGAAGAATGAAGTTACCACCAAGTAATAGCATAATTTAATAGAACACTATGCAGTTCTATGTCTGAATTTATTTGTTAGAATTTTGATAATAAATTCTAGTGAATATTAATTTAATTTAACATTGAATTTCTTTATGAATTGATTCCATTACTATCCAGATACCATTGGACATTGGATTGATGCAATACTAATTGACAGTTTCTGTACAAATCATTTTCCTGTCACATTATTTTCATTATTTTTAAAATATATTTAAATGTAGTTGTAAATTTTAAACTTTTGAAAAATGTCAATATACGTTACTGTCACAATTTAATATAGTTTAAATTTGTGTAATATCCACAGGCTGTTTTAGCTGAAACAGTACCCATAAAGGAGCCAGAATTTGTAGAAGTTGAAGAGGAAGATGTGACTGGTGTAACCGCCGCTCATTACTCTGATGGAAGCCAAGATAGACCGCCTGTATACTGCAATGAACTTGGGCTTGCAATCGAAGCTCTAGCTGATGGTCAAAACTTGTCCACTCTTTGGCAAATTGTACCTTCTAAGGCGTAATTTTTATGTCATAATTTGTTTTTATTAGTTCTTTCCGAAGAAAAATTTCATTGACGGTCATCTTAATTTGAAGAATATTAAAATTAAAAGAGTACACTTATGCTATGAAATCACAGAGGTATTGGAAGGTACAAATATCGGTTTAACTATTAGTGCTCTGGTAAAGTTATCTGTTTTTTGTGTTGTTATTTATTCTGTTTTTACTAAAAAATAATCTTTGAAGATAGTTATGGAGAAAAAATGACATTTAGTTAATAATAATCCATCTAAAGTTTTACATATTTGATGATACTTTAGACTGATATAAATTGTGAAACCTGTTATTTTTTAATTCAATTCCTATACCTAGTTCTATCATATTTCTACCAATGAAACTTTATAACTTTGATACCTATTAGATGATATTATATTTTATTTTAAACTAATTGCATTTTCTTTTTTAAAATCCATATGTAGTGTATTTCATCAGGTTCAGATTCTATGGCCCATCCACTTAGCTCAGATGAAAAAACTTGTGAGCATGGATGGGGCTAAACTTAAGTTACAAGTATATTATTTATTTCATGTTTTAATTTGGACCAATAAAATTCATCATAATGTAAGTTGTGTACTAAACACTTTGAAGATTAATTTTATATAGATGCTGAATTTTATATCAGTTCAGAAAATAAAAATTTCTTTATTTCTAATTGGAAGTGTTTTTCATAATGTAAGTAGAAGATAGTGGTTTTTATCAGTTAAAATAACAACTCCAATAAATGTTAAATATGTATATATTTATATATTAAAACAACATTTATAAAAATATAGTTCATGTTACTGGATTTGAATCAATTAGTAACATATTTGTACTTAAAATATTCAATAACGAAGGCAGCATTGTAAAGGCACTGTTGGTCTACCTCGTAAACTTATACCTCTGCGGTCTGAGGATATCTCTTTCACTCTGAGTCGGGACTCTTGGCTTCTTTTCCGGTGTTATTGCAAGACCTGTTACGTGAAGGTCTCCAGTTGTCTCACTTCCATCTTCAGTACTGTATTTTGACCTCCTGCAGAATAGAGATCAATATTGTTATGCTCATTTAAAAAAGTTAAATCACTTGAAGATTCAATCGATATTTTAAAGTTTTATATAATGCTAAAATTGAAGCAAAAAACAAATTATGGGAGTGTTGATATGTTTTTCTTACAAGATCATAACATTTCATCTTATATCATAAAAAGAGCCTGAATTTTTAGGGGGAAAAATACAGAATATGCCACAAAAAACCAAACAAAGTATATAGTAAAAAATTATTAAATATGTAACAAAAATCTCCAAATCAGCAATAATACAGCTAAAATATTCAAATTCACAAATGTTTCTACAGAATGTTTTAAACCAGGAAAGAAGTTGAAGGAGGGATTAAAAATTAAACTAAAATAACTTAAAATTTTGTTTTATTTTTTTCATATACCAAAGTATGAAAGTTGATGTGTGAAACAAGAAAGGGCAAATATATACAAACTGTTTATAAAATACACACACTTTATAATTATATATATATATATATATATATATATATATATATATATATATATATATATATATCTTTATCTTTTTTAAATTTTATTTTCTTGACAGTTAATAATTTATGTTGTCTGATGATGGAGGTTTTATGCAACTATATTTTGGTGATATTTGGAGACTTAATTGTTCTTGTATTCATACCGTACGTTGTAAAAAACCGGTTTATAGACCTAAAAGACCTGAAGTATTTCAGGAATTAATTTTTAAACACTGAAATGACTAATAATTAAAATATACCTTAACTATAGTGTTTTACTAAAATATAGTTGTATATTTATTGACTAAAACTGAAGATTCTCAGATAATATGAAAGCAATATTAAAAAATGTTTGTTAATGAATATGGTAATAATTAAAACACATAACGAATAAGAAACAATATTATTTAAATATATTTGAAATATTTATGAGTGGCTTCATATCGTAGAGGGACATCTGTTGATTTGATCTGACAGCAGAGAAAAAGTCAATTTTCTTTTTATAGATTCAACTCAAACTGTTTCTGATGATTTAATTTAAGAATGTTCAAGTTGAATCATCACAAAAATCATTAGAATTGGTTTAAATTGAAGCTATGTTATAGAAAATTGGCTTTTTCTCAATTTTTTAAAAATGACAGATATCCGTCTTTGATATTAAGCCATTCACATGATAATGTTAGACAGTTTTAAACATATTAATGTTTGACAGTTTTAAAAACTGAAATATGAAAGTAATAGTCGTAATAAAAGAAAATTAGTAATGCTTGTATTTAATTATTTACTTTTCTATGTTAAGTATTAATTTTTACTGCTTGTAAAGAAAGTAAGAAACATAATTAAATTAAAACTAAGAGTAGTGCTTATTTTTTATTTAAATTTTTTTTTCTCATTTTTTCCTTTTGTAAATTGTTAATGTTAAAATTATTGTGTGTTGATAACCGTGATTTTTTATGCCCTGAAACAAAAGAAACAAGAAAGAAAAATTGAAAGCCAAGAAAATGAAAACCGTTCATATTTTAAGAAGTTAGTTATTGTTATGCACATTTAAAAAAGTTAAATCACATGAAGATTCGATTGATATTTTAAAGTTTTATATAATGCTAGAATTGAAGAAAAAAATAAATTATGGAAGTGTTCATATTGTTTTCTTACAAGATCATAACGTTTCATCTTATATCATAAAAAGAGCCTGAATTAAATTATGCCGGCATATTGCTGTTTTGTTGCCTTTTTGTTTTGTCCATTGGTTGTAATATAGAAATTCATTGTCCATGTTGTATTTTAAGTATTATTTTTTTTATTACTGAATTGAAATCATTGAAATTTTATATGCTTATCATCAAGTATGGAAAATAAACTTAGGTTAATTGCTTTTGAGTTCACTGATTTTAAAAATATTCTATCAGCTGTTAAAGGCGCATGCAAATATAATACGCAATAATCATGACTAAATTCTCCCATTCAGGACAGCTCTTAATGATATATTAAAATCAATATCAGAAATTTATTAATCTTGTTTGTTTTTTTCATATCAATCTTATATATATTTCTCTACCTTGAGCTTAGACGATTGATGTATTCTTCCTCGTAACTGAAATTATCTCTAGCAGTTCCACCTCTTGTTCTTTCATAAGAACTCTGTTAAATATACATTATTAGTTGCTTTAAAACACTTAATAATACTATAGATATGTATAGTTTGATGACTTATGAAGCAAACAGTAAGCCGCATTTTTTATTTATTATAATTACCTTTGGAAGTTGGTTATTTTGAAGGTTATACTCAAGTTGATTGTGTTTTTCATTCCTTGACATATGAGCAAATTCTTCTATCATTGGATCTGTAACAAACTTATTTATGAATATGAAAATTTTAATAAAAAATATTTCAAAACAATCAAATTTTTCCTTTCTCTCATTTCTGATTTTTAAAATCTCATTTTATTAGAATTCGATTTGAAATTCATGAATATTTTGTTGAAGACAAAAACTGACCCAAACTCTCACTGTTTTAAACTATGCACCTTGCCTCTTTGTTCTTATATATTGGTATTGATGCATCCCATTTTCTTGTTTCTTTCCTTGTTTTCCAAATGTTAGCTTCATTTCTACATCTGGAGGAGGATCGTTTCCAGAGCCACTACTTCCAGCAACAGTTACTGTCCAGTTAGATCCTGAAAATAATAAAGATAATGTTGAAGAAGATAGAAAAAACACTTTATTCCGGAATGGAGTCCACTGGATTGGAGCTTTCAGTTATAATACAGTTAATTATAACTCGAAAATTAATATAAATTTTAGAAAAGGGACTCAATAAATTGCCCAATAACTAAAAATATTACAATGAAGATAAAGCATATTAAAAATGGAAAGATGTATGAAAAAGAGAACTGGGACTAATAGGTGAACTGATGGGACCAGGTGAAAAAAAGTATAATACATGTTTAGAATTGCAAATAAATAATCAAATTGATATTTTATTATTTTTGTTTAATGAATAAGAAACTTCAAATTCGATTATCTCAAAAGTCATTAAAATGTTATTTAATGACTTTTTGTAATAAACCGACGATATGCTCAATGTCTGTCTAAGAAGTCTTTGTCTTTGATTTAAAGTTTTTCTTTTCTTCATGAAATGTGGACCCTATGTCATTTTTCAGTCAAATGTCAAATCTATTTAATGATGGTATCTGTCAGTGGAATTTGCGTCAATTTGCTACTAAAAGGCGGTTTAATTTATATTAGTATATAATTCATTATTTCAATTCTGATGCACGACGAAAAAAGGAAGAAATAAAAAGGAACATATTAATATGAATATATAATAATAAATATTTTATAAACTGGAATATATAGGGATGGGTTCTTGTCTATGTAATCAACTATACATTCTAAAAATTATAACTTAGAGGGCACAAACAAATTTAGATAAAAGATTGTAATCCAAAACTGAGTTTCAAACAAAATCTGTTTTTTGTGTTTACCTTTTCTCTGTAAAGTAATTTTGGAATATTTATTTTCATTTATAGATTTTTAGAAGTATTTATAAAATATTATTAAATAATTTAGTCTTATATGAGTGTTTTTGAATAAAACAAAGATCAGCAGATCCAGAATTAAAAGTTTGAAATACTTAAGTTATTTATATCTGCCTTGAAAGTAAATTATTTCTTTCATATTATTTAAAAAATTATCACCATTATTAACATGATTGGGTAAGCTTCTATGAATCCTGTGGCGATGATGCGATCTTCTTTCTGGAAGTTTGAGTTGTTGAGGAGGAGGACTTTCAGATAGAATCACTGTTGAAGATGTTATTGAACTAATTGATTGTTCTGAGCAAGCTACTTCTACAGCTCCTGAAACAAATTTTTCTCCTAAGAATTTATGCCAGGACTCTTAACTTAAAACATTTATAGAGTTAATGCTTTGTAGATTTTATAATAGGAAAATCATAATTCACTGGGTGATTTTAATTGAGTTTATTCACAAAATAAGTTTAGAAATTAAAATAAGTTAAAGTTAGTAGTTTGGGATATAAATGTAAAAATTTAAAAGGCATCTTTGTATTTCTATCCTAATTATGGGATTTAAAATTTTTGGACTGAAGAGTTCCATCCTCCATGAAATGTATATATTTTTTCATTGGCCCATGTTTGTTGCTGTAAGTGATCTCATAAGGGGAAGTTATGGATATGGGGTCACCAATTTCAATGAAACTTTTTTGAGTGAGACTAGGTCAAAAAATATTTGACCCATGTTTGAGGGTTCTTGCCAATGTGTCCTATGAGCTGAGAATTTTTTAAAAATAAAAATTGTATTATTTTTTTAAATTAATGTTTTCTGACTTTTTTCAGCATGGATTTCTAAGTTAATATATATCAATAGATTTATTTGATTTTTCCTAAAATTATAAAAACATATTGTTGATTGTATTAAACAAATTTTAATGTACAATAAGTAACAATAACCCAAAGACTTCCAGTAAAGTAGGTAAAATAAATTTTTGGGTTTTTGTTATGTATTATGCATTAAAATTCGTTTTAAACAATAACAATACGTTTTTCTTATTTTAGGAAAAAACACAACAACAAATCGATTGATATATAGTAACTTACAAATCCATGCAGAGCAAAGTCAGAAAACATTAATATAAAGAAATTATAAAATATTTTTTTCTCGGCTCCTTGGGCACATTCAAATATTTTTTTACCTAGTATCACCCAAAAAAGTTTCCTTGAAATCGGTGACCCCACATCCGTAACCTCCTTTTGTCAGTAACATACTTAAACAATCACAATATGTTCTCTTTTTAAGTTATAACATCTTTATTGTTTTTTTAATTGCCTTTTTTTCCCCTAGGTATATCAACGCTCCTGAATACTTATAGAGCTTAGATCTCTATATTAGATAATGCTAATATTTATTCCTTATGTCCTAAGGATTAATACTTTTTGGATTCTAAAAAAAAAAAATTTCCAAAAAACTCAAACAGTTAAAGAGTGAAATTTATCAGAGGCCGTAAATTTAACCTTCTGGTTTTAGATTTGTTCAATTATTTTATAAACAATATTTTAAAAATCTTAATATTAAAATATTTTCAGATGTTGAGGGCCTTTGCTATCAGGAACTCTAGACCGCCTGATTGGTTTAGTAAAAAGAACTCCTTTAATTCAGGAATAGATCTCAGTGTTTTTCTATATAGTTCTTCTATATTCTCATTATTCCGTCGGTAATTCCCTCCTGTGAGTGAATCAGGCTTGTCACATTATTATTTTTTGTGTATTCAATTGAGGTTTAGCATACCAAAGTCTACTCATTTTCAATTTTTTTAATAACACTTTTGGTAATAGACCATCATGAGATAATTTTTTTGAAAATAAATATAAAGTTAGATGGGTTCGCAATTATACGCCGCAATGGATCACCAACATAGTCCATTCCATTTTAGTAATTTTGATGCTTATAATAAAAAAAAAACTTGAATAAATTAGAAAAAAATCCTTACTTGAAGACATTCTTTCTTTTCCACCCCTATTGCGAGCTCCCAACTCAGTGATGGCCTCTCTTGTCAGGTTGATTTGACTTCGTTTGGTTCGCTTGCTTCTCTTGACTCCAGGAAGAGTTTCTACTGCTGGTATACTGGGCTTCTTTTTGTCTCTTTCAGGAGTTGATGAAGAACTAGAAGTGTTAATCTCTGGAAGAATGACTCTTCCACGTCCAATATTTTTGGACTCAGACTCTGGTGTTGCATGTATTTCTACCATGTACTCTTCTATTTTATCTTCTTCTTTTTCTACAGTCTGTATTCTTCTTCTTGTTTCTGTAACTTGGGCTTGGCACATAGATGCTGTTAAAAAAAAAAAAAAAAAAAGCATTAGTACTATTACGATTTATTAAAAGTAATCTTTAATTTTAAATCTACAGCAGTTATAGCGAAAGTGCCATTATGCTGGTGGATAGTGTTATTTTAATGATTTAATTAAAAAAGGTCCCTTATTCACCAGCAGTTGTGGCGCCAGTATACGTTTATTGAAATGCCGATAGACTGTGCCAGAATTTTTTTTAATGGAAATAGATGTCCAGAAAGACCAGAGCTATGCATTTGTCTTTCTTTTTAATGAGAAACCTGTTTTGTTCCTTAAATGAGTCTGTTTATTAGTCCTTTAAATCAGATTGTTACAGAAATAACTTGAATTTCACAATGAGGCTTAGGCAGCCATTCTTCTACTGAGGGTGAGTTCTTATTAATAAGTTTTGTCTAAGAGTAGTAGGATCTAAAATTAGGGATATGTGTTTAGGAGAGTGAAATTGATTGTTTAATATTCTTACAGCTGAATATTAAAGGTGCAGTCTTCATTTTGAAATAATATAGGGTGATAAGATTCTATATTGAACTTTTTGTGGGCTATATGTATAATTTCAGGAATATGAATAAGCAATATCTTGATTAGGTAATATTATTGAATATAATAATGAAATCAGTATTACCTTCCTCTCCATTGCTGTCTGAGAATTCCAGGTTATCTTTGAGAAGGTAGAAGTTGATCCACCCTTTTGAGAGTGTCAGAAGCTCCTCTTGTCCTTCCACATGTCCAGCACTGAGGGATGCTCGCCCTTTATACTGCCTAACCAGCATGGGACTTTCTCTGTTTTCTGATCTGAATCTTCCAATCATTAGGTTTGACTTCCTCTTTGGTTGATCACTAGTTTGTGTAGCTTCAGCTGTTCTATTTGGCCCCATAATATTTGGTTCAGTGTTTGTTGCTGCATTGACAATATTTGAACTTACTTGAATTATTTGATCTACGAGATGTGGCTCTGTTAGTACGGCTTTCTCTTTTTTCTCTAGAGTCGAAGCTTTTGATTTCTCTGGAATTATTCTGTCTTCTGGAATAGATTCTGTTGAGCTGTTTTTTTCTTCAGGAATAGCTTCGAACATCCTGAATTTAGGAATTTGGCCAGTTAAATTGCTTCTTCTAGTTGTGAACTTTGAAGGTTGTTTGCGTTCGTCTCTGGAATCTGTATTATTTTTGCCTTGTGGAATTTTTGATTTTTTCTGGTCTCCTCGAGGCGAAATCCTTTGTAACGTGCACATATGACACGTGCATATGGGAACATTTAGTTCTAGTACTTGAGATTTTTTTGTGTGTGATTTAGAAGAAAATATATTTTTACAATTTGGTGTTTGTGGTGTTCGATTAAGTAATGTATCTGATATGTAATTATTAATATTTTTATTATTTTCAGTTACTGATTCTTGCTCATCTGTATTTGTTCCCTTATTAATTTTTCCTTTCTTTACTTCCCTAGTTCTTTTACTTCCTTCTTTACTTTTCCCACCGCTTTGTACTTCCACTGTCTTATATTCTCCAGTCCCTGTGATTATCTGTTTAATAACTTGGGGTGGGAACTGAACGTCTTTCTTTTTGTCACCTTTCTCTTTTTTCAGCCGATTAAAAATGTCATCTGATTGTAATATAGATATATTGGTTTGAGTTGAAATAGATTTCGATTCCACAGTGTTACATGCCTTGTCTACCATCCTTAAGCTATCGTCTGTAATTGGGATGTCCAATGAGCTTTCAGCTTCATCAAAACTGTCAACCTCCATATCAACTTCATAAGTGTCAGATTCTGAGTTATCGCTGTCTTCTTGGTCGTGAGTGTCGGAGGTTTGTACATATATTGATACTAAGTAAGGTTCAGTATTGCAAGAAATATCAGATCGTTTAATTGTTTCTGTAATATCTTCTTTATAGCCATCAGTTTGTATTCCGTAAGAGCGAGTTGTAGGAATTTGGACCTCGTTCTCATATTCATTTTTTTGACTCCCTTGATCAACAAATTTTTTGGACTGTGCATCTGTCTGCTCTTCTGAAAATGTTATAGTTTCTGATGTGCGCATCAACATTTGCCTTGCTTTTGTGTTTTCTTCTAAAGCTGTTATTAAAACATCTGCAATTGACCTGTCCAATTCAATTTTAGCATGAGATGTTTCATTTTGGATTGTTTTACTATTGATTTTTGTTGGGTCGATAAGTTTTTTTTTTGTTGTGACAGAATTAGAAGTGGTATCTTCTGCTTTTATTTCAGGAACACGAAGATAGTCCTTTTCCATTATTTTCGTTTTTCTATTCTGTTCCTCAAGATCAATTTCATCTGTAGATATTAATGACCTAGAAATTTCTTTTGTTTCTATTTCGCTGGTTGACTGGGGTATATCTGTTGGTTCTGTTTTGTAAAAGTTTTCACAATTTTTAGTCATTATACTCTTCGTTGTGTCGGAGAATTCTTCTTTGATTGTTTCACTGGTGGTTTTTTTAAAGTTCATATCTGAAGCTAGATTTATCTGTTTTTCTTTGGTTATAATAGTTTTCAAGTTATCAGACATTTCTATTTTGATAATTTCAGAGATTTGGACAAGATTTGGATTAGTGTTGCTACTTTGACTTGTTTCGGTCTGTTTGAGCCTTTGATTTTGTTCCTTGCTATTGTTGTCATTACCATTATTGTTATTGCCATTATTGTTATTACAGTGGTTATTGTTAAACTTATTTCTTTGGATGTTGTCAATTTTCGGTTCAAATCCCATGTTATTTCCATTCACTAATCGAATAGAAGCATTTTTAGTTAATGGGCCCGGATTCAAATTAATTTTATTGATATTGTTGTTATTAGGACATTGTTGAAAAATTGTCATCTTCTCATGCTTTGCATATGGTTCTGCTATTTTAGTTTCATGCCTATTAGTCTTTTCGTCTGAAGAATGTAAATTTACGCGGTGAACTCTCCTTATTGTTTTCTTTCTTCTTCTGTGAAGGGCATATTGCTGATGCCTAACCAATTTGTCTTCGTATTCTTTTTTTATTTCTTGTTCCCTCTTCCTTAAACGATTTCGTAGCCATTCTGGGATTGTATATTCTCTTATAATTTCTTCTTCCCCTGTCAAGGATAAGAAATATGCATAGGCATCCCTAGATTTAGGCAGTCTTTTACGTTCCTGTTCCATGGTAACTTCTCCACGCACCATTCTTTGATCATGTTTCGATTGTTTTCTTAGACGCGACGTCCTAAATTCATCTGGATCTTCCAAACTATCTGTCAGGCTGAGCTCACTATCGCTGGAATAATCAATTGATGATGTATTAACTATCATCGAGTTAGTCCTTGGAATGGCTGAATATCGTGGTATTACTGGATTCTCTATTGGGAATTTATCGTAGTTACTTCCTGTACATGCCATATCGGTTCTCAGTCTATCATGGAATTCAATGGGTCTCAATTCTTCAGAAATTTCAGCCATAGTCACTTGTGAAAACTGTTCTTTCATTTGCAAAGGTTTATCGTCACTTTGTGAGTCACTACTATCTTTGAACACATTAATTTCAGGAACTTTGAAGAGTGTATGGTTACCAGTTTGGCAAGCCGTATTTACTTTTTCTTCCTTTTTGGTATCCGATTCTCCCCTGCGCCTGTTCGCTTCTACTACCGTGTCGTCCGACATATCTGTTTCAATACTGACAGCAATATCGAGAACAGTATCTTCAGTCCGTTCTGTTTGAAGGCCCGTTACTGAAGTTGTTCTATCCGTCCGATCTGGAAATGAGACTTGGGTTCCGGCCTCTTCAGTCCGGAATAGGGCGGTATAACTTTCTGGTGTTGTAGACGGGACACTGAGCGTAGAATCCTGAGTGGATGTAGTCCGGTCCGAGACGGTTTGGCAGTCAGAGGTCGTGTAGGACCAGACGCAGGGGCTGGGTGTGGCCAAGAAGGGCAGGGAGGACGTCCTCCCGATGCTCTCCCGGGGACTGGTTTGAATTGACTTGTCCGCGCACCGCCTCCGGCGGCATTCCTCGCTGGAGCTACTCGTGTTGCTCTCTGCTCGCTGCCGGAGGCGGTATTTCCTCATGATAGTTTCCGGAACCGAGTATCGTCTCCGTGGTAGGTCCAGCACCCTCATTCTATCCACCCCTCTAAAAACAAAACAAAATAATAAAATCATTAAAATCATCACCTATTATTTTACTTAGAGATTTAGTAACTTTACATAACAGTAAAACATTATTTTATATTTACTTCAGTTAATTACAAATAGGAAGCTCTATTCACTTATTATTATAGATATTTCTAAGATTAGTCGTGGTACTATCATACTTGTGTTGCCCCTTCAATAACAATATATCGTCGATTTATTGCATAAATCAATTAATACAGAAAACGCACTAAAATAACACAAACCCTTTTATATATCTTGAGTAGTTACAATAAACGCACGACTTTCATATTTTACAAAGAGAAAATTCATAAAAATCAAAGGTTATTATAATTATAAGTGATTAAAGGTTATGAAATGTCACTTCATGATTTTTTACAATAACCGACGATATACAGAGGGGTATATAATGATATAATTGGGGTAAAGTATACCATGTGCTCATAAAACACTTATAGAATCCTAAAATATTTTTTCACCAACCAACTTTTTAAACATATATCATTCCACCGGCAAATAGTACATAATTGTAGCTCACCAGCTTTATATCAAATGCTAAAAGACGTACAGTTTTCAAGATATTCGAAGAAATATTTTCATTTTTATGTTTTAGAAATAGGAATAGTTATGAATGGCAGATATCATGTAGACATGGTTAATTGGTTATTAGTGGTATTTCCGTTTGTTCCCGTCCACCACAGGCGGATCTACGGGGGAAGGTGGAGGGCTTCAGCCCGAAATTTCAGGCTGAAGCCTTCCCCCGTCCCATAAAATGGTAAAATATAACCATGTTTTATGAACAAAATATTTTAAACAGTATTATTGTTTGTCTGTTTACTTTTAATTGGACCTCAAGAATCAATTAAACATCATTTCATATAGGTATTTAGTTTCTGTCTTTTTCTTCCAAAATATTTATTATAGTAAATATTAATAAATAAAACTGTCGGGCTGAAGACTCACTCCAAAATTAAATCCTGGATCCTTAAGTGGCATCCACTGTTTCCTTTCTTTTTTCATTAATTAAAATTATAATAAATTACTTAAGAAGTACAATGGGTTTATCTGAACAAGCGACGAGTTGTTAAATATTGAAGATGTACAAATACGAGAGAAATATCCCGAAACTTCGATTGAAGCGATTGTTCAGAGCTCCATGTTTCTTGTAGGCCTCATTGAAACCCCCAATAAGTCCCACGAGCCATTGGGGTGCAAAAAAAATCTCGTTCTATAAATGACACATCAGTTGTAAAATGAGATTTTTAAGGTATACAATCCATACAATAAATGTTGTAGTAACCTCGTTCTTGAGTGATCTGCTAAATTTTATATTTTTAAATAGCTTTTAAAATTTTACCGTGTATTCAAAGGAGCTTTCGCGGGGCGGATTGGGGGTGCTAGCAGGCCATAGTTTGGAGACCCCTAATTTACACTAAACGTTATATAATAGGGTAGCATGAATTCCTTATCCAGCTCTCTGGCGGACGATATAAAAAAACATGGAACAGATGTAGCATCATCGTGTGTGAGTAATTTGCTAAATTTAGTATTTTTAAAACTTTATCATACAATCAAATAAACATTCGCGGGCCGTTGTTCGGAATCCCTAGATCATGGATAAGATTAGCGCACTAATTTGAGATAAAAACTATTATTGTTTAATAATAATAATTAATAAATGAGATAAAACTAGAGTATACTAGGTAGTATTAGTAATTTTATGGAGATTCGTACATAATTAATTACATACCATTATGTTTATATGTCTACTCGTAAATATTGTTACGAAAGTGTGTGTTGTGAATCGGATTGGAAAGGAAGAAAGCTTGGCTAGATTATCACTCGTGGATCTTCCGGATACAGGAAACGCTGGGGCGGTGTTTGTTCTTTATGGGCTGGCTCTATTCCGGTGACTGCTCTGTTACCGAAATAGCGGGACATGAGGTGGGGTCTTACTTCCTCTCGGATTGTCTGCGTCAATAAACAGATTTCTTATAACGTATAACACCCGAGATCGGTAAACTTTAACTATTTAATGAGGTAAGACTAATTCATGAACACACCCATTTCCTCTCCACTTCGTGAATCGTAAGATAACTTGATCACTAAAGGTAGGCGGAAGGTGGCTTTTCTTTCACTTATATTTATTTAACTTTTCTTCTTCTTAATATTTACAACATTAGGAGAACCACTAAAATCCATGTAATGCGTCTTCGGTACAGTACACGACATTATCAATGTGACCAATGATACCAGGAGAAGAAGAGTTCAATGCCCAATGAAGCCTTATGGGGTGGTCCAAAAATCAAATCCACTAAACTACAAAAACAACAAACTAAAATAAGAAAAAAAAATATAAAAGTTATTTTGAGAAGGAGTTGATGGGGGGGTGCGGTCAAATAAATACTAAATTATACAAATAGTATTATTTGACTTTTTTAGCGACGTTTCGACTCACTTTGCAGGTCTTCAGTGGGTCGAAACGTCGGGAAAAAATTAAATAATACTACTTCTTTAATTTAGTATTTATTTGACCGCACCCCTCGATCAACTCCTCACATCATATCACGGTCAACCATCTCTACATCAAAAGTTATTTTGGTTGTGAATTTTTTAAATGTACACCTAAACTAAACAAAAGAAATTCTCTCTCTCTCTATACATATTGCTCACCGATTTTCTACTTATGTTCTGTTAGTAAAACTTTAAGGCACGTCTCTTCAATCCGATGGTATTCCAATAAGTGACATCTTTGGTCCTTACTTTTGCACAGTTTATTGAGGACATTTCAAACATTATCCACTTCTGCAGATGAGGCATGTGTGCTTAATCAATTAATAACGATCAATTAATTACATCCCAAACTCGAGTTTTATAAGTTTGGACTTTCACCAATGGTCGATAAATTTTGAAAGTCTTGCCGGCTTGTTGTTATTTTAATTTTAGAAAATGAAATGAAATGTTTTTTTTTCCCCCCAGATACGTGATGCCCCATACATGCGACTGCTCTGTATAAAATAATAAATTGCACAAAGGATTGTTGCCCTCCGAGTCACAGATACAGGTTCCATAACAGTTCCTTTTCATACTTGCAGTTTTTGGTCCCGTTATATTTTGGTATTGCACTTCGGTCTGTGCGCTCACCTTAACTCCCCCCCCTTCCGATCTTGTTTCAAGCCTTTTATTTGCTAGTGTATTGTAGAGGTGGTCCTCCTTCTTTCAGAGAGACCAGCGGTGTCATGTTGCACAATTGGCGATTGTCCTCTTCACAAAGTGACATCCATTGTGAGAAAAACAAAACTAACGGATATCATCAACACTCCTATAACTTTTTTTTTTTAATTCTCAGACATTTCATAAACATCAGAACTAAATACAGACCTGCAATAAACTTTAAAATAAAAAATTTATATTAAGAGAAGCTGATACTGAAAATTAGCCAAAATGGACACATTTCATGAAATATCAAATAATGAATTTATATATTTTAATATTAAAAGATGGTTTAAATTGTTCCTTATTTTAACTAATGGTCTAAACCAGGGTTTGAAATCGATAATTTTTTTCCACAAAATCTTGTAATAAATATTCTATTTTATTTTAATTTTAAAATCTCAATTTATAAATAGAAATTTAAATCGATCTTTTATGTTTATTGATTTGATTAAAAATAATGATCACTCACTGAGTGGTATGGTTTTACATACATAATAATGATTAAATGGTGATCAAAAAAATGTTGATCAGAAAATAATCACACTTTACATACAAATAAAATAAAATATTAATATGTATGAACACACTATTAATGTACATATTTTTTAATATAATATTTCTGAAATAGCTTTAATTGTGCAAGCGGTATCTGCACTATATGAGCCTTTCTTTTGACAGAATGACTAATTAATTGCAATTACAACATTTTTGAGTAAAGTAATTTTAGTGATATTTATTGTTAAAAAACAGTGAATAAGTTGGTTCCAGAGTAGTTGATTGCAGTGTTGAAATATAGAACTGTGAATAAAAGTACACATTTTCCCACTAAAAATATCACTAAAATAAATAATAACAAATGTTAGGCATTGGAATTGGAGTTAGTCATTCTGTCAACTGAATTTCGGAAATAAAGATGTTCTGTTGGTAATAGTTTTCAACAATATTCTCCAGACTCAAAATATATAGATTTGATTTTTATTCTTATTTTTTTAATTATAGATTTCAAACCCTAGTCTACACTACTCATAAACTGGCGCATAGCTTTAGCTATTTAGCTTTTCTTTGAAAGTATTTTGTTTCAATACGTTGTACGTAACACGTATTAATTAATAATAGGTTTTGCACTAGGATTAAGTGGATAAGGTCAATAAGCTTACAAAAAATTTGGGCGAATATTTAAAAAAAAAGAAGGTAAATTTATATGAACATTTATATAAAGAGAAACAATATATCCCTTTTTTTTCTATTTTGTAAAAAAAAAATATTCAAGTGGCTCATGGAAAAATTATAATTCTTATTAATTAATAAAATTTTTTGACTGTAAAATATCTAGATCTTTTTTTAATGAAAATGTCTTTTGTGTATATATATATATATATATATATATATATAATCATTTTCCTTTTGATAATTTTTTCTTGACCATGTTTTTTCATATTGTATAAACAAAAAAAATTGCAACATTCATTTCTTCTAGTCATTTTTATTCTAACATTATTTTATAGTAATTTTTAATCTAACATTTTGTCATAGTATAGTTGTTTTTTTTTTTACCGAAACTTTAACAAAAGGAATATATATTAAGGCAATCTTCATTTTAAAAAAAACGTGATTACTCATCAAATAAGTGGATGAAGCATAAAATAATTTCATGAAAATTCTTTTAAATCAATTTTGATAGTACATGATTTTTTTTTTCCTAAGCAAATATCTGTGTTTGTTCAGATGTGTATGTTGGTGAGTGCGCGTGTATTACATATTAAG